GTGAGTATACAGGAAAAATATATTTAAATTAATTTCACAGTTGGCGTCGTAGAAAAACACAGCGAATGTAAATATTTAGCCTTGTTAATAAAAATCATATTTAAGACGGTATACATCTCTCTTTTTATTGATAAATGGACTATTTAGCTCGAAAACTGTTCGTCATACTTCATTGTAACCGAATCATGCACGGTATTACATATTTTTTAATCATGCATATATAATTCTTCAAACTTAAACTATAAATCTTACTTGTATTTTTCGAAGTAAATTAATATGCTCAAGTTACACTTTGCACAATTATGCGGTAAAATCGTTCTTATATGTTTCTTTATCTGTTTCAATTTCAATAAATTCAGATTTATAGTACAGTTTTAAGATCATAAGACAACTTGGAAAAATACATTATTCTAGCTGCTGTGTACAGAAGATGTAGGCCACGGAGCAAATGACGTGACTTTTTAGATACATGTAACATCATTCTTGGATAGGCAGAATGATTACAGACGTGCAATTAAACTAAAGGAAATTATTTTTAAAAGATTAACACTAAACTCCATTTCTAATTCATTTAGACATATTTGAAATAATTAGCAAACTATTGATTGCCCCTTGTAAATAGTGTAACTTACAATACCAAACAGAGTAAGCACATTTTGTAAATTAAACAAAAGTATGTAAAGTATGTAGTAAAAATAAAAATGAAATTTGAAATTCACAATAATATGCAACGAGTATACAGTAAACAGAATGTGTATTCTAAATCTTGACATCGTCAAAATATAATTTTCTGCAATCTCTCAAAGAAAAAGCTGAAACAACTAAAAAGTTTGATTTGTATTATAACTGGTGTTGCTGAGTTCTGTACAGTATTTCATTTGTAAAGTTGTATTGAAAAATAATATACAATCGATGAGAGAAAATGAACCACATTTACATTTATCTTTTTGAATATGTTTTTCGTAGACTTACGTATGCGCTCATATTTGTCAGGTCATTTCTTTTCGAGTTAAAAACTGAGATAATATCTAAATGATATTATCATTTCAGATTGATAACATCGTCAGAAATTATTCAAGATTTTCTATAAATACAGATGTATTTGTTCGCTAAACAGTAGTTTCAAGTAAATTATCTTTTAAAGAGATTTGAGCTTGTGGGTATCTATTATTATGAAAATGCACAGATTTTCATGTCACAACGTCTTAAGAAAAATAAGATGATACCTGATATTATAAAAAAAACAGCACAGTTGCAATAATAAAAATAAAAACAAATGTTAACAATGGATCAATGGACTTCCGATTATCTTTTGATGAATGAACAGTGTTTACAGTCACCGATTGTTTATCTCTTTTCAGTTCTTTTTGAGTCGTATCTACTTTAAAAAATAACATTTTCTTAAAGTAGCAATAAAGAAGTAACTTGAAATTAAAAAAAAAAACACACACAAAACGTTTAACTCAAGAATACACATAAAGAAAATATGCCAACAATGAAAATTGCCAGAGCAACTGCACTCTTACACTGTAAATTGCTGAAATCGTATTTAGTTTCGAAATGAAAACATACTTAAAACTTTATAAGTTTCATGCAAATAAACATTATGCATGAATATTATGTAAATGTTACATATACCTGCGTCCAGATAGTTGGATGATGGACATATTGTTTTTTAAGAATAAACTCTTTCTGTACTAACATCGCTTTCAGATTTCACTGTGACAAGGAAGTTGAGAATTTTTTTTAATAAAATTTTGAAAATAAACAATTGAGCATGATTAAACAAGTTTAACCCAAACTATTTTAAACAAGCTGTTTTTTAATTTGGAAAATGCATAGGTTAGGGGATATCTAATTTTATAATTCTTCAAATATCTCTAACCCAGCCCCTAATTCATGTAAATATTCTTCCTTTTAATTGTCAAGAATATTGAAGTTTTCTTGAAGCCAAACAAATATACTCTCATTGTACTTAAATAAAATATATTTGGCAAGATAAGTCTTCTTTCGACACCGAATCGGTATTGAAAAAAAAAGAAATCTGAAATCTTAATTATTGCACCTCCACAAATCAACTTTTGAAAAATGATTTTGTCATTGCGCAATCAGTAACAGTAAGTATTTTGAAAACCAAGATTTTGTAGAAAGAACATCGTCTTTCAACCCCTTTTTCATCCCAAGTGGTAGGTTGACAAAATATAAAACTGTAAAAGAAATTCTAGAAACAGACGTTTGTGAAAAAGAGCTGATTGAGGAGGTAGGTATTTTGTCAGATAGATAAATGAACGGACGAATGTATAGCAACAATATACATGATCTTTCTTTAGGTTTGTTTGATCGTTTGTTGTTTAACGCTCCTCACGACAATTTTTCACGCACATGGAAACGCCATCACTTGCCGGTGGAGAGCTGCAATATACATATACATTGACATATACTTTGCACCCAGGGCCATCGATCAGTCGGGGATCTTTTTCGTACAAGCATCTACAACGACATGGATCTTGGTTTTATACTGTCTCCCGTCCAAAATGGAATTCTAACTTGTGACGTTTGGATTTACCCCTTACTCCGCTACGCTAGACTACACCACGCGTTTGTCTATTTTATAACTAAGTGCAGGTATTATTTTAAGTAATCATCTGCTACAGTATATTTTTTAGAGAGGGCCGTGCACATTACATGTACTCGTATATACCGTAGATATAACATAAAAAACTTGCATTAAACTACTTATGCTAGCCAAATATATTACATAAAAACCTCGATCATAGCCAATATTTTGTTGATATCAATAGTCTTGTAGAAAAGTGACCTCTGCGTACCACCTCCGCAAAAAAGTACATAACCACAAGGTTGTAAAAACTAAACCCTGCCACAAAAAGCAAACTGCTATGAAAAGTTGTTTGCAAAACACAAAGATAAATAGGATTTCACTGTGAAAATGAAATCTAGAATATTTCCTTCGAACTAAGAGAAATTGTTATACAAAAGGGTTTAAAGGATGTAACTTAATTTTTCGAATAAGAATTTTAAGATCAACAACTCGCGAAAACATATCTAAAAAAGATAAAAGAAAGATGAAAGAAAATTACAGAGAACACGTACAAGTATGATCGAATACATACCATAGTGTTTACAGCCGAATTCATGATGACAGTTGTCTCGGCTACACCAACACTTAGACTGACAGATCACCCCATATGTCGGATAACGACATAATTTAGAACAATCTTTTCCGAAGGTTCCTGGCCTACAAACTTTCAACATTTTGGGAAAATTCTCAGAACAACCATTTATGAAAACAACTTCTTTAAAACTCTGATCAGGGAGGTTAAAGGATACCTTGACGCTTGTTAAGGACAGGATCCCAATAAAAACTGTTAGGACAGGAAATTTCTACCTATTAAATCGTATATCTAATTAGTATATAATATTTAAGAAATGAAGTTTATTTCAACTTTTTGTTATACGATATAACATAACTTGGGGCAGTTTAGGCTTTATAAACCCGAAAAAAGGCTAAAAAAAATAGCATATTTTAAAAGTAACGTCAAGCGGAGTAATACTTTTTTTGACGTAACTTATTGTGGTGTAACCAAGTTATGTCATACAAAATGGATAAAATCTTTTATCCAATCAAATGTCGTGTTACAACTAAAATTACATTATAAAGAAAAAAAATTCATTGAGCTGAAAATGTTTTTTCTCCTTAAGGGCTTTTTTTCCTTTAAATTTGTTAGTACAGCAAAACTCGGTTAACACGAAATCACTGGGACCTATGAAATTCCGTAATTTGTTATAACCGTATAAGAAATTCATTAATTTTATATAGCCCGGGATCCAAGATGACTTCGCAATATCCGTGTTCGTACAAAACGAGTTTTGCTGTACATATTTCTCATTTATGAAATATTTTCTGGATGGAGTTTATCTAGTAATACAAAGTGTTGTTCGGTGCAATAAAGTAATATTTAAACATAACAAACGTAAACAACCGTAAACTTACAAAACAAATTTCCGATGCCGAAGTCAACTTTTCTTCAAAGATAACAAGAAGTATGATTTTTGGTAAGATGTCGTATATCAAATCCATTGCGTTCATCCATTTAATTCGTCTGTTATAATTACCGTATAATTGTGCATGATTATTAAAGTTTTCCTTTTCCAGATTAAACATAACTATAACGATTCTTAACTATGTTGGCGAATTTTTTAAAAGAACTACACCTGTTAATTAGCAAAGTAACGTTATTATTATTTTTAGATAAAACACGATATTTGCAATCGAAAGTTGGCACAAATTGGGTATTTAGTTATATTGTCGGACTTGAGGGGGATGTTGGGGGGGGGGGGGGGGTCGTGACTTCATGCAATAGATAAAATTAATAATAACATGATAAAAATATTGTACTCTTTAAATAAACTCCCCAATCGTTTATAGTGAAAATACATTTATTCTTTGAAAATTTCCTTCCCTCTTGGATATTAAACCAATAAACTATGTACATGGTTATGATAAGAAATGAAGTCCTCAAAATTGTGTTCAATCCTCTGGTCAGGGGTTCTGCTGTTGTGACGGGGCCCTTATGATTATACAATGGACCTTCAGATATCTGGACCCCAGATATCCGGATGCTTCAGTATCCGGACGATTTGTCATCGGGACAGAATTTTTAAATGTTATAGTGTCTTGTTTAACTGGTGATTCAGGTATCCGGTTGCTTCACATATCCGGACAAATTTACTGGGAACCAAAGCGTCCGGATAAATGAGGCTCCCTTGTATAGTGAAAAATGCATGAAGTCTTTAAAAATGTGCTCCACTGCTCCTTGGTATTAAACCAAAGTACTACAGGTATATGTTCATGTCCATTTCCTCCAAAAAAATTCTTTGTTCACTGAAGTCATTTCATTATAAAGAATTCAAACAAAAGGACGTCCTCGTGTCCTGTTATTTTTGGTTGAATTATGGCATGTTGCATTTCTTGTTTTAGCTATACGTTTGTTTCAAGAAATATAGTTTCTGTTGAGAGATTTTGTGGTGGTTTAGTTGACTGAAGGCGACGAACAGAGTTCACTTCACGACGTCGATCCGCAAATAAGACGACATGTGCTATTATGATAAACAGCAAAATAGCAATAATAAAGCTGGATGTGATATTTATCAAGTGGAGTAAAAACCTTACGTTTAATTCACTTTTTTTCAGAGAATCATTGTATCGTCTAGTGTCTATAGGCAAAACTTGATTATTAATTTCCATCCCCTGTAGGATTGTAGGTAAAGTATATGCAATATCCTCTACAAATGAAAGATATATTCTTAAATAGAATCTTAAAAAGTCAGATAGAAAAATAAGCAGGCACGTAGCATCGGTTTTGAAAGTGGGGGGGGGGGCCAACCAGAGAAATTTTTTTTTTTATTAAGCTGAAAAAGTTGACAAGCAAGAAAAAAAAAACAAAAAAAAAAACAAAAAAAAAAAAACAAAGGGAAAATTAAAAGTTTCCAAAACTCGAAAATCCTTTTTCGTGGAGGGGGGGGGGGGGTAGTGGTGTAACAAAGTTACTTTCAATTCCAATTTTTTTCCTTACAATTCTTTGATATCAGTTTACTATGGTCAAAAGTGGGGGGGGGGGGGCAACCATCCCTTCAATGAACATTTTCTATAGTAAAAGTAATGTTGGGGAAAACAGTGGGGGGCCAGGCCCCCCCCCCCCCCCCCTGGCCCCCCTGTTACTACGTCTCTGAATAAACGCACCATAAATAATTTAACACTTATTTACAACTGTGTCATAAATTGTTCCAAATGTGTACAAAATAGAGAATACAAGTATATTTTACAAGATATGGAATTTATCACTCAAAATCATATGTTATATTCTATACTTAATTAATGCGTATTTAATCATGTCTATATAACTTCCACCCAATCCCTCTATGTGATGAACCTGGTTAACATATCTAATTTCTTCCTAGTTTGCTGACATGGAAATCTGAAACTACACATTTGCACTTGAACGAATGAAAACCTGTCATTATCTAGATGTTAAATATGGAAGAATATATATATTAATTTGACATATTGATAGTGTTACATGTACCAGTTTTCTCCGATGAAAACCAGTAAACCATGTGCTTTACGAGGATCGGTTATAACCAGGGTTACTTATCAAGTTGGGTTTTTTAGCAGCATTTGATTTAAAAAACTGAAAATTCGATGTACTGTGAATTCACTAATATTCATGGAATTTTAATTTTCGCTGTTTTCAAGGTTTGCAGAGACCTACGAATCCATGACCACCTGGAAAAATCAAATTTCATATGCATTACTACTCAGCACTTCTCCTATTACGAAATCAAATCCTCACTCACAAAGAACGAGTGCACTTATGGGCCCCGGTAAAATGTGAAAAAATAAAGAATACATAACAAGCTAATTCAGAGAATTTGTGTCCCTCGCTTAGGGAAACAAGCTAAATCAGAGAATTCGTGTCCCCTGCTTAGGGAAAAAGTCGGATCCCCCTGAGAATTATTAAATGTATACATGTACACTGAAGCAAATAAAATACATGTATGTCAATATGCATATAAAGATTTGATTGCTTATTCTGTATTATGTGTATAGAAGATTCTTTTTATATGGAATATTTATCACACTGTAATAATGATGATTTTATAACCTCATAAATTTTTCATTTCACATGCTGAATACTATCATTTATTAAAAAAAAAAAGTATTTAAAAAAAAAAAAAAAAAAAAAAGAAAGGTTCGACCGAGATTCGATCCCGGGACCTCTTGCATGTGAAGCGAGTGACATAACCACCAGACCACGGAATCGCTTTACACATTGTCAAGTATAAGCAGAACTGAAGTCATATACATGTATATATTCATGTTCGGTATTCTCAAAATTTTACACAAGCCATGGTGTTTGATTTATTTAGCCTTTATTAAACAGTTCTAATAGATGTAATAAGAACATAAAGTCCACCGAGAACCTGTTATATACGCAATATAACTCTCCTCATGCCCCTGCGCTAAAAATAGCGACATGTAATACTATAAATACTACTAAAACAAACTGGGCGGGGCACTTTGAGAGGGGCGAGAGACGTCCTAGGGAGTTTTGGTATAAAATTACATTGCATAAGCTCAAAATCTTCTTGAAATATCGCCCAGAAATGATAGTGTTACACACAGACAGAATGTATAAATTTACGACCTTTAACTTTGACCTTTTGACCTCAAAATGAATAGGGGTTTTCATTAGGCCACAGGGAGTTGTTATGTAAAATTTCATTGCAATAGCTCAAATGGTTCTAGAGATATCGTGTGGAAACGAAAGTGTTTTAACAGACAGAATTTGCTTATTTATGACCTTGACCTTTGACCTTTTGACCTCAAAATCAATAGGGGTCTTCTTTAATCCATAGGGAGTTGCTATGCTAAATTTCATTGCAAAAGCTCAAAGGGTTCTTGAGATATCGTGTGGAAACGAAAGCGTTACAGACAGACAGAAAGACGGACGGACGGACGGACAAACCCAAATTAATATCCCCCACTTTTCAAGCGGGGGACAAAAATTAAGTAAACCATGCGCAGGGGGGGGGGGGGTTAGATCCCATTGACTGAATTTATAGAATTAATAAATGTATACTGAAGCAAATAAAATATGCCAATATGGATATAAAGGTTTGATTGATTATTCTTTTTATGTGTGTAGATGATTCTTTTAATATGGAATATTTATCACACTTTAATGATGATTTTATGTGTTTGTACAAGCAAGACCTCATAAATTTTTCATTTTACATGCTGAATACTATCATTTAGTAAAAAAAAAAGTATTTCGAAAAAAAAGACATTGGATTTTCCGGGATGCGAACCCTGGCCCTCTCACATATGAAGCGATAGACCACGGAGCCGCGTTACCATGGCAAAAATTATATACAAACATTAAGTCACATACATGTATATATTAACGTTTGATATATTGTCAAAATTTAACACAAAGCATGTTGTCTTATTTAACATTTATTAAACAATTCTAATAGATGTAATAAGAATATAAAGTCCGCCGAGAACCTGTTTTATACGTAACAACTCTCCTTCATGTCCCTGTGCTAAAAATAGCGACATGTAATACAATCAATACTAATAAAACAAACGGGGCGGGACACTTTGAGAGGGGTGAGAGAGGTCCTAGGGACTTTTGGTATAAAATTACATTGCAAAAGCTCAACATCCTCTTGAAATTTCGCCCGAAAAGGAAAGTGTTACACACAAACAGAATGTATATATTTATGACCTTGAAGTTTGACCTTTTGACCTCAAAATCAATAGGGGTCTTCCTTAAGCCACAGGGAGCTGTTATGTAAAACTTTATTGCAAAAGCTCAAAGGGTTCTCGAGATATCGCGCGGAAACGAAAGTGCTATAACAGACAGAATTTGCAAATTTATGACCTTGACCTTTGACCTTTTGACCTCAAAATCAATAGGGGTCTTCTTAAGTCCATAGGGAGTTGCTATGCAAAGTTTCATTGCAAAAGCTCAAAGGGTTCTCGAGATACCGTGTGGAAACGAAAGAGTTACAGACAGACAGAAAGACGGACGGACGGACAAACCCAAATTAATATCCCCCACTTTTCAAGCGGGGGACAATAAACGAAACTCAAAGTGGATTCGGTATGACTTTTCCGGATTTGGGTATATATAGGCATCTAAAAATATTCAATTGTTTTAAATCCATGCTGATTAAGGTGATGCTTAACGTGCTTTTTGTCCCCCGCTTGAAAAGTGGGGGATATTAATTTGGGTTTGTCCGTCTGTCCGTCCGTCCGTCTTTCTGTCTGTCTGTAACGCTTTCGTTTCCACACGATATCTCGAGAACCCTTTGAGCTTTTGCAATGAAACTTTGCATTGCAACTCCCTATGGACTAAAGAAGACCCCTATTGATTTTGAAGTCAAAAGGTCAAAGGTCAAGGTCATAAATTTGCAAATTCTGTCTGTTATAACACTTTCGTTTCCGCGCGATATCTCGAGAACCCTTTGAGTTTTTGCAATGAAACTTTACATAGCAACTCCCTGTGGACTAAAGAAGACCCCTATTGATTTTGAGGTCAAAAAGTCAAACTACAAGGTCAGAAATGTATACATTCTGTTTGTGTGTAACACTATCGTTTTCGGGCGATATTTCAAGAGTATGTTGAGCTTTTGCAATGTAATTTTATACCAAATCTCCCTAAGACCTCTCTCACCCCTCTCAAAGTGCCCCGTCCCGTTTGTTTTATTAGTATTGATTGTATTACATGTCGCTATTTTTAGCACAGGGGCATGAAGGAGAGTTGTTACGTATAAAACAGGTTCTCGGCGGACTTTATATCCTTATTACATCTATTAGAACTGTTTAATAAAGGTTAAATTAGACAACATGCATTGTGTTAAATTTTGACAATATATCGAACGTGAATATATACATTTATTTGACTTATTGTTTGTATATAATTGCGCCATGATATCGCGGCTACGTGGTCTAGTGGTATGTCTCCCGCTTCACGTGTAAGAGGTCCCGGGATCGATTCTCGGACGATCCTTTTCTTTTTTTTTTAAACTTTTTTTTTTAAGTGATAGTATTCAGCATGTGAAAAGAAAAAAATTATGAGATTATAAAATCATCATTACAGTGTGATAAATATTCCATATAAAAAGAATCTTCTATACGCATAATAAAGAATAAGCAATCAAATCTTTATACGCATATTGACATACATGTATTTTATTTGCTTCAGTATACATGTATACATTTAATAATTTTACAAATTCAGTCAGGGGGATCCGACTTTTTCCCTAACCGGGGGACACGAATTCTCTGAATTAGCTTGTTTAATCAGAAATATCCATTAGTGTTAAATTATTACCAAAAGAAAACGATTCGGTAATATATTTTTAGAAAAATCGGCACAGAAAAATTTTTTAAACCTCGAAAATTTCACCCCACGAAAATTATGTGATTTAACAGTAACATGCTGAAAAAGCAGAAACTGCAACATGCTAAAAAAAAGGGGGGGGCAAACAAACAACAAACAACAAACGTAAACACAAAAAAGCAAGACAAAACAAAATTACATTTTTCATTTCATGTAAAAGACTTAAAGCAATACCGTGAACACATCCAAATGCATGGTGGCAATCTTGTCGACTGCATTTACAAAGGGAATGACATTACAAACCATGTGTCGAACTGAAGCATGGAATATAACAATCAATTCCAAAGGTACCATTTCTACAGACTGTAAAATATTTCCGATTTAATTTCTAAGTATAGAAAACATGATATTTTTAAATTTACTTTGGGGAGTGAGACATACCTTTGCACGTTTTAAAGACAGGGTTCCAGTTATAGTTTAAACAGCAAGTTCTGTCCATCTTAGAAAACAATAATGAGCAGTTAAAGGCAAAAGTAAAGGTAAAATTATAGTTTTTTTTCTGAACGTTATAAAAATTACATTTAAAGCTTACATGTTTCCTGCACTCATGTAAATATATAATAATACAAAATAGATAAAACTTTAAAGAAAACAGTATGTATACCTACAGCGCAAATTGTAGATGCCGACAACATTTTTTTAAATGAAATAAGCGCAAATATTGCTAACAGGAGATGATTTACTAAATCCATTGAAGCCTTTTTAAAAAAAATTAAATTCAATTTTTTTGTAAATTTATAATCCAAATTTCTTTTTTATATGAAGTATTGAAATTTAAACTAGACTTTTGTTTTTAATACATATTTTTCCGGCCTTGAAATTCGAAAGAAACTTCCTTGTTTGAAGTATGGTTTTCCTGTTATTATTTTTTTAAAGAACGAAATTGCAGCATATGGATTTTAATGCAAATTCTGTAACTTCCTTTTCGCAAAATGACAAACTGAAACAGACACAAAATCACGCACACAAATGTTCTTCTTTATTAACAGAAAGTTACACACTATCATCGGGCAATAAACAATGTCAAAAATTGAGCTAAAAAACCTCTAAGATGGTTAGAAATTCAGAAATGTATACAAGAAACAAAAAAATATGTTTTTAGTCTGCTTTAGGTGCAAGTGCTATTTAATTTTTTTTCAGGGGAACAACGGAATGATCTCTAAAAATTTATACGCAGAAATCTTTCTTCGGAACCGTTTAATGTTTTGGTTTATGAAACGAAAAGAGATCTCATCCAGTATTGAGATGACAGGAACCATTAGGCATATAGTTGTGCGGAAGATGGTCATTTTGCGCGACACAAATACACTTTTAAGCACTTACAATAAATAAAAGGACTTGGAATACCGAAATAGACGTCAAAAACTTCCTCATATATATGCAATAAGAAATAAGGAATTTTAGTATTTGTCATGTACAAAATTTTATATCGAAAATCATTCCGATTCTACATACAAGTACTGCAATGCAGATACAAGAAAGATGTCGGGTTTCATATTTTTATGAAGTTTTCTGAGACCTTGTCTTCCAACACTATTTCTTTTGTTAAAATTTTGAAAAAAAAAATTGCAAAAATTCGCCGACCTGAACAAAAAATATTCCTTTAAAGCACGATGACCGCGGTAGTTACAGGTTGGCAGGGAATGCCACTTGATTCCAAATGTTATTCATGTTCTTAAATTAAAAACTGAGTTTATGAAATTAAGATATGGAGAAAACGAACAGTATTCAATATCAAAGTCCATAAAACAATACAAAATAGGTGCAGAGCAAACACGGACCTCTAAAACATCAGAGGTGGAACCAGGTGCCATGGAGGAGTGAGCATCTCCTGCTGACCGGCCAAAACCGCAGTTACAGAGTTATAGTTTCGTATTTATATTTGTGAAATGTTCTTAATGATAAAAAAGTTACAGTTTGGTTGTTCAAAATGCTTGTTTTGCTGCGGAACATGTATCCATAGAAATTTATTTAAAGACCTTAAGGATGTACTTTACATTTAGTATAAACACAGGATTCAGATTATTAAAAGATGTGAAACTGCGCTTTGTTGTATACGTGTTTTAGCTATAAAGGACAAGATAGGGTAAAACCAGTATTTGGCCCCCGATTTTGGGCGTCTTTCAGAATGATATAACAGTTTATCCATAAAAACCTGTTGTCACCCCCGCCACAAAATGAGTATTGGTTTAAAGATTCAGAATATATAGGGTCACAGTGGGGTCAGAAAATAGGTCAATTTTAGACATTTCTCATTTTTATGCAAATTTTCATCAATTTTACAGCACATTTTCTTTCGGAAAACATAGAGCACACGCTTGCCTATCTACCAAATTTATATATTTTATACACTAAATATCAGATGCAGTTTTTGTGTAAAAATTTCAGATAGGCAAGCTTGTGCTCTATGTTTTCCGAAGAGAAACGTATCCCAAATATGATGAAATTCCACCAGAATTGAGGAAATTCTGGAAAATACCCTATTTCTGCACCCTCTAGTGGCTTCCATGTAAGCTCTGAATCAAAATTAGTGCTTGTTTTAAAGTAAGCATCATTTTCCTTCTTAACTACAAACTATCACAATTTTACCAGTGTTCTGATTTTTACATCAAATAAGGGGCCAGATTTGGCTGTTACCCTATCTTGTCCTTTTTAATGTCATGGAGTTTCTTTTGTACACTTTCATGCATCGACATCAAATACATAAGTACAAACATATAAATGAGATATCGTTATCCTTTTTGTGATAGAAATACTAACTTCTGAAATTTCTGATGGCTTGAACGTCGGGCATTGCATTAGGGTTTAAAATTGTGTAACTTGAATGCCAACTTGTATCAAGGTCCATGATGATATTCCACGAAATTCATTAATACATTTCAAATATACTGGTTGATTCTGACTGTTCGTATTTGAAAACATTCCGTAATATGCCGTGATTTCAACAAGTAACAAAAAAAAAAAAATGAAATGTTTGGTCAAGATTTTTTATTACTGTATAACAAGTTCTTTTGATAAAAGTAAAATGATATATGAAATGTGCAAATCAGAAGGTACATGTAGTCAAATGTTTCTTTAAAAATTATAAGCAAGTAGTCGGAGAGATTTAAAGAGCAATTTTGATGTCTGGCCGGTTTCGGTAATACGACTCAAATATGCGTTTTTTAATATTTAATGCGACGTTAAGCATTAATGTGAGATGTATTTTATAAATGAAAAAAAAAAACTAGTTACAGATAAAATCTTATTTTTAAAATGTGCTCATAAATAAAATCTAATTTAAAAGAAACAAAAAAAGTTCAACATTTTTTGGGAAAACAACAGCCAAAATTGGATTTCTAGTCAAATCTTTTACGCCTTTGATTTGTAAAGTTTTTACGCTTAAATAACGTATGCAATTACGCCAGAAATCGATGATTTGACGTTTCAAATCAGCCCCAATTCTGTTTACGACGACTATTCTAATACCAAATAGATAGGTCAAAGTTTTCCCCAGACCCCAGTTTTTACTTTGATTTTTTTTTCTAGGATACAAAATCTCTCTTTATATGGAAATTTGCTGTAAAATATTGAAATATGAAACAGTGGTTACAGACGAACTGGACTCCTATTTCTATTGAAATATATATCTTTTTTTAATTGGAGAAACGCAATTAAATAATATTATAATTTTAAAAAAAAATTTGAGGGGTGAAAATACGGATTGGAGATGTGATCAAATTTTGAATGGTATAACGATAAATCAATTAGATTATGATGTGCAGAAACTATTCGAGCACATTTATTATAATTTTACTCTCAACGGCACTTCTCCGGTATTTTTTTTATTAACAACGGTGACTTGGAATGACTGAGAATAAGAATTATATATGAAGATTTGATTTAGAATCTTTTTTTACATCGGTGATTTAGAAAGTTCTTCAAGTGTTCTAGTTTTGATTATACACATGTACGAGGGATGATCAAAAAGTTTGCAAACTATCTCTATATTTACAAAACCGAAATTCAGATCAGAATGAAATTTGGCACACATAGATTCATACATGTACACATGGTCTATAAAGAGTATATGTAATGAAGTGTTTTGCTCCCTGTTTGTGACGTCACAATGTGAAAATGACGCAAATATGTAGATCACTTGTGACAAAAAAATGGTTAAATCAGTCGTATTCGAACAACAAATGGCTGAAAAATTAAACGTATTTCTTGGAAATGCTTTTGTAGAAGCTTATAATAATTTGTACGCGGCTTATGAAAACAAAAGACTTTGCAAGATGGTTTGTCCTTAATTGGATTGTTTGTTTAGTGAAGAAAGGAAGATGTTTTAAAATGATGTTTGTTCTGTTGCCCAGTGAAAGCAAGCTGGGGAAGAGATGAGTCCTTTGTTAAGCAATTGGATTTGAAAGATCGCCAACTTACAGTTAGAAATAAGAAAAATAGTTGGATATCTTTACATAAATGTGATTTTTAATTCCCCAATATATCGTTTACTTTAGACTTTAAACCTATCAGATATGATAAAAAGAAGGCACCTAAACCTTATCCACATTGAAAATGTTACGAAAGATAATTCGTTCAAGGAGGATTCCTTTTTCCTTAACGTTTTATTTCTCTCTTTTTTTGTAGTCTACAAAGTCACTGCATATTTTTGACTTTTTTGCTCTTTCTGAAACTGTACACATATGTATTATCTGAAATCTATACCGATAACAATTTGGTAGATTATTTGGTAGAGAAATTAGGATTTAGTATTCTTTTATAAAATTACCGACAGTGTATTTATATGTATTTATTCAATCATAAATCGTCTTTACTTTTTGAATAAAAATATATAATACTGAGTATATGAATATATTTCTAATAGTGATAGTGAATACAGAAGCAGATTTTTATAATAAAAAAAATTCAGAAATTCAGAGATGAGTGAACGTGCAAATCTGCATAAATAGATGTACAACTAATCCAGGTCGCTATATCAAGAGCACCATGATATATTTACTTTAAGATTCAAAGTTTAGAAGACATGTTTCAAAATCAATATTTATTGATAACATTTGATAAATAGATTTCATTTTGATAATTTTTTAACATGTTTAGTCATTATGTAAATAAACCGTTCCTTAGGATAACAACAATGAAACTGAAAGTTAGAACGAATTGGATGTTAAGAAAACAGCATAACACTGATGCACGTTTGAGTTTAAATACTTAATACAATAATCACGAAACGGTGTTTAAATAAATCTCTACAACCATGCAACCCTTACGGAAAATCAACACACAATGTTATTTTATACCTGTTACCAGCCAACAGTGAAGAAGAAAGATAGTTGCATATGGAAATTTTTATCTGTTCAATAGGTCTGGACTTTTTTTCAAGTATCTTCTGCTCATGAGTTCATATTGATGTGTATTTTTTTGCTTTTCTTTATTTACATAATTATGTACTTGAATACGTGACATTTTTTCATTGTCAATACTGTTTTTTTTTTGCTGCGCTTTTATAGAATCAGCTTTTTGATTATTCTGTAATTATTTATGTTCTATAGAATGATGTATTTTGTGATGGGGCATAATTTTTGTAATATATATATAATTTTCAGATTCAATGAACTTATTTAAAGCAGAGACACTATAGTCTAAATTTACTACCAATTAGAGTGGTTTATCCCATCGTTGATCATTGTTGTTTTTTATTCTCCCGCAATAAAAGATTCAGAGATACTAGTACTATACAGTTATTATCATGTTCGTTCATCTGTCTTCTGTTTGTCTGTATGTCCGTAAACACTTAAGAAATAAGGTATCATTTTTGAGTTTATTGGGATGTAAAACGGGTTGGTCACGTGATTAAATCCCATAAATCCCGAAGGGCTTTATGGAAGATTTGATCATGTGCCAAACCGTTTTACATCCCAATAAAACTCAAAAAATGATACCTTATTACTTATCTTTACATTTGTGACTTATTCATACTTTAAATTTGCCTGATTGTGACTTTTAACGTGTGAAATGCATTATTTTTCAAACCCAACGGCATGTATGTAATCCACTGAACGTGCGTCAACTCTTTATGACGTCACTGAGAAATTACGTCGAACGTTTATCCATGCAAACATCTATGACCTCTTGACCTCGTACCTGTATTTAAACAAATATAAAAACTCTTGCTTTCAGTAGTGTTATATAAAGGAAAACATTTGCAAATGCAAATATTTGCCAATGACCATTAGTGGATGGGACAGTTACTATGGTTTTCATTTTTAACAGATGTATTTTTTGTGACAAGCCTTTCACAGGGTACCACTACTTGTATATTTAACCTTTTTGAACTTTGCTTGGAGTTTAAACATTTTTTGCCAAATATTCGACAGTTAAAACTACATGTAGGGCTTTCTCAGGTATACAGTGTAATCCTTCCGACAATGCCTTGCATTTGATATAAACTATTATGACCTTTTGACCTGACCTTGGAGTTCAATTTGGATTTATAAAACTTCAACTCTAAGTACAAGCTGCAATTTTGCAAGGAGAGAGTCGAATTCTTAATCCACGCTGAGTTTTAAAGGAACTCCATCCATCCCTTTCTTTCACTTCATTGCCATTATACAATGTAATACAATGTAATTTAGGTGTCATCTGATTGTCATCATTATTTAGTCACTTTATATACATATATAAAGTGATCAATCATTTTGTTTTATCCCATCGTTTTTTTATGATACTCATTTCAGTGCTTGATTTATGGAATGCCCAATTTGCATACTAGTAATATAATTCAAAATATTTAATATGTTCTATGGAAGCTTTTTCCCCTCTTCTGACCCCCTAATGGTCTTTTTTCTTTTGCATTTCGTTATACATATTTACGTAAAAAATAACATTTTTCTACTTTCGGTACTGCTGTTTTTTCTTAATTACCTTACTCTCGATTTCATAAAATTAACAAATTACAATAAAGTACTACTTTAAGGTCAACTACTCCAATGATGGAGGTTAAGGTTTTGGGAATTGAGCCGATGTTAATACATTTTGAATAGAACTGGATGTTCATAATTATGAGCATGAAAAGGGTTAAAAGATTATGTTCCAAACGCCATTTGAATAATTTATAGAAATGTATCTGATTTGGAATTCACATATCGTTATAAATAAGTGTTTCGGCCACGAGAGAACTTCGTTAGGCTGCTATTTTTCGAATCGATTTTTTTTAAGAATTTGTCCAAGGTCAATAAAGCATATTTTTTTTGGAAAATAAGATTGAATTAAGGAAACCCACATAGATATTTATAAATCTATTAAAGATTGCCTAGCATGTGTATAACGTTACGTAAGACACTTTGCACTTTTCTCTCTACAGAATTCTGTGACTTAAAAAATGCAACCTTTATACGTTGATTGGTATGTGTTTTTTTTAATTACTAGACTGGTTTTTAAAAAAATGCAGAAAATTGCACAAAAAAATAGTACAACTTCAAGGACGTATTATTGCTATGTTGACACAAGTCTTGTTGATCAAAAGGCATTTAAATTGTTTAACCTTCCAAATACATGTATGTAACTCTCCTATAGGGATGAAAAATAAAATTAAAAGGAAACCTTAAAAAAAGATAATTGATAAATTGATTAGTGATCCACTTTAAGTAGATAAAGCAGGTTTCAAAGATAAAAAAAATTCAAACATTCTACGCAGTTGCAGTTTTTAAAAACAAGCCTAACATAACTTAGCTTTTCATACACTTTTTGTTATTGCTATAAGTTACATTTATTACGAGGGTTGTCCCGTAAAATCGTAGACAAGTTGTCTAGTGTGAAAAATAAACATCACTGGGTTCCCAAATTTTCATTATTATTTAGTACATATTTTAGTAATATACACAGCAAATTTCAGAAAAATATATGCATAAATAAACAAATTATGAGATTTTATGCCATGTATTGTATCACCTTACGGCACATTGATTATAACGTCGAAGTGTCTAAAACAGCGTCATGTTTTATCCTTGCTAAAATGAAGTTGAATAAGTCCGACTTTAATTTAGGAATTTCATCGATACACATTCATTAGTCTCCATAAACAGCCGAAGAACCGATTGGCACCCTCATTCGATCTTCTAAAGATTTATTAGTAAGTTACGGACAATTTTCTCAATGTCTTTTAATTGATAGAAAATCTCACATCGGCGGTCTATACTATGACAGCGTCTTTTGCTATTACATCAGGAGTTTGCTCGTATGTTTTGTACTCCCCAGAGACTCGATCAAAAAAAAACTTCGCTAAGAAAACTCCTATTTCGTTCGTATACTTAGGATATGGTGATATTTTTATAATCGTTTTTCCTCTATGGTCAATTCAAGTCTCTAAAGGTGTCATTACAACATAGAAATAAAACTGAACTGTTCTCCGGTGCGCCGTAACGTCATTAAACGTCGCCATTTTTCGTGTGTTGTGTTAACCACTTTCCCATTTCAAATGCTCGAGAAACTGCCAAAAATTAAGCAAATGCCTTAATTTTTTTTACAAAGAGTACAAAATTGATTGTGGATTTGAATTAGGATAATTTTAATCCAAATCTTATTTGTTTAAAACTTTTATTTTTGAATTCAAACTTGTGTATTCTTTTATAAACCCTTGGATTTTTTACCGTGCGCCGTAGGACAATACCTCTTGCACATTCAAGCATAATAAAATCTTTATTTTTGCCTATATTTTATAAAAAAAAATTATCATGCACTCAAATATGATAAATGAATATTTACTGAAATTTTCAACTTAGTGCGCCCATTACTTTTCGAGAAAAACGCTTTGTCCACGATTTTACGGGACAACCCTCGTACATAATAACATAAAATCCAGTCCATAGTTTAATACCTTATATTTCCATTTCTATTTGTTTTCTCTCTGATAACTCTTTAAAAGTTAGTGGAGTTAATTTCTTGATAATTCTACTGGAATGTAAATAAGACAAATCAATAGGTCAGGGGCTAAGTAGGTCTAATATGCATTTAAATCTCGTGCCCATTTGTATTTGCTTCTGACGCCAAGGAGGCCAAATACATGTATGAATGAAAATCTCGTGCGGTTGTATTTGTGTTTGACGTCAGTGGGTGAGGGTAATTTAAATCTAATTGTCCACATTTTAAAAATCAAAATCTGCAATTTTTTCACAATGAAATGAAAATATCAGGAACCATTGTTTACTTAGCATAGTATGCCATGGACATCAACGATAGTGGAAAACGTGGAATTATTCATGCAGAAAGGGCGAAGCCTCTTATGCAAATTATCCAAAGTTTTCAACTATTGTTGATGCCCTTGCATACTATACTAACTAGTAAGGGATTTCTTAAATATCTTATTCTATTACCGCAAATAAACAAAAAAAGAAAACGTCATAATTTGCACAGAACAAAGATTTTTAATGTTTATTTTGACTTTTACAGTTCATTTAATGTTTATGACTTTGATATACATATAACATAAGAGAGATATAAAAATAATATAAATATCTTCTGGTTTTTACTTTTGATCATTTCACAATAAAATTTGTTTTGTTTTTTTTTAAGAAGATTCCAGAGTCATCTTTGAGTATAATTCCTTCCATTAAGCAATATTGACCTTTATTCTCTTATCTGTAATTAACGGTAACGAAATAGTCCCCGAGTAAAAAAAGGAAAATCCTAGAGAATTACATGTAGCTAGCATATAAAGCATTTCTTCATACTTATATTGTCAGATTTTAAAATGCATGTAGGTGCAAACAGAAAAGCACATATAGCAGCAACCGAGAAATATTTTACGGAGAAACGCAAATAAAGCAAATATTCTTACGCAGGTGAGGGGTTTAAATACCGAACCTGACTTTTTATCTGTAGATATACCAGGCCCCGGGATCATGAAGCATCTTAAGCTTAAGTCAAAAAATGCCTTAGATGCTGAATTTTTTTAGAGGTCAAGCAGCCCAAAATGAAAATGCTTTCCGATTTTGTATCATCAGCCTGCTGTTGCATACAAATTATGAGTTTCTTTCAACAAGTTTAAAAGATTTTATAGATAATAGAAATTTTGACTTAAGTCTAAGTCTAAGTCTGTTTCATGATCCCAGGGCCTGGTGTTTTAGCAGCAAATGACAGTATTGTTAAAAAATAATATTTACGCTTTTTCAACATGTTTGAAACAATTCTCGGAGGTGTACTACATGAATGTTTTACTTTTTCTATTCCAGTATGGGTTGTCTTTATTGCAGTTATTTTAGCATGTTGGTTGATTTATTGGGATAAATCTTCTTCCAAATTGAAGGTATGTCGATTAAAACTTTTTGCATTTCAAAAGATGTACGTAAATTTAACTGCTAAAGGAGTAACTTGCTTTCGGGCATGTTTAGAAAAACAAAATTGTGTTGTAGTCTTGAAATGTAGCCAAATTTTTTTTTAGGTGAAGGGAAAACCATTCTCACAGGAAGCCACGCATAATTCGATCGTAATTGCTTGGGAAAAGCCTCTTTTTGCAGATCCGGACTTTTACATCGTTCATTACAGAGAGGTTCGTTTAGAACCAAGAAGATGGAGTTCTCTTAAAACACAAGGCAACTTACGTAAAATTACAATATCTGATCTTTTACCGAATACCAAATATAAAGTAAAAGTGAGTGCATGCTGTGGAACAGAAGTTGGTCCCTCAGGTGAAGAAAGTGATGATCTAGTCACAAAAAGTCTAGCATTTAAGATAAAAGAGGCATCTGAGTTCGTTGAGGGATCAACGCAAGGTACCGTATCAAAATATGCCGTACCCAGTAGGATTGAAAATGATGAAGAAATGAAGATACAGACAATAAAGATAGGTAATGTATTTCATGTCAGCTAGGATGAATTTTTTTATTAATAAATTCTGTGAAATAATTTTCACGGGGGTTGATTTTCGTTGTTTTCGATTTATGGAGAGATTCACGAATGCATGAAAACTATTTAATGTAAAAATCATATGCAATACTACTAGACATTTTCAAACTACGAAATCAAATCCCCACAAAATAATATCTTTTTCTCAAACCTCAAACACTTTACCCAACAAAAGTATGATTTTACAGTAAACGAATCATCATTGAGTTATCTATAATTTTGGCAAGAAGTTCATGCATTTGAAGTAATGTTTATTCTAAAGTTTTTCTTTTTCTTAAGTTATCTTCATCTTAAGAACAACAAGACCAATTTTGATCAAAATTTCTTCAAAGTATTCCTGGGTGAAGGAAATTCCATAGTGAAAAAGATTCATGTTTGTTCAAATAAAGGGCCGCGAGCTCTTCTAAGTGGAGATAAATTTAAATTAATTAATTAGTGAAAAATTAGAAAAATTAATGGCATCTTTCAAAATATTCTTCTCAAGACCAGCTGGGTCTTGAAAGATGAAACTCGTGTGGAATCTTTTCAGATGATGTAGATTCAATTATGGTCAAATCATGACCCCTAGGCGTAAGGTTAGGCCACAATTGACGACGAAAGTTTTCCAAAGGAATATTTAGGAATATCTCTCAATTTTTTTTTTTCTCAAGAATAGCAAAGTCATAATTATTGATATTTATATGGAAACATTATCAGGTAGAGCATATTTAAATATGTTCGTATCATGATCCCTGGGGGCAGCTAAGATATGGCCATAATGGGCAAATCAAAGTTTTACATAGAAATATATCGGAAAATTCTTCAAAAATCTTGATTCCTGGAGGTATGGAGGAGAAGAATGTGGGATTAATATCTACATAGGAATGTATGCTAAAATATATCAAAAACATTTCTAAAGAACATAAAATCTATTATTAGTATTTTTGCTTTGAACTTATGGAAGAGTCCTCAGATTGGTTATATTCAGATTTTTTCAAATCATGACCTACTCGGTAAGGGTGTGGCCACATTGAGGGATCAAAATTATACATAAAAATATGAAGAAAAAAACTCCCCAAGAACAGAAAAGTTATGTTTATTCAAATTAACATGTATCAGGCGCGGATCCAGGATTTGGAGTTAGGGGTGGGCGCCAAAATAGGCAAGGGGTCTGGGGGCCGCCTTGAGGCCCCCAGTGGGTCCAGGGCAAAGCCCTGGTGGTGGCCCAGGGGGCGAAGCCCCCGGAAGCTCCTTGATTCTACAGATTTTGAAGGGTTAAAATGAGGTCTACCAAAGCCCTGGTGGGGGCCCAGGGGGCGAAGCCCCCGGAAGCTCCTAGATTTTAGAGTTTTTGAAGGGTTAAAATGAGGTCTACCAAAGCCCTGGTGGGGGCCCAGGGGGCGAAGCCCCCGGAAGCTTCTGGATTCTAGAGATTTTGAAGGGTGAAAATGAGGTCTACCAAGTAGACATAATTGATTTACGCTAACTTTGACAATTTTAGGGGGGGGCGCGCGCCGGGTGCGCCCCCCCTTAAATCCGCCACTGTGTATGAATATGCATGTTAAGAAGATTAAAATTTATTCAAATCATGGTGGTGGTGGTGATGGTGTCCGGGGGTGGGGGGGGGGGTGTAATAGGGAGTGGCCACAATGGGAGACCAAAATAATCAAAATAATATGTAGGGAAAAAATCTTTAAACATCATTTTATCAAGAATGACATAGTTATACTTGTATGCTATTGATGCTGTGGCATTTTCAAGTAGTATAAAATTTAAGTCACCCAAGCTACTTTTCTAGTGTCGATAGACCTGTATTTCCTATAAAACGAGTACTTTGTTAACAATGCAAAGAACTAAATTTTTGAAGCTTTTTTCGTTCAACCATGATATTACTGCAGAGGAAGGTGAATGGAGAAAATGAATTCAGATCAGCATGCTGATCAGTTGCGATGAATAACACGACATAGTAAATATCGCACCAAAATACACTTTAATTTATCTGGGAAGTAGTTTGTATTTTAATTGTAAAATCATAGATTATTTGGTCTTTTGGTTTTAAATGTAAAAGAAAAGTCGACCGTAAAACGTCTTCGAAGAAATGTCACATTCATGATTTTTTTTTCTCAATAAGAATTGTTTATTCTATATAAACTTATGGCCTTGAATTAAGCAAACATATCACTGAAGTATAATATTTACAACAATTTTTAACTCTATGGAGAAAATGATTGATTAAGCTGTTGGATTTCATTTTCGTAGCCAGTTTTACGGGTTCAAAATCGATCACATATGAAATATCTCTGTTCTTTATGTATATCGAATTTTAAATGGGATGATAATTTGTAATGAGAATTGTTCTGAAAAAAAAAATAAACGTTTAAAGGTTCATGGTTTCAAATCTTTAAAATTCCATTTAGTTTTACAAACTATAAAAAAGATAAAGAAACAAAATCAAAATTTGGCAAAGGATTCAAAAATAATTACAATACATGTTTAATATTAAACAACCTTTAATTTTTATCAAAGAAATTCCAACATCTTTGACAAGTTTTAATTTGACATAAAAAATGAGGAAATAATTATGCATATACTGTATACAGGGAATTTTAAGCCCCTGTTTTATTTTCGCCCCGAACAAGGCGAATTCAAATTACACAGCATAATTTTTTAAACAGAACTATGACTTGGCAAATTTAAAACGGGGCTAAATTGTTCACACGTGCAAAAGGGCAAAAATAAGACGGTGAAAAAATACCCCTGTATACAGTATTCTAAATTCACATTTCGATTGTGCTGTTTCATTTGATGAACAACGTTCTTTTCATGCAGTTTTCCTGATAAAAGGTCAATTTTTTAAATCAAATATACGATTTAAGATACGTTCTATTAATTGTTCGTCGTATAGTTGTGTTAGCAGATCTTTTGTATAAACATGTACTTACTCATGATTAAAAATACACAACGCTTTTTATTGTTTACAAACAGATATACACTTGAAAACAGTGAATCGATTTAAATCACATTTGATAAAACCCATTTGCTAAACGTTTATTAAACATGGATACTTAGAATCTATTAAAGTATATATTATTAATCATTGCATTCCTAGGGGACGGAAGTCAACCGAATGCAGAGAGGAAAAGTATTCTGCTCATCAGCGCACCGCATTCTGGAAAAACCACGCTTATTGAGGGAATAATGAATTATATATTTGGGGTTACATTTAAGGATGACTTTCGGCTTTGTCTATCACAGAGTATCAAAGATGAGGTAACGTATTTAAAACGCTTAGCAAGGAATGAAAGGTAAAGTAAAGGATGAAATTCAGTTAACTAAAAGATGACTGAAAGTACACTGAATTGTGACTGAATGCAAAGCTTGCCATTCAAAGACTTTTCTAGAACTCTTAATTACCGATTAGTTGACCAGTAGGTTCATCCCTGGAACGTAAAAATACATGGTCCTTCTGGTATGCATATGGGTTTACCTAAAGATTTATTGGTTCTTCTGATTTCATATATACACTGAACCAAACTTCTAAGTGTTTTCATATCAATTTTAAGTTTTCAAGAACAATTGCATAACAAAAATATTTTCTTTGATTCATGTTTAATGATGCATACATCATTTCGATGCTGCGTTAATCTCATATAAGTATCTCGTAAGAATTTTAAGCATTGTGTCAAGGTCATGATGTACCTCAAATGAAATTCACATAAAATAATCTCTTTGGAGTAAGACCACCACTCGCTTTAATTACTGCAAGAATCCTTTACCATTGGATGCCATGTCCTCTAAAAAGGAGATTGACCTAACTGCTGCCATACCTACTGCATGGATCTATCTAAACCGTTGTAATTGTGTGGAATGGGAGGGGGGCTTTTACATTCCTTTTAAAAATACCAAATGTGTTAATGGGATTAAGATTCGAAGATTTGGCATTTGCATCATCACACTTAATCTTTTGGTCAATATCCTTGGGCGTTCAGCACGTTAGTGTACCGCTTTTAGGATGATTCAAACTGTTTGAGATGATATTAGACTGCCACGAGTACCAATGTCTTATAATTTCCTTTCCAATGAAGTTGTTTATTTTAATGTTTTTAAAATTGTTTATGAACAATGTAACACTATAACCTAATTATGACGCAAAATCTTCGCCTCAGACGGATATCTACATCATTTCCAGTTTTCTTAAATTTTGTTCAAAACTCTCAAATTGTAATAATTTGGCGATTAAAATGACTCACAATCTGTAGAAAAATATGTTTAAATGATTTTTCATACTGATTATTAATTCATTTTGAAATGTAATATCAAGGACAAATAAACACTAACCTAAAAGTGAGCGAAACGTGGTGCAAGGATGATCCAGATATTAACATTCCTACGGCTCTTCGTCCTTTCTCAATGACCATTTTGCCACATTTTTGTGTTTTTTTAATTAAACCAGTTTTAAAAAATTGATAATGGTCACAGAAAGATATTAATTACACAAAACATGTTCCGCAAAGTACATATTCATTGTTTTTAAGATTAAACTCGGGACATAGATTTTCATTCATTTTGGTGATAATTGATTTTCTTTCAACAATTGTCGAGAAGGTTCATTGGTTATAAGAATTTAAAATATCATATCATTTTGTCATGTAGTTTTTAATGATATACATTTATTAGAGTTAACTCTTAGAATTATCATTTCAGGTTCACCATGAATGGCTGAAAGTATACCACTTTGACGAATATGAAGGAGGGAGGATAAACTTGACTCTTACAATTTATGATGTTCCGAGATTTTGTTCTTCAAGTATGGACTGCGAAAACCAATTGCTTAAACAAATAGAATTTGTTATGAATCAAGTTTCGGCAGAAATCAATTTAATATGTTTGGCCATAAAAGGGAATGATTCCCATTTGGCGACAGAGCAATTGGAATATTTTAGATCACTCTTAAGTATCTTCGAAGATCATATGATGTCGAATTTTTGTGCCTTATATACTTTTGCGGATGTTGGGGAAGCGTGTATCCATAAAATACTTCGAACCAACGAAATTATGCCGAGGAAATCTTTTCATTTAAACTTGTCTTCTCTCTTTCAAAGTAGTCATCGGTATTCCCAGACTTTTTGGCAAATGAATTCATTTCAACTGGACTCATTTTTTGATTTTGTAAGGCAGTCGTCTGCCAAAGGTATCTGCAAAAAGGAACAGTTGCTAATTCCCCTTCAATCAGAGATAACTCCTGCAGAGCTAGAGGCGTTCAGGAATGATATACATGTAGCCTCCCGACCCACAGAGATAACTCCCGCTAAACTAGAGGAGTTAAAAAATGATATAGCTTCCCTTCAGCCACAGATAACTAAAGATATTTCAGAAATGGGAGAAATAAAGATTCAAATATTTCTATTTACAACACGCAAAGACGAGATCGTGTCGAATGGTGATATATCCTTTACAATAGAAGAAATCCGACAAATAAAAAAAGATCTTACGCCGGGCTTGCATGTAACAAATTGCATGCATTGCTATTATACCTGTCATGAGAATTGTGCGATCCCGGATGATGACGGAAAGAGAAGGTGTAGTGCTATGGATGGAGATGGGAATTGCATGGTATGCACAAGTCATTGCATATGGTCTATCCATAAAAATACCCCATACATTTATGAGTACAAAAAGGAAGTGATCACAAAATCATACCAAGAGATGAAGTTGAATTATGAAAAAGAAAAAGGAAAAGAGCTTACATATGATGAATACCTAGAAAATCTTAACAGTGACATACAAGCACTGCTTGAGAGGTTGCATGGAAAGGTACAAAAGATGGCAGAGTGTCAAAATGAACTGCAAGGTATCGAGCATAGTCCAATCGCACGTTCAGTTGGCGACACAATCGATGATTTGATTGAAGCTGAAAAACGAAAGCAAGAAAGGGGATATGAAAAAAGAATTGAGATGTATGAAGAATTAAAAAAATACTCAAAAATGGTGAAAATAAGCCGAGTTCAAAATTAGAGCAGCTTTTTTTTATCTGAGAGAAATTAAATCCCACTCACAGGACATAAATAGCCTAAACAAAGGATGGCTTTTGCAAAATATTTCTTTATCTTAAAAAGAAATCAATGATTAATATATTTTGGATTATAGATTAAAAGTTTTATACTTTTTTAATCCAGTTAGATGTAGAGAAAAAAAATATGCGTGTGTGTGTTGACATGCTAATCATTTTCGCTCATATATGTGTATGTATAATATTCATTTAAGTAGATTGTATTTATTTTTTTTCATATCAAATTATAATAAATAGAATTTGTATCATTTTGTGGCAAAATCACAATTTCAACATTTGATCACTAGAAAGAAATTGGTCAGAATAGGAGAATGTAGCTCAGTCCAATCTGACTGTAGTGCATTTAGTGCCGGCTGTAAATGATTCCGAATTCTTTATAAGAAATATTTCATTTTTTCATTGATTTTTCTCATATATTATTGTAGGGTAACTTGATTCTAATTTTATATATGATTGAAAAATCTTGAAATATTATATTGTTTGCAGACATTCTTAGATAATTTGAAAATAAATTTGTTTGAACGCAATCCGATGTTTTCCATGTACAATTTAAAATAGTGTTGGCAAATCGGACGATTTTTAGTAACCGGTTACTCGCTCAATCTTCCGATCGAGTACCCGGTTACTCGGATGATTTATTCATATGTATCATTTATCTCATCTTTTACTCATCGGTTCTAATAAAACACGAAGGTATTGTGAATTAACTTTATTTATAAACTTAAAAAGAACACGCACGCAATATCTTGAATTTTAAATATAATTATAATAAAAAAAATTAATTAAATCAGAAGAAAAATAAATATTCAATGTTTCACGCTATTTTACAATGGCGTTCATCAGTTTAACTTTTCAACCCCCGATATGTATGTCACGATCAAGGAGAATAATTATTTAGAAATTTGATGTCACGATAACTCCTATTCACATTAAGGTCAGACGAGACGTTCCTCAAAATCTGTTTTATATATCTTCGTAATGTATGAAAGATATACAAAATTTTAATAACATTCTAATTTCTAAACCAGTTTCTAAACGTTTTAAAAAAAATCATAACACTTAAACATTTGAAATTGGAAAATTATATTTCTTCCCCAAAGGATTATATAAGAAAAACTACCCTTGGTATCTTGCAGAATTGCCTGGTAAGGTACCTCAATTTTTTGTGAGTAAACATGATTGAGTAGCAATACTTCAATGACAAACTTTTAGAAAAATTTATCTATTATTAAGGAACGTCTCGTCTGTCCTTAATTACATTTTACAGGTATAGAATCAGCTGTTCTTTTAAAATACTTCCAAGCTATACATGTCTTTGACGGCATTTTTTAAAATTATTTAATGAGGTAATTATAACTTGGGTCTTCAAAACTTGTATAACCTGCTAGCAATCAAAGCTATCAATTAAGTGTGAAAACCAATCAATCGTATTAGTGAAACCATAGATCATTAAGTCTAACGGTAGAGAAAATTAGAGAAATGTTTATTTGTACGCTTATAAACAAACTAACATTTTATTTTTTAGTTATTTACCATACAAGATGCATTTTATCCGAGTAACCGAATAGCAATTTTACTGACCGATACTCGCATCGTTCGACGGTTAACCGGTTAACCGGGTACTCGTTGCCAACACAAATTTAAAATGATATATTAAGAATATATATATTAAAAAAAGAATTGTATGCTCTTATTTCGTACTGTTTATGGACTTTGATAATAAATACTGTTCGTTATCTCCATACCCTTTATGCATCAAAAGTAGTGTGACTATCACATATTAAATTCGAAACAAAATTCTAAGAATATATCTGTTACATATTCAAATTAATTTATGGCTTTTTTCTGGCAATTGCAATTTTTATAAAATATGCGCAGTGGTTTGTTTAAATGAAAAAGGTAATGAAACAGTGACCAATCTAAAAAATGTAAACAATGGAAATTTATGAGATGGGCATCAAAACCGACGATCCTAAGTTGATCTATTTTTATTTGTTTAACGTCCTTTCAAAAATCATTCACTCGTATTATGAGGGCATCGTTACCAGTCGAGCCCTGCAAGCTTAGTCCTATACTCGCCATATACGATCTTTCAGCAAATAAGGATCCTATTTGAGCCAGCATCCTCTGCAACAAGGAACCTCGAATTGAAAAGCAGTATCCGAAATGTGTCCATATCTCACCATGGGATTCAAAGTCGTGAAGTTCAATTCCTTACTCAACTCTAGAGCAACGCGCCAACAACTGCACTGAATCTAGGTCTTAGAAAAATATTCTGCTGTTAGATTTTTTTCTTAAATGAATAAGACTTTATTGAATTGTATTTTCATAAGAAGCCCAAACTGTTGTTTAGAAATAAGAGGTAAGGTCTAACTATACAAAAGTATTTGTCGATGGTCTTTATTATTGAGTTTCAAATAGATCAAGGATCACGCGCGTAGCAATTTCATACATGTATGACCAAGTTTAATTCACGCGGTTGGTACATTGATGTATACATTGTGATATTCCTGTACAAGCATGGGCACAATTACTGAAAAATATAATTGATTAATAATCTATTACTTAGAGGATTAATTCTGTGTAATCGAATGTTTATCGATTGCAGCCATTTTAACCCTGTTATCGATCGCAAGCGATTTCGTTAAAAGATATAATCGCTTAATAACCGATTAGTTTGAAGTTTTCCCCTCAGATATCAGCGCAACAAAATAATTTTTTAAATGTTGTAATGTAATGATGATGATATTCAACCAAAAACAGCAAAGCAATAATTTGTCAAACATGTATTACCATGCGACATTTACTGATTTGTATCGATATATGCATTGAAGATGGGTACGTATTGTTGCCGGCGACAATATGAACAGGACAACAAATTCTATAGTCACTATCTACGCTGCATTAAAAAGTGTACGAGAACCATCAGTGTGAGTCGAAAAAATAACATTCACAACAAGAGGCCCATGGGCCTTATAGGTCACCTGAGCATCATGCAACAACTTTCCAATGATTGAGTTTGGTTCATGTTTTAAACTAGACACCATGGCATTCAAAATTTTGAAAAAGGAACCATTACTCATCATACTATACACTTAGATTTAACGCATTTTCACTATAATCAATAGAGCCCCGCCCTAACACCAGAACCCCTGACCCAGGGGCCATAAAATTCACAATTTTGAAAGAGGCATTCTTGCTCATCATAACTATATACTTGTTTAGTTTATTTAATACCCAGGAGCAGAGAAGAAGATTTTCAAAGAATAAATGTATTTTCACTATATAAATCAATAGAGCCCCGCCATAACACCAGAACCCCTGACCCAGGGGCCATAAAATTCACAATTTTGAAAGAGGCATTCTTGCTCATCATAACTATGTGCGTAGTTAATCTATTTAATACCCAGGAGCAGAGAAGAAGATTTTCAAAGAATAAATGTATTTTCACTATATAATCAATAGAGCCCCGCCGTAACACCAGAACCCCTGACCCAGGGGCCAAAAATTCACAATTTTGAAAGAGGCATTCTTGCTCATCATAGCTATGTGCTTAGTTAGTTTATTTAATACCCAGGAGCAGAGATGAAGATTTTCAAAGAATTAATGTATTTTCACTATATAATCAGTAGAGCCCCACCCTAACACCAGAACCCCTCACCCTGGGGTCATAAAATTCACAATTTTGGAAGAGGCAATCTTGCTCATGTTAACTATATATTTAGTTAGTTTTTTTAATACCCAGGAGCAGAGAAGAAGATTTTCAAAGAAATAATGCACTTTTACTAAAAGATATGATCTATATAGCCCCAACCTAACCTCAGAACCCCTGACCCTGGGGCTATGAATTTCACAATTTTGGTGGAGGACTCAATGCTGATTATCATCATGCCAACAATTTGACTGCTAGATGTCCAGGAGTAAAGAAGAAGATTTTTAAAGATTGCATTAATTTTGGTGGTTTTGACCCCATCCCTCAGGCCTCAGGGGGGCAGGGGCCATGAATTTCACAAATTTTGTTCCCCTTTACCCATAGATGCTGTATACCAAATTTGATTGAAATTGGCTCAGCCGTTCCAGAGAAGAAGCTGAAAATGTTCAAAAGTTTACGACCGATTGACGACGAACGACGTACGACGAACGACGTACGACGGACGACGACGGACAAAAACAAATAGCAATAGGTCACCTGAGTGACTCAGGTGACCTAAAAATATCCCCCCCCTCAAAAAAAAGAAAGAAACGAATGACACGTCTTTTAGCAGCAATATCTGTGTGTCGACAATATGTACGGTGAGGTGTTAAGACAAATACATGTAATATTGCTAGCGACCATATGTTCAATGCAACTTTTCAGCCCGTAAAACTATGTATCAATGAATGACAATATATGAAGTGAAGGTTTGTAAATATTGTCGCAGACATTATCTACCGTCACGTGGCTGCTTTGTCATCTTTCACTAAGAAAGAATCAAGGGTCGAAGAAAACTGATTCGCACATAGAAATCGGCATAACTTTTTAAAGATTCAATTGATATTGAAGGAAATATGAATGCAAAATTTCATTATTCGTTTTTGTTTTTGTCCTTTTCACTTCCATATAGTACTTTGTCAAATAAAATCCGAAAAAGAGACACACAGTTGTATTCAACTTCATTCAAGCAGTGTTGTAGATTTCAATCAGTCACTCATACAACATAATTAAAGATAATACTTTTCATACAACTACTTAAACAGACAATAAGATGCAGTTGTGTATTTTTAGAATATATTTATCCAATGACTTGTACATCAGGATGTCCGATTCTAGAAATAAAAGAGAAGAAAAGATAAACTATATATTTATGCAAAAGTAACACATTAACAGCTTCCATTACAGTTACATGTACATACCGTAAATACTAGTTGAACAATTTGCGGTTTGGTTGAACGTTACAAACGTTAAAATTGTATTCAAATTCACTCAAAAAGGAAGTTTTAGAAAAGAAAAACTTTTGGCCCTAATTCTGGAAACCCGAGAACAAAAATACTGCATGTTTACAAAAATTAGCATATTCAAAATTTAGCGCAATCACCAGGTATGGAGTGATTGGCGTAGTCATTAGTTAGCGCTACACATGTAACGCTAAAAATTATTGTTGTCTATGTGTATCAGTAAAATTTTTATATCTTACTCTAAATAATTTTTAAACATCGTATTTAGATTATTGCTGTTCAATTAGCGTGTCCGCCTGGCTGAACATAGCCTTGAGGTATTTATTGTTCGGTCGAAGTTTGGGTGTTGAGCATTTAAATACATTTGCTAGTAATTAAAATAATTACCGGGAACTTAAGATTTTCTAGTCAAGGAGGATCAATAATTTGTAATTATGTCAGAGTAGTGTTGTGTAACTAATACCGCATGTGCAATGTACATTATCGGGACCTACATATAGAGCGTATGCGGGTCGACACAGTTGATCTGAATGGTCCAAGTGACAAGTGCCTAATACCCATTTTAAATTAAAATTGATGCTCAAAAGTGAATTTGAAAAGTCACATGAAACATGGAATAGTATTTACAAACATAATGATACAATTATATAAGCATATTGAAATAGATGAATAAATCGGGCTCAGTGTTCAAGGTCTGATAAAATGGCATATCGAAGCAAGTGATTGAAAAAAAAACATCATATCGTATTCATTTATTAACGGTACTCATGAATTATGGCATCGATGTCTGCACCAAAGCCGCTTAAATATGAAGCCCGCTTAAAGTACACATACAGTCTTTCTAAAATCTTGAAGGTGCTGATTAATTTGATTGTCAAGAGGTCCTTGGAGAATTTTTAGTAAGGGGTCTATTGATACACAAATGGTCTATGTCTTGAATTAGCAGGACAAGCTAAAAAAAAAGTCTAGCTTATATAACCAAGGTAATCACTCCTAATTTATTCGAAATATTAATACCGTAATAAATTTCGACTTGTGAAAGTTTTCTTTGCTTTATTGAATACAATTTGGATTTTATTTTTAATCTTGTCTAGCACAAATCTAGAAATGCTTGAAATAAAGTAAACAAATTGGAGATAAAAATCATCGTAAATGTTTTGAATGAATAGAACCTTTCTTAGTAAAGAGGAACTACTTATACCCAAATCCGCTGTATTATATCTCATTTTTTGACAAAGACTATTAAAAGAAAAATGTTTAATGAAGAAAGAAAAAAGTTATGCAAAAAGAGAAAACAAAATAAAATGTCCATTATGCTATATATTTGATCGATTTTGCTATAAATAAAACAAAACAAAAATAAGATATATTGTACAATTACATCCCATGTATTTGTTACTTTTATAAATGAAAATTATTATTCTTCAGAATTATACAGTCAATCTGACTGGTTTAGAGCATGTCACGTGAGGTGTGAGAATTCGTTATGTCTCCCTCACAGGCAGGGTGACAACTTTGACACAATGAGATAGTGTAAGCGAGCATGCAGGGTTACGAGTGTGTTGTCGCCTTTTGAAATTACAGTGGTTTAAGCAAGATTACTCTTATTTATGATTATACATGTACAATGGCTAAATATGAGGGATCGGTAAACAATAAATTCTAACAATCACGTCAAAGTTGTCTGTTGACATATTTTAAAAGTATGGAATCAGAGCAGAGAAGGAGATCATGAGATATTTTATAAATAACTATTTTCTACTCTATCTTATTGATAATTTAGATTCTTCAGGATTATAAAACTGTTATGGACTGTTTAGAAGGGAGACATCACCAATTATCAGGTCTGAGTAGGGTTGTCACCTTCGGGCGAAAGCTCGATTAAAAATGCAAAATCTATAAACTATTTTTTAATTCTCCTAAAAGATTTTATTCACACTACATGTACGTACTCTTTCTCACAGATGAAGTCGTATTCGTTTTTGCAGTGATCATCATTCCAATGGTAACCCTCGTGATATGCTAATGTCATGCAAGCTCCGCCCACTCCGTTGTTAGGTTCCCCCGGGGCCCATCCTTTATAGGTGAAGGGTGTTTGATTTGATATCCACACCCACTGTCCCTCGGCAAAGGCGTCTGTTCCCCCTACCCAAAAGTGCTCTAAAACAAAATTCAGTATATTCATTTTCTTTTTAATGCATTGGAAGAAAATGATCTCACTGGCAGTCATTATATTCTATGGTCTACATTAGGAAGGTCTATGAAAATAAACCATATGCAAAAACCTGATATGTGATTCTGTATCAAATGGGTTCGAAGGAAATGATCTTCATCGGCGTTATTGATTTCTGCCAGTATCGAATCAACATTTCGACAAAATGCCTAAAATCAAAGATAATGTAATCGTAATATAAACTATAAAATCTGTTTACTATGTCTTTTCAATACAAGGGCACATGGAATTAATTCAAATAATAAAATTTAATGAGTTATGATTAATACCTAGAAAAATATCATTTAGTCAATATAATTTTTTTACAAATTATTATTAATATTAAATATTGCAATCAATAAGTAATTTTATATCCCTTTAACAATTAATTTCTTGGTTTTTTTTCCATACATGTAACTCTTTCAATTCATAACTGGAACACCTTTAATATCGTATCATCATTCAAAAAATAAAAGCTCTGTCAACTGTTTCATTTCATGAGTATTAAATCATGTAATCTGACGTGAGTTAATTTCATGTCTGAAATATTACCGAATCGTCTCTAAACAACAGACAATCAATGGTATGATTAAATCTAATTCAATAAAGTGTGATATGAGAAACGTTACTTGCCCCGGCCTGCATCATATTTGCTTTGATGTCCCTGACAAACGCATAACAAGAGCCTCCATGCCAGTACCACTGGTCCGGGCAGGGATTCTGAGCAAATGTCTCAAGACTGAGGTAGCAAACTGGAAATATATTGAGAGAACTTTACCAAGAACTGTTTAGGAAAAGTCATTAACCTTGTATTAGAGAAACACCGACATCTTACGAACGGATGTAACCAAAAACGGGGATCAGTCATTGTGGTATATTGTATTCACGGTTGGATTACTGAATTCTTCAATCTTATTGGGAATTCGATAGAAAAAATCCCCCCAAGATGACTCAAATCCACGTCTTGTCGTAGTCGCTACCGTGAGGCTACAATACATTTCAATGGACATTTAAACGAGCAAAGGGGTTCGAGAAGGGAAATGAAAGAAAAATTATAAAAATGTCATTCTGTGGCATGAAATTAAAAATAATAGTATGTTCGGCTCTATAGGGGTTGAAAAGGGGGGGTTACTTTACAAAGGGCGGTCGGGAAAAAAAGGAGTTATGGTCTAAAATTAAATTGCAAGATCCCAAAAAACTTAAAAGAAATTCTTGTTCAAAATACTATATGCTGCGAAAATAAGATTAATATGGCTTTTATACACAGGTATTATAGCCATATCATAAATCCAGGCGGATGCCCGTTCGTAATTTGTCCGTTGATAAAGCTTCTTCTTACAAACATGTATCTTAAAAATCTTTATATAATTCTCACGGGTCCTAGTGGACTGGACCCCCCTCCCCCTTTAACGTCCCAGACCCAAAACTTCTCGAGATATTGCTCGAAACAAAAGTGTTACAGACTTACTTAACAGAATTATAAGACGAACGAGCAGACCGAAATTAAAATCCCCAACTTTCCGCGGGGGGGGGGGGGGGGTATATTTTTTAAAAATAAAAAGTGGATTTTTTGTACTTTTTGGATTTTTCATATGAAATACATTGTACAGTTTAAATATGTACTAGACGGTTAATTTATGAAAGAATACAAATATGAATATCATGGGACCCGGTATGTATATTGGGGATTGGGGTGGGGAGGTTGTCTGGTCCATAAGGCACTTGTGATAAGAAATGTTTGCACTTACTTTTGAAGGATTCCATGACAACTAAGTGACAACTACGTTTTCATATTATTCACACTTTTAAAAGTCCTGTATCTTTTTGTCGGTATTCTGGAATCATTTTTTTTTTGTCAACAGGACGGTAAATATATATTTTTCCTTACAAATGAAGCAAGTTATAATTTCGGTCATAGTTTTTAAGTGTATATTGGACCTTCGGTCAAAAAAATCCGGTCTATGTGGTCAAAAGTATAAAGTGTTATAAATAATTTTATATTTTGACGATTAATGTAATACTATAGAAAACTTAGCTACTGTATACTTGTGTGCCTCAATAAAAAAAAAATCTTTCATTTTGGCTTCCCAAGGAATTGTTTGGTAGTGACTCTAAACTAAAACAGTTTGGTTGTGCCCCCCCCCCCCCAACTGATATTGCTTGCTTCATCTGTTACATATTTCAAATAAAAGCAGCTCAAGATGATTTAGTTATGATCGCCATTTAATACATCACCTTCAGAAGATACTGTCTACCATGAATGCCCGTTTATTTCTTTGAAGTGATATTTTAATAAATTTAAAAAAGAATCTCTCTCTCTCTCTCTCTCTCTCTCTTTAGATCTCAATACAAGACACTTTATAAAGCGCACTACTTATTTACTTGATTGCACGGATTTATTTTTCTTCAACCTGTAAAAAGTAACCTTTCCCCATATGAACAAGGCGCACACTACGAGTAGTTTGTATACGTTTAATCACTGACGCATGACAAACGTGTTTCCTAATCCGTCTAAAGTATTATGGTGTATTTTCTTCTATTCGCTTTTTTAAAACACTGTAAGTGATTACAATAAATTTGACTTGAGCAATTTTCAATTACAAAGTGGTTAAAACACTCTCCGTTCTATTTACACATATACTTATTTCTTTCGATTTTAAACTTTATATGGGTACAATCACTGGTCCCGAGAAAACTATCAAGATACGGGAAGTTAGGGCGAGTTACGTTCGTTCGTAAGATGTCGGTGTTTCTCTATTAAGATACATGTAGGTTACACATCTACTCGGTAAGAAAATTGTAAGAGAAAACATATTCTGAATATTTGTTAAAGTGTTCAAAAACCTTTGCAGTCTATCACATGTAATTTTCATCAATTTTGTACACGTGGTGCTATTGCTTTGTCAATGTAACTGTTAATCCTTAGCGGTGCAAACTATGACTGGCAAAATGTAAAGAATTTGTGATTTATGTGATTTATAAAGTTATATTTTGAAATAGTTTTTGATATTCAATAGGAAAATCTGAATATTTACAAATATGAATTTATCTTACCAATGAGAAGGAAAAACAGAATCATTATAATGTCCTTAGTGTGAAATTGACTCCTTCTGGAATAAAAGATAAATTGTCTTACGTATAGGTAAATTATTGCTGATAGTATAAGGTCTTATCACACGACAAACAGAATTGTCCCAGACAAGTTAACAGAAAATTGTGAATAAACGACTTTGTGAATATTGTTTTGCCCGAAATTTGATGCCCATTAGAATTAAAAGAAAGTTATAATTACATGTACCTTGCATAATTCTTTTTTTTTTGTAAAAGATTCATTTGGTATATTAAATAGATATCAGTATATCGTGATAAACTTTGAAAATGCAATTATAAATACATGTAGACATCAATTTTTTATAAAACAAAACTTTACAATATTTTCCTGCCATTATACAAGCATCAAATTAACCTCAAATTTGGACAGAATTAATTTTTGTATCTGCTATAGAAGAGGAAAGAATTACATTACCTTTCAAAATAGAAGTCTTTATCAGTTCAATACATATTCAAAAAAAAAATTTAAGACATTATTAGGAACACTATTTTATCAAGGTTTAAATATGTTAAACATCTGCCGTGTATTTATCAAGGATACATTTGATAATAAAGTTCAATCGATATGTGAAATCAACGGGCCTACTAAAAAAACAAGTCAGCTAAAACATGAGAGGTCATACTTGCCATCAAGGTCATTATAAGGACCAAAAAATACGAATAGCTTATGTTTAAAGAGATTGTCAGATCCTATTCAATATCAACTTATTTGTAATTAGCATATCTTGCTTCACTGTTCGTACACAGAGCAAGCTATAAACAAATAACAAATAAGATGAGAGACATGAAGACTATCACCAGATGCTACTTGAATATTGATAAATAAGGATGTTTAAAGATGCTAAAGCTAAGATCATCATGGTTTTCATACAATTTAGTTGTATTGACACTTATTGTCTAGATTTTTCTCTTACAAATTTTGCTCCATAGGAATATAAGAAGGGGTCAGCTAATAGAGGGGCAAAATTAAGTGCATATTGGAACTCCAGCATGAATAAAAACTTGTATGAAAACTTCGTTGACCTGAGGTTTAGAATTGCGGGCAAAACAATATTCACACATTTGTATAAATCACAATTTTATGTCTACTTGTCTAGAACATTTCTGTTTGTCGTGCGATAAGACCCTTTGCTATCAGCAATAATGAACCTATGCGAAGACAATTGATCTTTTATTCTAGTGCAAAGACAATTGCACAGCAAGGATAAGAATTTGTAATGATTCTGTTTTTCCTTATCTCCGGTAAGGTAAATTCATTTTGTTTAATTTCATACTTTCCTATTAAATGTGGAATAGTGTCGTAAAATAATAACTTAATATTAAATCAGTACAAATGCGTAATCACAGGCTCTTGATATTAAGTCAATCAAAAATTTGCATCAGAAACATAGAGCAGTTGCAATAACATTGCAATAGAGCCACGTGGACAAAATTGATGAAAATTACATGTAAAAGGCTTTAAATTGTACATAACAAATATTCAAATTATGTTTACTCGTATAAATTTCAGTTACCGAGTAAAAGTGTGACCTACATGTACGAGATTTTAATGTAAGATTAATGACCTTTCCTCTGCTCAAAGTAAAGCTTTCAATTTTATCAAAAGAGCTCTTGTTAAATTCATGTCAGTATATTTCCAGTTTGCTATCTCAGTCTTGAGACATTTGCTCAGAATCCCTGCCCCGACCAGTGGTACTTTCATGGAGGCTCTTGTTATGCGTTTGTCAGAGACATCAAAGCAAATATGATGCAGGCTGGGGTAAGTAACGTTAAAATAATTTCACTCAGAAATGATATGGTATAAAAAATAATGTTATATTGTACAGGGAATTTTATTTTTCTACATATATATATAGTACAAACCGGTTTGAATGAAAAAAGCACAACTTATATAATATAAATCAAATGCATGCACATCTGTAGTAAAAAGATAGTAAAGATATGTAATTATAATTCCGGCTTGAAACGCGGGAGTGTATATAGTGATTAGGATGTCCGTTTTCGTTCGCCCGTCCGTCTGTCTGTTACGCCTTGGGGTACCCATCTCTTATCCACAACTCCTCCTATACCGTTGAATTAAATCTAATGAGACTTTCTCAGAATCTTTGTTATATAGTGCCATGCACTGTGCATCCCCAAATTCCCCAATTATACGTTTTGATCGGACACATATTTTGAGTTTAATAGAGCAAATCATGGACACAAATATTCTATAATATTGAAAGGTAACCATCTTCTATCTGCAACTCCTTCTACACCACAGAATAAAATTTTACGATACTTTCACAGATTATTCATTACATAATGCCATTGTAACCTTTTATTTTACTTTTTGATCTGACACTTATTTCGGGTCTCCCAGCGTAAAATATGAACTTCGCCATTATAACCATATGAAAGTTGGGGGTGTAATTTAGTGCACTCATTGCTCACAGAACCTCTAGTCGTTTATATAACAATTTCATTATTATATCTGATTTTAGGCATTTTGCCGTAATGTTGATTCGATACTGGCAGAAATCACCAGCCCTGAAGAAGATCGTTTCCTTCGAACCCATTTGATACAGAATCACATATCAGGTTTTATTCTTAAATACCTGACGTTTCTAAGGCTTTTATAAAAACGATTTTGATATTTGACATACCAGGAAAACGTCAGAGCTGTTGCCATTACGAAAACTGGGAATCTCGGCGTCTCCAACCGGAATTGATTTTCGTTACTTGCGAACCTAATAAAGTTATCAGGAATACATTTGGAGGTCCATGTTTACTCTTCTTCTACTTTGTATCGTTTCATGAAATTTTTGGCTCGAATACTACTCGTTATCCCAATATATTTCATTCTAGTACTCATCAATATTAATAAAATAATATCACATTTCGATACTGGTCTTGCAAGATTTTAAATTGCGCGAAACAAAAACGATTCTCTATATTCTGATAAAATGTTTTCACCATACTCTATGTTTTATACACGAACAATAGAAAAGATGTGGGTCACTACATGAGTAATGAACTATTAATGCTGATAAGTGTTGAGTTTGCCCTTTTATTCGGTTCACAAGTACCGAAAATCACACCGAGAATACCGTCTCAGATAAACAATGGATGCGGCGAATTCCCAGTTTTAGTATTGGCATCGGTTCCACATCATCATATCTTAAAAAGGCCTGGCAATAGGATTATCTATTGACAAGCTTGAAATATGATTAACCCTAAACCATTGACACTTTAAAAAAAGGAAGTAAATATATCAAAAATGTTTTTCTTTTATTGTAGAACACTTTTGGATTGGGGGAACTGACGCCTTTGCAGAGGATCAGTGGGTGTGGATATCAAATCAAAAGCCCTTCATCTACAAAGGATGGGCCCCGGGGGGAACCTAACAACGGCGTGGGCGGAGCTTGCTTGACATTAGCATATCACGAGGGTTACCATTGGAACGATGATCACTGCAAAAACGAATACGACTTCATTTGTGAGAAAGAGTATGTACTTCTGGTGTCTTTAGAACCTTTAAGGAAAATTCCAAAAGAATTAAAGTATATTTTAAGTAATTATTAAACTAGACAAATGAATGACAAACATAAAATATTTGATAATCTTTCATTATTTTAACAATCATTTACACATGTAAAAAAGGATATTCTCGTAAAATGTTTTGAATCTCTTAATACAGAACAAACCAGAACACAGAGCCCACTAAATGATATCCCCCATGCATCTCCTATATGAATTTAATGGCAAAGCCCATGTTTTGATCTGGGAGACCCCAAAAATGTCTCAGATCAAAACGTGAAAAAGGAGGTGCACAATGGCATAATGTAATAAAGAACCTGTGAAAGTACATATACCATATACAATTAAATATTATTCAGTTGTATAGGAAGTGTTGCAGATAAGAAATGGATACCCTTTAATATTATAGAAAGAATTGCAGTATCCATGTTTTTTTTCTTGAAAAACCCGAGATATGGGTCCGACCAAAAAGTAAAATAAGATGTGCACAATTGCACTATATAATAAAAAAAATTATAAAAGTCTCTTAAGTTTAATTCAGTCGTACATGTATAAGAGGAGTTACGGATAAAGCGTAACAAACGAATTGGACGGGCATACAGACAGACGGATGGACGAACGTATAGGCATACGGACCAACGGACGGACGGACATCCCGATCACAATATACTCTACTACTAATCAAGTAGGGGATGTCATTAATTGCTTGAAAATGGACAATGATTTTTGTTTCCTTTTTCTTTTCCTTATTAATTTTTCTTTATTCTAATTCTTGTATGTACTTTCTCAAAGATGTAAGGTATAATACAGCAGGTTATTTATTAATATACATGTTCTCCTAGAGCATAATTCTTTGGACGTTTCTTTTACCTATGTTAAGTGCCATAAATTTTTCAAATGTGTATCAAAAATCTTTTTAAGATTTTTTTTCCAAGGACCTATTAAAGGGCATAAAACACAGTATCTTCGAGAATTCGGAAATATTTGGTGTTCTGGGGTTTTAAGTTTTAACATTTGAGTAACTTCCTTTTTTGAATGAATTTGATTAAAATTTAAGATAACGATTTTTAATCTTCGTGCCGTTCAACTAAACACCAAGACCGCAAATTGTTCAAACTTTTATCTATGTTACTGTGTATCTTAAAATGTTGATCTACCATGACTATATGTTTAAACTTTTCTATTATATTTTTAGAATGGCAAATCCGGATGGACAGATCATCGGATAGATATCTTCTAGAAATTCATAAATTCATCAGTCTGTTAAAATGGTTGTATGAAAAGTTTTACTTTTCAATTATGTTGTGTGGGTTGCTAATTGAAATCTTTAAACCTGATTGAATAGTCTTTTTCGGACTTTATTTTGACACACTTACCGAGCCTGTTAAATGCAAAAAAGTTGAATAAATAACAAAAAAACCGAATTATGAAATGTGCATTAATATTTCCTTCAAAATCAAAAATGAATCATAAACAAGGCATGCCGAGCGCTATGCGTTGTGTTTTTCATTATATACTATTTCTTCTGTAACATAATTCTTTGTATATCTTTCTTAGTGAGGGATGAAAGCACACAGTGAACAAAACGTATTGTTATCCGTCGGTACATACTGTCGCCGGCTAAAAAGTTTCATATGTACATATTGTCGCTAGCATCATTATGCGCTTTATCCCTGATTCACATATTGTCCCATGAATATTGCTGCGAAGCATTGTTAAATCTGAAAAAAGGGGGCGGGGCCTAATTTATACGGGAAAAGTTTACTGTGACTTTTATGTATTCCTCATAATACCTGAAAATGAAAGAATTTGCTACAGTAACTTTAAACTTTATAAGCATTATAAACAACAATAAAACTTATCAATGCATTAAAAAAGTTGCTAGTTAAATTCCATACAGCTGGTTATAAACAAAGCACTGATCGTGATGAAAGTTCATCGCGATCAGTGCTTTGTTTATAACCAGCTGTAAACATGACGTCATTTTTATAAAATGACGTATTTCATGTGCTGTGAGAAGCAAATTGAGGAATTTTTTAACAATGAAAAATGCGATTTATTATTAAACGGGGAACACTTCTAGTATACCGGTCCCTATAAATATGGCGCTAAAATAGGTGCCTATTTAATCTCGGGAATGAAAAACGCAAGTAAACAACGATCTGTAATATAACATGCAATTGGTGTCATCCATATCTTCTAAAGATGTTAGTAAGAATTTACATTGAAGCTTCAGATTTGTACTATAAATAATGAATAAACATAACTCATTTATTGCTTCTTCATTATTCTTTATAGAATAACTCTTAATTATTCTTTATATCCGTATATGAAGTAAAAAAAATTGAACTCTTTAAATATCGCTTTATAACCAACCTTTTTTTATGAACATCCAGCGTAAGACTAGGAACTTTCACACAATGCATGAAATTACGTTTTCACTTTGCAGCAGAACACATTAAAACACATTTATTGAAACAAGAAGATCAAAATTGCAATGAAATAAAGGAAATTCCGTTCTTTGTTGTGTTAATAATTAGCAATAATCCGTATATCAAGATTCAAACGTATTTAGCAAAATAAATGATTTAATAAATAAAAAGGAAATTAGAAAGATTTATTAGAGTCAGGTTAATAAGAGTGGTAATCAAATTCTTAGACCCTGCAAAGAAAAAAAATAAAATAAGTTATACAAGTATAACTTCAACATTAAAATATACATTTCTTCGTAATAAAAAGATCATATAAAGAGAAATCTTAGTCATGAAGAATGGGCGGAGAGAAGCGGAGCCCATTCTTCGTGACGAAGATTTCTCTTCATATGATCTTACTGACTTAGAACAGAACCTCAGCCAATCAAATGAATGGGTTAAAAATAAACTCCTCCCAAGACTGTGTCATATATAAGGCTCAACTTGACCGCTCGTTGTACATATCGAGCATGCAATCAATATCGATCACATGCAGTTTCAGAATGGACTCCCAAACCCATTCAGGTTAGCACAGGATTATATGAAATAGCTTGATTTACTGGGGAAATGGTATGATGAAGATATTAAAGTAACTGAACTAATGAATACCCATGTAACAAGTAATCGTAATATCTATATTTTTTTAAAAATGATTGTGTTAAGATGACAAGGCCCTGGGCAGTAGGAGTGGGTATCGCTGTCTAACATCAAATAAAAATTTGATGAAAATTGTGATTAAATCTGTCTTCAAAGAAAGGTTTGTCTCTGATATACATGACGATGGTTGTATTTTCTGTATGTACCGAAATGTAAACAAAAATATTCAAAAAGGCGACAAAAGATTACAGTGGGAGAAAATGTAGCGAGGCCTAGAAAGTTTAAATATCATTGTAAACAGCACGTGGTTTTGAATAGTTTCTTTTTGTGTGATGAACAAAAACCAATGAAGACACACCCATATAACTGTCAAATGAACCAATCATACACTGTTAAATATTTCATAAATAGAAAAATTCTTCACCATGGAGAATCACTTCTTCGCGAGAAATGGAAGCATTTGATTGGCTGAATAAGTAGGTTATGTTCTAAATTTCTGTATTTCGTGCTAACTCACATTTTATTCACCATATTATGGTCTCTGTTTTGCTGATAAATAAAATGTTTTCTATAAAAGTCAAAACATTTTCTCACAATAATTCTTATCCCAAAAAGCCAGAAAGAGCAAGGTTATTATGCACGTCAGAAATTTTTATGAATTACCTTTGCAAGGTGCTAATAAGTTTTTAAATGATGAACTGTGTTATATACTAGTAGATCACAAACAAAAAGTGGAATCTTTTATTATTCTTACTCTAATATAGATTAGATGTTTTTAAAAAATATATAAGGTCAACCTACTCTTTCTCACAAATGAAGTCGTATTCGTTTTTGCAGTGATCATCATTCCAGTGAAAACCCTCGTGATATGCTAATGTCATGCAAGCTCCGCCCACGCCGTTGTTAGGTTCCCCAGGGGCCCATCCCTTGTATGTCATTTGTTTTGGGTTTGAAAGCCACACCCACTCTCCCTCTGCAAACGCATCTGTTCCTCCAACCCAAAAATGTTCTGAAATATCATCAAGAAACCAATATCTTCTTCTAAAAATTACTTTGGTGAATGTACAACTTAAAAAAATAATGAAATTTAGTACAGAAAATAATTGAACAATATATAGTTGCTAAGAAGTCCTAAAATGTACCGAATATCCGCCAAAAAATAATGAAACCACTGCATATCAAAGGTTTTATTCTTGCTTAATTTTGAAAATGAATAATACTACAAACATTTATGCAAGAACGGTCATTTTCAAAAACATTTAGTAAATCTATATTGGTTAGCTACTGATCATGAATGACAACAACAACACGACAAAATATTGCTGGAGAATATCATCGTAATTGCAGTATCCTTACAAAATAATTTAATTTAAAAGAATCAGCATTGTTTAAAAACACCACAGGTTCTTTCAAATTGATGATGAAAATCGATATCTACCTGATAAATGACTCTGTGTCAAGTGTGTTCGAAGAAACTGATCCTCACTCGAACTTTCAATTTCTGTTAGCTTAGAATGCGCATTTTGACAGAATGCCTGTAATATTTTTAAAAATATTATCAGATGATATTTCCTTTTTAGTGTAAGAACTTTTAATTTACCATAAACTGAACATACACATTCATCAATTAAACCGAAATAGCAATTAAGATACTGAACCACTGCATCCATCCAGTTAGCTTTCAGATTTGTGATAAATGCGTAACAGGAGCCACCGTGCCAATACCATTGGTCTGGACAAGGGGTCTGTGAAGATGTCTCCAACAAAAGACAACTGACTAAAATGTTAAAGAAGGTATTCTTATATGTAATAAATTACTACATGTATGAATAAAGTATAATGTTTAAACACAAGATGCAATTGAACATATAAAGCTATATTTGCTTTATTTGTAAATACATATTCATTTCTGCTAGATCATGCATATTGCAAAACAAGTTTGTCAGTCAGATGTTTAATTTGTAATATATGTTTAATTTATATTTTTGTAATGTACCTCCCTTTTAAACGGAAAGATATATAAATTTTTCTAATCAGTATAGGGACGATTTAAGACAGGGTCTCATTTATCTGGAGAAGGTTAAAATGGATTCAAAGGCCTTACAAAACAAAAGGATAAATTTATATTGATATATATTTTAGCTATCCGGACGCACCGTCATGATAAATTATTCAGGAAAGCAAGCGTTCCGATTATTGAGGCTTAGCCGTAGGTTCCAGTATCTATGAAGTGAAAATAGTGAGAGTTTGCAAAAGTTTAAATTTCTTTTACTCAGATTCCAAACAAGATGTACTTCTCTCTGAATGAAGGATATGGGGATAATGAACAGTACTCAATATTAAAGTCCATACAACAATACAAAATTAGAGCAGAGCAAACACGGACCTCTAAAATATCAGAGAGGTTTCTTGAAAACAGGTGATTTACAGACATTAACCTATATATTATTACCTTAAATGGACTAGTGACCTATAAAATGATTTTGGACATTTTCTTATAAAAAAAACACATTACTTACCTATTATAGTAGAAAATAAAATCATTATTACTGGAATTAATAGGTCATTGATAGCAACCTCTTATGTTAGGTGAGACCCATTCTGGAAGCCACGAATGTCTTATCTTACAACAAAATACGCATTTCTCTACTGACGTGCATATAATATTGGATATATTTTCAAGCAGACTCAAATTCATTTTATTTGTTTCAATAATAATCTATTTTGTCCCAAACATAACAGCGTCTTTTGAAATGTAAAAATGTTTGGATAACAAAAATGATTTCGTGTTATAGAGAAATTGTCAAATAAATGTTAAAATAAAATACATTAAAAATTATTTCATTTGATCATCAGATGTTTTGAAATTTATACAATATCAAGAAACTCATAAATTATTTTTTGTCAGGAAAAATGATATAAATAGGTAATATTTTGTTGTTGGAACAATATAATCTTTAGGAAAAAAAACCAAAAATCACTGTCAAATCCTTTGGTGATAACAAAATGAACACGTATAGTTTACCAGATAAACTGTTAGCAGTGAATACTGGTAGTAAGCTATCCAAAAGATAGCAGCTAAAAATAAACAACATGTACATAATTATCTATTCCAAGGATGATAACTCAACTCTTAAAATGATTTCACAAACGAATTGCATGGAAAATGTCTATCGAAATTTATCAGAAAAAATGTACATTTAACTCTACGGATCATTTATTTTCCTTAATTTTTAAGAACTTTTTAATTTTCCCTAACTTGATGTGATCTCAATATATACATGTATTTAATAGTTTTACTTTTTCACTCTTTTTGTATTTCTAAAGACCTTCTTAAATCATCTCACTGACTATCAAATTTAACACTTTTAAAGGAATCATCCAGATTTATATTCAATATTAGAACAAAATCCTTGAGATCCTTGGACTGAGTATATTCTTTTGCTTCTACGTGTATATTACTGAATTGATTGCGAGACTCCTAAAATATATGCTTTTAATTATGCATGAGAATTACACAATAATCTCCTTTTGCACAATCTGCTTTAAAATCAATACTTTTAAAATTCAGAGAATAAGATTTTCGTAAGCTTTACCCATTGTTTTGCCCTAATTTATAATTTCTAATGCATCAGCCTGAATACAGGTACATTGTACTCAATATATATTATACAAATTAAATCATTATTCGTTAAAAAAGAAAAGCAGTAGATCCACATATCTAAAAAATATTATTTTAACATGTATTTATTTCTATTTACACAAATGACAAAAGATAATGTAGGACAATTATTTTGTGATTTTATATTGCTTTTATCCAACCACATCTGGTCCACCAATTGATCTGTATAAAAAGAAGACAAATGTATCATATTCAATCGTTATGAATTAAGTCAATTTTAAGATGCATGGAAAGTACAACATCAATCAAAATATTCTTTCTTACTTAAAGGTATGTTTCATGCATAATTGACATTTTGTTTCAAATCCTTTTCGCATACCATTTAATAAAGGATAAAAAATTACATGTATGAAATGAATTCATTACTTATAAAAGAGGAAAAAAAGCAATATCAATTTAAGACAAAATTTTCTGTAAAACCTACTCTGATTCACAGATAAAATTATACAGTAAGTGGCAATCTGCATCATTCCAGTGAAAATGGACATGTGATCCAAGATGTGCGCAATTTTCCCTTATTCCTCCATTTGGCTCCTTACTGGTTGCATACCAATCAGTATATACAAACGGTTGTTTCGTTGAGAGCCAGAACCAATTGCCTTCAACCAGCATATCAGTTCCCCCAATCCAGAAGCTGCCATTACCAAATTGACCACCGGGTTGAACTGTAAAAAAAAAATAATAAATCAGAAAGGGATATTTTGGCAGAAGGTGAAACATTGAATTCAAAGTTAAACAATCTTAAATACTTCCTACAATATAAATTTATACTCTAAAGAATGATATCTGCTTTGGCATACGTTAAAATCACGCATTTTCTGCAATCCATCCAAAGCATTTTTTTTTAGTCTCTTGGTACAAATGATAAAAAAATCTGAAAAAATATACTGAAATATCAATGGCATACTCTGCAGCTGATGTATAGCGTAATTTTTCAGAAAGTTGTCTTCTTGTGCAGACTCAATCTCAACCAGATATCCGCCGAGTTCAGTACACATTGACTAAAAAAACAGTAATTTTTTTCACACATAGAATAGAATCGTTCAGTGCGTAAGACAATTATCATTTTTACATTTAAAATTATGTGAATGGAACTGAAATGTCATCATTGTTTACCGTGGCTTCACTCCAGTTTTCTTGAAGGTGAGTGACAAAGAGATAGCAGGAGTCTCCGTGATTCACCCATGGTTTGTTGCATGTCCCTCCAAGCGCAGTGACAACAAAACCTTTAAGAAAATCAAATATATGTTTACATGAAATAACTTATTTTAAAGGCAGTTTAGTTTTTCTTGCTTTCGTGTTAAAGAAAATTCCATGAATACACGTCCTTGAGAAGTAGATAAAATTCCACATTTTGTTCTATAGACAAGTAGTACTTGAGGAATAATTAGATTAGAGAGAAAATCAAATACAAACAACAATAAGACTGTGATGTTAATAATATATAAGTTAAAAGCCTGGTGACCATATCCTTAAATTTCCAAGACACAATTTATGAACAGAGGTTTTTTAAGACATACAATGGTACGCTCAAAACAGATTAAATTTAACACGACTTATACTAAAAATTAAAGATATATAAAGTCTGTTGTTGCAGATAAACCTCTCATGTTGATAGTTGTTAATGTATATAAAAATACAGATTTAAAAAAAAATCATTTACGTATATAAATTAATGTGAACGACCATGAAATAGACACATTGGATATTAAGGTGATAACAGACACATAGGAGAGCTTATTTTGACATGCTTGTAAAATAAATCAGCAGATAAGTGAATGTCTCTCAAAAGTAAGAACATTTCATGAGAATTTTTTTTACTTACAGAATAACACAAACGTGCGAAACATGGTTATCTTTGGTACACTTCTACTTAATACCTTACCTTGACTCGATTGTGACGAAAGATAACAATTATTCCCTATGCCTCGGACAAAATCCGATCAAGATAAATTTTCAAAACAGGTTTAAATCAAATATATACATGTATATTAAAGGACACTCAAATATTTAAACATAAAAATATATTAATAAAGTAAATTACAATTGATTGAAAATATAACGTGTAGAATTTCTCTCTAAACTAATCTTTTATTTGTTGATAACAGTCATGCGAAATCTTTGTGAAAAAGATATAAAATGCATTTTCTTTCATATATTAAAATTAATTGCCTAAAGAAGGAAAGAAAAATCATGTCTGTGGCGTTTTGTGAATATCATTTGCCTGACACAAATTAGTTCTTTCAAAAATTCGTTTTATTCATACTGCAAAGACCATTATTTTGCTAAAGTACATGTTACCTTGATGAAAATGAACAGACATAAACTGTCTACACATTTTATCCACATATAAAAAATGTTTTATAAGATACTTAGACAAAATGATTCCTTATACCCCTGTTGTAAATTGTTAAATCCTCGTAAAGTCAATAGAAAAAAAATCTTCATCTTCTAAACGGTGATAAAAAATGATTTACGAAATACAAATTATCATTTTAAACATCCTATTGGCTTCATCCATCGTAAAAGAATACTTCAATTAAATGAAAATTTAATCATCCTTTTATATTAGTCTGAATTGCTATGCGTCATTTTTGGACAATGTTTCTCTACCTAATCGCTCCCCTGGAAAGGTAAGAATTAAGTTAAACAATAAAATGGACAAAGATGTCGTATGTAATATAAAACAGCGCACCAGAGGAAAGTCACTTGTAGTCGTGTTAGGGTTCAAATACTGAATTAACAACCAGGAAGAAAACATTTCGTATATATCTACAATATATTTTGCAAGGTATGTATAATTATGTTATACAAAATGTTATAACAATATTTAATTATTCTTATAAATTTCATACTTTAGTTCGTTCCTTCATAAATTCAATTAATAACACAGTAAAATGAGAAACAAATCAAAAGAAAGGTTCAACATACTTTAGGCTATAGAATTTCAAGAATATTTTTTAAGAAACTTGATCAGGATCAATTATATTTTACTTTTCATTAAAATTTTCATAATAAAACATATCAATGCAAACGTTCATTAAAACGGTTTTATTGCTTTATTATTTTTTTTTTATTTCAGTCTTTATTAGGTCACCTGAGTAAACTCAGGTGACCTATTGCTATCTGTTTTCGTCCGTCGTCGTGCGTCGTGCGTCGTCCGTCGTCCGTCGTGTGTTAACATTTGAACATTTTCAGCTTCTTCTCTGCAACCACTGAACCAATTTCAACCAAATTTGGCACAAAGCATCTATGGGTAAAGGGAAACAAAATTGTGAATTTCATGATCCCTGTCCCCCTGGGGCCTGAGGGGTGGGGCTAAAACCACTAAAATTAATGCAATATTTAAAAATCTTCTTCTTTACTCCTGGACATCAAGCAGTCAAACTGTTTGCATGATTGTAATCAGCAATGAGTCCTCTACCAAAATTGTGAAATTCATGGCCCTGGGGTCAGGGGTTCTAGTGCTAGGGTGGGGCTAAATAAGTAGGTAGTGAAAATGCATTATTTCTTTGAAAATCTTCTTCTCTGCTCCTGGGTATTAAATAAACCAAGTAAGTACATAGTTATGATGAACAAGAGTGCCTCTACCAAAATTGTGAATTTTATGGCCCCAGGGTCAGGGGTTCTTGTGTTAGGGCGGGGCTCTATTGATTATATAGTGAAAATACATGAATTCTTTGAAAATCTTCTTCTCTGTTCCTGGGTATTAAATAAACTAACTAAGTACATAGTTATGATGAGCAAGAGTGTCTCTACTAAATTTGTGAATTGTATGGCCCCAGGGTTAGGGGTTCTTATTTTAGGGTGGGGCTCTAATGATTATATAGTGAAATGCATGAATTCTTTGAACATCTTATCCTTTGCTCCTGGTTAATATACTAATGATCTAATTACATATTTAAGGCCAGGATTTATTTTATTTTCAGTTTTACAAACCCTCCACTCAAGGTTTTGAATTTTCAGGAAAAAATAAAACAATTTTTTTCTTTCCGATGTCAAATTTGAGTCGGGATCAAGATTTCAAACTTACGAACTCGCACTTCCGGTTTTAAGATGAAACGGCGGGTAAATAAAGCTAGATCTGAGAAGATAGCTTGGTTTAGTATAACATTCATCGATACGAGTGCCATTCAAAACGTTTCACCCGTTCAAAGGACAAATAAAATGCTGACGACTTTGTTGCACAATGACATGCTGGTGAGATAATTATGTATTCGTTTCAAAAGTATATGTATCTGTCTGTAAATTATTTTCCTCCCCCAGGTTTTAAACTGCCCGTGGTAGCTATTGCATATTGCCAGCGACATTGTTTAGGTCTCTGTTATAGCTTACAGTCTAAGCATCGTTCTTCAGAAAAGGGTTGCTTATGCATCAGATGTAATGAATAAATCTATGGGAGAAGTTAAGTCCATTTGAGGAAGAAATAAACAATAACCTGAAAAAAATAAAAAAAAAATTCAACTATTAAAAGGCAAGAATATACAAATATATACAGGCATGTAGTATCATTTGTATCAGCCAGAAAAATTATTTTACACTTATTTGAAAAAATGTTCACCCTACTCCCCAATACTCCCTGTCTGTTTTATGATAGGAATTATAATTTTAGGCATCAATTAAATTTTAGAATAATGTCTACACATTCACCTAACACATATTAAAAAAATGAAGATATATTGAAAGACTTTTAAAGAATTGATTTTTTAAAATATATTTTTGACCAACTTCACAAAATTTATATAACTGGCCCAAACTGAAAAATGATGAAATAAGCAATTAAATGTTCTACTTTCCTATTTGTGAGCATTATGAGTCCAGTGGTAAGGAGCCTATTAGAATAGCATAAAAAAGAATGTACAAATGTTGTTAATTGATTTATCAATTTTTTTTTTATTTCCTTCTCCTTCGGGACTTTTTCATTCTCATGTTCATAACTAAACCTAAACATAAAAAAATGCTGGCCTATGCTGGCCTTAGAAGGCCAAAGTTTTTTTTCTCTTGGTTTACGATTCCGCCGACCCTATCTTTCCCTATATACAAAAATAAAAATAATGTGTCTGACTCTCGAAACTGGACTCTTTATCCGAAATTTCCTCGACCAAACGATGTTTTTATGATTTACAACACATCTTAAACATTCAAATGATCTCCATAAATACAGATTGTCAGGACCAACCTAGGGGGCGACTCACTTACAGACTGTTTCTATAATAATGACCAATGCATCGAATACTCCGTCGGAACTCCTCTAGATTTTACAATTCCGGGTATGAAAAAGTCCATAGTTACAAGTTATACACAACAAGACGCAAAACAGCTGGATAGCTATCGATGTCATGCCAAAGATCTTGGAGAAGATTTTAGATCTTTTTGTTGTCAAATAATTAATTCATGCTGTGGATACAGACATATTTTTACTGTTAAATTGTGAAGTTATTAACTTCCCAAGTAGCCACACATCGGATCCGATAAACATAAGTAGTTCAATTGGCATGCAGATGTGCGTCAAAACTTTTATTAGAAAAAGAATTTTATATTGAAAACAAAGTTTGAAGAGAAATTAACAAAATTATGACTATGCCAGAAGCCTGGAAATCTAATGAGATGAGAAATTTTAGAAGTTTAAGATAAATTTTGTGCTACTATGTAAGAAATGAAAAAAATGTTTGATAAACAATTAATCTAACAATAAGAAACTTTTACATTTTAATAGTAGTAGTAGTAAATTTAATTTAATGTCAATGTTCTTTCATTATTTTTTTCTAGATGTTTATATACCTTGTAATTGGGGGAAATTTCTTTTAAATTCTTTTTCTTTTATTAAATCATTTTAGATACAATGTTTATACAGAAAAGTTATTGAAATGTATGTAAGTTATAAACAATGAAATATTTTTATAACGATTTATTAATATGTGCCACGTACACGCGCCAAGAAGTCTCCCTAAATTTCAAAACTTCTTCCTAAATCTTTTTGAGGGAGAAATGTCTCCTTAAATTTTGGGTGTAGGTTAGTCCCTGGACACGCATATCAAAATAAGGTAAAAGTTTTTTGTGAAAGCAATCCATCACTTTTGGAGTTTCCAAAAACTTTTTCAAAAGTGGAAAGGGGCTGACCAAAGAATAGCCGATTCACTTAATTTTACCCATATTTGTCCCGGTGCAACGTGTCTTTTATGGAAACTCATTCTTGTAAGTCAGAAGAATAAAAACCATCAACAGTAACAGAGCCTCTGATACTCCTATTTCTGTTCTTGAGCAATTTGACGTGTGATTCTTTTTTGTTGACATAAAACCGAATAGTAAAAAAAAAATAATTTGAAAAATCTTATGTGTTTATTATTTTTATTTGAATACATGTCAATGCCACTCTAGAAAAAAATATGTCAATGTTCCAAATTATTTTTATTTTTATTTTTCGACCGCCAAATGCATATTTTTGTGTCAAAAAATCGTAAACCAAAAAAATAAAAACTTTGGCCTAATGAAGAAAGGGGCCTCTTTCAAAATAGATAATTTCAGGGCCGCTGGTTCAGGGGTACCAGGGGGGTACTTTGACTAAAAATAAATGAATGCTTTGAAACCTGCCCTTTGATAAGCAATGGTGCCTCCTTCAAAATTTGTGAATTTCATGGCTTTTGGATTAAAACACGAACCAAATACAATCGCTGGAAAGTTGTTACATGACACTCAGGTGACCAATAAGGCCTGTGGGCCTCTTGTTTATTGTTATTATAACTATTATTACCAGTTTTGTTTTAATTTAAATGTTATCATACTTTTTTTAATCCAATTGATATTGCGCATCAAACTCTTTGATGATTTTTTAAATATATATAAATGTTTTTGGCATGCAACGATAACATATCAATTACAAAACATGTTCAAGATCTTTTTTAATAGGAAAATTATACTGCAGATTATACATTTGAACATGGTTTTGTTTTTTTAATTTCTTTACATTAAAGTATTTGACGTTTGAATCTATTTCAGCAATGCTTACATCAAAGATATTATTTGTGATCCTAGTCGAAATGTTCCTCTCGCTCGGTAACTCTGGACGTGTTACAGAAGAATCGGATGAATCTGATATCATTTCCTCTGAAATATCCGGCAATAATCCAATTAACACGATCTCTTCTATCTTGAAACACATTTTACAAATTACAGGTGATAGAACCAATTTACCTCTTTCTAGAAGAACGTTGCTATCAAATGGCTCTCAAACATTAAACTTATCTATGTCAAAACAAATGCATAAAAAGAGAGATGATTTCAATTCAAACGTCAATATATCAGTCAAAGAAGCACAGACTTTCAATATGTCAGACAACCTGATTTTCAATAATTTAGAATTTGATAAAGGCACAGACTTTTGGTTAGAAATTGTGTGTTCCTTCAACTTTGGCAACTGGAAACCTGGATACATCTTAGAAGAAATGAAAGAAACAAAGAACAGTAATGCAACACAGGACATGGAATTTACAGATTTGTCACGTGGTACAAACCAGTCACGTGGCATTGTTCAAGGATTTGGAGTAGTCGTGGAAAAAAAGGTTTATTTTATGGATATTCTAGATAGAATTTGGTTGTCTATCGCTGTCACCAGCAATTTATTAACTGTAACAATTATCATATTTAAAAAGTCATTACGAAAGCCGTTCTATTATGCCATATTATTGGTATGTTTAACTGATATCTTATATACAGTTAACGATTTTATAAGCTATGCAATTCTGTCCATTAAAAGTCCGTGTCATTTTCTCAAGAGTTTGAAATTGTATAACATTGCCGAATACGGGGTGAAGTTCATATCAAAAATGTTTGTGATTTTTCTAGGGTTTATTCGATATGCAATGTTTGTCTATCCCATTAGAAGCCGATTGTACATAACTACAAACCTAATAATCGTCTTTGCTGTTTCCGCTGTTATACTGAGCGCTACGTACGGTTATACCATCGTATATTTATCATGGTCATTGGACATATCCAGCAAAATAATTCTTCATGTCTGTGATGACGTCTTTCTGTTTGTAGTTTTTCTTATTTTACATTGTGTTCTATTTTACAAAAGGTTACTTACTGCAAAATCGTCAAAAGCTGCCCGTAATTTGAAATTAAAAATGACAATAATTGTAATTATTATTTTGACGTTGAACGCTATTAGCTCATTTTTAAATATTACATTCAATCTATATCTTTACAATTTTCACAATCAAAATTTAAGAGCTAAAGAAGAAATTACTGATCTGACAGAAAATAGTTTCATTTTTTTATTCGGTAATTTAATGAAGATTGTGGTTCATTCGGTGAATCCTTTTCTTTACTTTTTTACTTCTCCACCGATGAAAAGATCTATAATGTTTTGTTTCAACTACTTAAAAAGGGATAGATCTTGCTTGGGGTTGAGTTTACCTGATAAATAAATATGGTATCCGTATCTTCAACCTTAATCCATCTGAATTTGTATCATGCCTTGTACTAAATAGACCCAACTGAACATAATTCGGCATGCACACACCTACTCACTCCAACATCCCCCATTCCAAACAAACAGACATACATACAGACAGAGAAAAATACAGAGATACAACATGACTCTAGGGTTCTTTTTTCTCTTTTCGCCTTATTACTGAAAATTATTACACAGAAATGCATTTCAAAAATTGCCCTTTATTATGGCAAATCAAAGAAAATAATAATAAGCTTTCTTATTGTGTTCTTTGATTTATATATTGTGTTTAAGACTGTTTGTTTATTGAACAGTTGTTTCTGATATTGTTTCTTTTTCATAATGGTATCATAATTATAATCCATGCCTCTGAAGATCATCTATTTTTGTAATATTATCCTGTAATAATCTTCGTCTGACTTGGTATGTTCATCAGTATTCACGATTGTAAAGCCATTGTCAATGAAAAATTGCTCTCTATCTTCTATTCCCCAGCTTATTCCGTGTCCAGCTGCAGGGTTTTCAGACAAACTGTTTGGCAAACAGAAAAACATACTGTATGGCAAATGATTCAATGCCATCTTTTGGCCAATCGTTTTTGATATATCAGACGAGATGTTAGGGTCAAAGGTCACTATGTAACCGTTTGGTTTAAGCATGCTTTTGACTTGAGTAAGAACGGTAACAGGATCTGGTAGATCATGTAGAACATCCATCAGTATAATTATGTCAAATTTTTCTTGCCAATCCTTTTTTATATCTTCGTTAAAGATAGCAAACTTGAGATGTTTGAAAGACTTTAGACAGCCGTCAATAGCATCTGCATCAATATCGGTACCAAAAACAGGAAACTGGGGGTAATATGTTGCTAGCTCTCCCGCAAGCTTTCCGTAACCGCAGCCAAAGTCAAGAATAGCTGGAATTCTTGAAATCACTGTAATTTTATGAAAAATGTATTATTTGAATCTTCAACATCTTTTCATTTTTCTTTTTGTTTGCAGCGTTAATGATAATGATGATAGAACTGTATTCATATTAACATTTAAGATGATATACATATAAATTTTCAAGTTCTAAATAGAGACAGTAAAATGCTTTCGTAATTACTATCTTGTTTCCTTAGATAACTCGATATAACTGGTGCTATGTTCCTTTCAACCCAAGACTGATCAATATTGCTTAGTTTCCTATATTTTGCCAGCCACTCCAACTCTAATACTGGGTATTTGTATCCTGAAATAAATCTAAACTTTGAACAACAGAGAAAAAGCAACAGTATTTTTTCAAATTTTCAAATGAACACATTTATGAGTTGACCTAAAATTAGCATTCAGTATTTAATATTTCTAAAGTACATACTCACCAGTATTAGAGTTTTTATTCCTCATCGCAGTTTCGAGGTTTGTAAAGCAATTGGCAAACATGGGCAAAACAGAAGATGTATGTGCAGCTTTCTGTACTCTTTTTGAACATGGCATTTTGTATCTACCATTTTCATAATGAATGATGCCTTTTGAAGCCATACATATTAGCCACTCCTCTACATATCTTAATGAAAAAGACATATATACAGTGTTTTTAATGTAATGTTTTTAAAGAAACCTGTCTGTTTTAATTTAATGAAAATAGTTATGCAAACTTAATTTTTAATTCGAACATCAAATACAGAACAATAATCATGTTCTTCAACATATGTGTGAGGATGTCAGGAAAACATGCCATTGTGTTTTGTTGTGTGTACATATAAATGAGGTTATTTATGCATTGTGCATCATCAACGGACAAATCTACTATTAGATTAGCTTTATCAAATGTGATACAATAAATTTAGTATATTGTAAGGATGTTCAAGGACAAAATTTTACACAACTCATTTAAGTAGCTTAACTTGATTGTGTGGAAGTGAGTAAACTTCTGTAAACAACTGATCAAATAAATTACTATTTAAGCATTTATTACTTATTTATTACTTTTGCATTGGTACTGTATTAAATAATGGTCGTGCAAACATGTTCAGGTGTGTGGGTGTATGTAGGTATGTGCCTTCTTTTTTAAAGTACTCTGGAAGTCGAAACTAAATCATGATTTTTATATCATTGACAACAATAAGATATCATTATTCATATAATCACTGTCTGTTGTATGCAGTTTTATTTTTAGTCGATAATTTTGTCAATATAAGACATTTCCACTAAAGTAAATTTATTTCTTTTATCGCTATTATGCTTTATACATTGTAATTAGATTATCTTTTTCATTTTCCTTTATTTATCTTTTTCATGTCTTATTAAAAACAAATGAATAAATTATTATTTTGTTTATCTTTGCTGTAAGGATATTGTATTGAAAACATGTTTATAAAGCAAAAGTTTCAGAATTGAATTTAAAAATTTCAGGTTAAGGTCAATACATTGTAAACATGTATATGTATAAAGCAGAACTTATAGTTTACGCCATTTTTATATATGAAATATCTTTCGTTGAATTTTGAATTTATATATTATTTATGTAGCGAATATTGTTCACCATAATTTTCTCTCTTTCTCACCTGTTTCATTGTTTTTAGAATAAAAAATGATTAACTATATTTTCATTAAATCGCAAGATATAAAGGTAAAAAATATTTGAAAATAAATCCTATAGTCGCGATTAGTATGAGCTATACAATGTATATATTTTCTTTCATATATCTAATTAAACTTTTATTTAACATTAAAAAGCCGTGTCGCAAAGTCTTCATCAAATAAAATAATAAGAATTCAAATATTTCAAAAAATTCAAATTTATAACCTGAGATTTAACTGAGCTTCTTCACTGATTTCCACTGCAGTACTTGGGGCATTTAGGCGCTGCATCGCGTCAACAATGCCCACCCTGTATCCAACAGCCAAAACCATAGCATGAAGACCGCTATTAACTGTGTCCTCGATGATGTCTTCATAACATGGTTTATCTGCCATCGTAAAAAAGAATGGAAAAATTAATTAATCGGTAGCTTTTATTATTCTGCGAACTGTTTGTTAATTTGATACTGTGTGTTCATTTATCGTTGCTCAAAACGGAAATGTACAGGAAACGTCCGTTTGTTTTTCCTTCCCTAATAAGAAAGAAATAAGAGCTTATTATTTCTTTGTTTTTCTGTATATTGTCCTCTGTCAAAGGATCTAGTCAATATTTCCGAAGGAAATCGTGTTTCAGGAAGTAAAAAGAAAGTAGTTAATTGATGAACATGCAGATGTATAAATATATATTAAAGAACTGAACTTATAAATATCGAGGTGCAGAAGGTATTCTTCGCAATTAAACTTTCAATTGAAAAGAAAATAATCATTACCGCATCAATTCATAATTTTTTTCCATAAGTTGACAAATAATCGAAAAGAATTATTTTAAAGAGATTTGTATAGATTAAAGTAAATATGCATAATGTAAAAGTTATGGCCAAAAGTAAGGATCTCAATTAGCAAATATATGAAATATGAAAGTCCAAGCACTAAACATTCAGAATTTATGGCCAAGGTTAGAGTTTTTCAAAAGTACGTAAAACTCGAAGGAAAGGGGCAAAAGGTCAAAACTATTGCTGATCAAAAGAATATATACCTTGTCACATTAAATACACCTGTCAAATATGAGGGTCCTAGTACTAATTGTTTCAAAGTTTTGCCTTAGAATAAAGTTTACAAAAGGGTGCAAAGTTCAAGGTTAAAAGGATAAGTTTTGCATGTCAGGAAAGGATTGGTCAAAATTAAATCACATGTGAAGTCGAAAAGCCCTAGCGTCAACAGTTTAAACGTTACGGTCAAGATTAAAGTTTGGTAAATGCTTGCAAAAGAGTGGGATAAAATCCAAGGTTAAAGTCAAGACGTTTGATACATTTTAAGCATCAAATGACTACAGATATGCCTTGTCCGAAGGTTAAATAATGAAGTCATAGCTAGAACAAATAAAAAGCTATGGGCAATGTTAATGTTTTTGCAAACAAACAGATAAACATACAAACAAGCAAACAGAGAGACAGACAGAAGTACAGGGCTAAAACCATATACCCCGAATCTTTTATAAAAAAAAAAAGGCATAATGAACAAAATGAAGCATGCAGGATTGTGAAAATGATTGATATGAAAACTGATTTTATAATGTGTAAGATAAATGACAACAAGTTATATGAAGAAATAAATTCTTGCTGTCTAAAACCGCTACGAATTTTTCAAGTTCAGAACTCTACAAAAGGACAGGAAAATGCGCCTTAATATCAGAGGTAAAGGGCAGGTATAATATTATGTTAAAAAAAAAAAGAAGAGAAAACAAAAATATTTTTTTCCGACAGCAGAGATAAATCTGTGCATTGGTTGTCATTTTGATATATTTGAATAACAAGTCATCAGAAATTGATAGACAAAAAGGAATTTACAAATATCATACCTTGTACATGTAGCAAATGAAACAATGCGCTGTTATTAAACAATTAGATGATACGTTCTTTTTCAAAGATAAACAATTGTCATGCTGGTCAGAATATTCTTCTAAATGAGTCTTTTTATGTCAATCCATCAGTAAAATAAATATTTCCAATCTTAAAAAAATAACAAAAGATAACAACAATATCAGGATATACATTATTTCAAAATAACAGTCATTTTACATTGGTTTTCCACGGGTAAAAATATGTCTAGTGACATAATATGTCATAAATATATGCCATTGCATAAGTTTAAATATTCTCAATCGTAGTATTTCTTTTTACTCCAAGTAAGGTTTTATGATTCAATAAAAACAGGATGTACGGGGTATTTCAGAAAACATGCAACCATTTTGAATGATTAATTTTACTGGTGTTTCAACCAATACCATGCAACAACATACATGTATTAATGCATTAACGCTGGGTTTTTTACTAAGCGAACTGTGAAATTGATTTGAATACCATTTAAAAATCTAATGTAGAAATAAACACAGAAATTCAAAAGAATTATACGACATCACAGATGTTAATTAGTTTACTGTTTAAGGTTGTTACGATATAAGGCAGCGAGAAAATCAAATATTGATGATATTTTTGGTGCTTTCAAACAGGTAAAATGTGTTTTGAAGTGTAACTTTAAAACATTCCTCAATTAATTGTCACAATTCATTCTTATAAAAATAGAGTTGATATGGCAAATAGATTACGAATTATATACAAAAGAAAAAACAATCTTGTTAAGTTTCACATAGTTCGTCATTTTTACTGAATGAATAAATCTATCCGATGCGAAAAAGTTCTCATTTCTATAGTTATTGCAGAGAGTCTCTTGGTAATGAATCAGGTCTCAGTTTTCGGACCATTTTAAATTTGCTGTGTTTTATAAACTTTGACCTTAAATCATCCCCACAGATAAAAGTCAAGGGGTAATGGGTCAAGTGAGTGTGGACACCCATTTAAGCAAATTTGAAAAAGTTGAATGGTCCTCCAAACATTTGTTCTAGCAAGACCAAGGTTTAAGTTTCAAAACTAATTCAGCATCTGATTAACACATGACTTGCACAATTTGTTCACTAAAACAGTCATTTTACAAAAGCATCCCATGCGAGTTTCTGTCACAATACCTCTTTTGTAACATTCTAAATGTTTTCGATTTTTCCGATTGTCTTTTTCTTCAATTTTTTCTCTAAATTTCTTTGATCATGCATTAGTTCTTCTATCATCTCTCCTGATTTCCGTAAAGGTGGAAGAACACATTTTTATGCAAAAACTGATTTATTGACTATTGCATCTAAGCCTCACAAATGATGATAAGGAGCACAGGGCGGGTGTGACTTGTCGGCAGGGGATGCTCACTCCTACATGGCACCTGATCCCACCTCTAATGTTTTGGAGGTCCGTGTTTGCCCTGCTACCATTTTGAGGACATTTGATCCTGAATACTGTTGGTTATGTCCATATCTTTCATTGACAACTATTCTCCCTTGCTCTTTTAGAAAGAGGGTTAGTACTTTGGGTCTGTCTCAGACTCCACTTTCTGATTTTTTGCCCGGTTTAGTCATTTTGTAATTTTGAAACATAAATTGAAGAAATAATAAGCTGCAGGAATATTCAAATGTTGTAGAGGAACTCAATTCGTACTAATCATATCTGATTATTTAATAAGCGAGTGAGCGAGCCATAAAAACTCAATATGAAGGACGCATTCTTTTGTTCTTTATATTTCGTAAAAAACACAACTGTCACCCCACCCTTAGATATTTACATTGTGATGATCCCTAGGAACCATAGGAATGTTTAAAAAAACAAATCTACATTCTTTCAATCTTCAAATCCAGCATCAAAGATTCAGTTTGCGTATTGTTTTCCTGCTTATAAAACACTACATTGTACAAGGTAAAATTTTTACCCTTAACCATTTTGTTCATGTAGTTATAATATTTAAAAAAACCTATTTCATCCAATGTTTAAAGTATAATAGTATTATTTCAAGGTTTAAAACAAAAACAAGGGAAAATTGCTAGGGCAAGCCCTGAAACCAAATGATGTGCTGACACTCAATATGATCAAATGGCTGTTAAAAGAAACAAAATAATCATGAAATAGAAGTTTTACTTGAAAAAGCGGGCACAATATTAGAATATTCATCCAACTATCTCTCCATGTTCAATCCTAAAAAAATAAAACAGCGTTAGAAAAATAAATGTCATTATAACTTCATGGTGTATGCTTACTAACTTAATTTCTTGATATTTCAGAGTAGTTTCTACAGCTGCAATATTGTGATATTTTACGACGGTTTTAACCTAGCTGCGTCGTTTGTCATAAAATTGTTTTGTTAGTTGACCTTTATCGTCTATTGCAAGTAAACCATCCAAATATGAAACAAATAAAGGAGACCCTTTGGTGTCTTTTATTTCAAGTTGCGAGTAGTTACGTACCTAAAATATTCTTTTCAAAAAAAAAAAAAAATCTTTATATAACCCATTTCAAGAATTACTTACCTAACGCGCATTTCTTAACTGATATCGCAGATATGGGTGTAAAGATTTTACAAAAGAAATTTAGATTTGCGAAAGCAACTTTTAACCAAATGGTAAAATATACAGCCAAATGTTTACTTTTTACATTAAAAATTCAAAATTTTGATTTTTATAAGTCCTGCAATGAAAGTATCTATTCATTTCAAAATCATGGTCTTACTCTTTTTCACAAATAAATCCATATTTTTGATCGCAGGGTGAATCATTCCAATGATATTTGTCAGATCCACCACCCATCATCATTAAGCAACTCTCATGCAGCGCCCCGTTAGGTTCGCCAGGATACCAATCTGCGTAGCTTATTCTTTTTTGGGATGTTATCCAGATCCATTGACCATCGACCAAAACATCTGTGCCTCCAATCCAAAAATGCACTGTAAATTTAAAGATTTAAGGAATCAAATACTTGAGGGAAAATATCAAAAAAAAGAGTTTTCTTCAATTAATTGAATTATTAATTTTATAATCTTTCTTTTGTAAAAGAAGTTGTATTATTTCTAGTGCTATGTACATTACATCCGGGTTGCCATCTTGAGTTAACTTCTTCAAGAATCCAATCACTTTAATATATTAAGTAAATACCATATTTGTTAAATTACCTCCAGCTTGCTGGTAATTGTCAATTGCATGCATTCGAAGGAAGTTGTTTTCTTCTCTAGTCTCAATTTCTGCAAGCTTTGCACCCATACGATTACAGAAAGACTGAAAGAAATATTTTTATTTTACATGTTTGTTTAAATCAACATTTGCCCTTTACAGTTGTTTGGTTTATACGAATCTAATGTATGCGGTTGCTTGCATCTCTAACAATATGATTATTTCTTATAGGGGGTTGCCTATTATAATTGTTAAGAGGTGGTTCGTAAAGTATCTTCTTTTTCTTGATTTGTGAGCCATTCTTTGATTGCAAGTTTAGTAACAAATATCAAACAAGCATGATTATTATTATGGCAATAATGTTAAATGTTCGAGCTTTTATCTCGGTGAAAAATCCAGGAAGAACAATGGCAGAAGTTTTCGAGTTTATGTTTGCATCCAGGGGCTTTCGAATTGTAAAATGTAAAACAGTTGCAAATTAAACTTTGGTATCATGAATAATGATACAAAGAATACCATGCATATGTTAAACTAATTAGAGTTAGTCCAAACCACTTATTCCCTAAGTTATTTACTAGTATAATCCTTGATATCTTGGAGTTATTTTTTAAGGTTTCATTGTATTCGACTTAAGGTTTGACTGTATATACATGTATCTTTTCTGAAGGAATGACTGAATAAAGTTACCCCGGCTTCCGTCCAGTCTTCTGGATAACCGGTGGCAAATACATAACAGGATGTCTGGAAATGGATCCATGCTGCCGGACACGGAGCTTCCCCATGGGTAACATATGCAATACAGCTTAAGGATAACACTAAAAATGTCAAAAAAGAAAAAAAAAACAGATACCGGTATCAAACTTAAGGGGGCCGACTATGGTTTTATAGTGTGAAAAATGCAATAGCGAAACTATTCATTTTCATACCATATATAACTAACATTAACTTAAGTGTACATGCAAAATTTGGTGAAAATCTACCGCCCAGGTATTTTTCACGGACCGTCTCAAAATACAGATACATTTACTATAGAATTATATGGGAAAGTGCCAATTTTTCGCACTCTAATGCAAATTATACAAATGCTACAATAGACTTTTTGCTCAAACTATAATATATCATGGGTAATACTAAATTGTACATTATATGTAAGAACCACAAAATTCTACCGCCCTGTTTCCAGAGGGGGCATCTCAAAATACCAAAATATAACGAATTTCCTTGTTTTTATAGAGTACTACAAAATATGACCCCTACAAAGGATTCATTAAAAAAATTATAAATATGACGGAGAGATTATCAAATATCTATGTTCTAAAATTCAAGATCATACGTTTATTACTTTTTCTTTTATAACATTTTTTATTACCCCATCTTTGAGAGCGTCACGTTATCTAACGTCAAAAACACACTATTACGACGCCAATCTACCTGTCACTTTAAAATCCTTTTAAAAATCAGTTATTTAAAATTATGAAAAAAAAATTCTATCCGTAATTTCTTAATTTTGTTTTATTTTATCAATTAAGTGAAAAAAGTTGCTTTAAAACAGTAAAAACGCTTCATTTTACTATGATGCGCGAAATATTGCGCAATGGAAACCACAGTCGGCCCCCTTAAATGATTATTATTAATACATTACGGATATTTGTTAACATCATGTCAATTTAATTGCTCAAGCGCGGTTAAACCTTATGATATGATTTCCATATCACTTGTAGATTGGATGTTGGATGTCAATTAGATCAAAATTATTTTCATAGTAAACACACAATCCCGCAAGACAACCAAAGTACTGACCAATCATTTTGAAGCGATTGAAGCAAATGAGCAATTACACGTGGTCTGTCTAAGTCCATTTTACGTTATCTTTTTGATATAGCAATATTAAAAAAAAAAGTTTTGATTTTAAACTTCATGAAATGAGTAAATCTGAAATTTTTAATACACTGGATGCTTTTCTTTAATGGAAGATCCGAAATATTGAGTTTTGTGTATAAAACATGCCTTTTTCAGCTTTCGCCTGCAAACATTTGCCAATTTACTGTAGAAGTGTAGCCACGTTTGTTTTTCTTCCATCCGATTACTTTATAGCTAAATATAGAATGAATATATACAAAAAGCAAAAACGGCTTGGATTGACCATGTGGCGATTGCTGCTCACTGCAAATCCCATACCCGTCACACTAATTTAATACGACTGGTCAGCTCTGTCTTTAATGTTCCTTAAAATCTTTGTTTCATATGCAGAGTGATTGATTTCATCGTTGTTTTCATCGAAATCAAACACACAATAGATGGATAATGCGATAAGTTTATAACTTTTAACGATGTTCGACCAACGAACTGATCATTGTACGTCGTGAATCGAATGTTAAATGCTTTCAAAAGTCCCAAAGAAGTATACTTATATTTCATCGAACAGATAATTGTTTTTAATCATTTTCATCTACATGTACTCAAAGGGTTTGCACTTACCGAAAACAAAAAAATAGTCCATAACTTTCATGTCTACTCAAAGAAAATCTTCCAGAATAATGACTCTGTATAGATTTCACAAGAAGTTGTATGTACTTACCTGTTATCTGTCACTAAAATCGACATCTAATCGCTTTTCTATTCTGACCCTTTAAACAGTACAAAATGAATAATTGAAAGACATAAGATATAATATTTTTGACGAAGGTACTTGATTTATAATTTCTAGACAAATGTTCTACATGTATATCTATTTGTAAAGGCCACTGCAGTAAGGGTCTAGCACGACAAATTTTTCAGGTAAGAATGAAAATAAAGAAGTCAGACACCATCATCAGAAATTAACTAACATGATTGATTTTGATCTGTATATTAAGTTTAATTCGCAGTACTAGTAAATGAATGCAAAGCAAAATACTTTCAATGAAGCTAATGCAAATCAAACCGCGTTCACACAACATCTAATGCAAAGTAAAATTACTGATTTTTTTTTTTATTTCTACAATTAGACTTTATTACTTTATTTACAAATTACGTCACATTGTGCAAAGCAGATCTATTTTACATTATGTCATGGTGTCTGTACATATTTCAGTGATTAACATAATTTTCCTTTGTTTTCCACTCAAACTTAAAACAAGAACTTTTATCTGACCACCAACCTGTGGTATGACTTAATTCTGTTGATTATAAATATTCTCTTAAAGTTATAGGGATTTCTGGCTAGTTTTTGAGAAATGTTTACGATGGATCAAATTAGTAATATGATAGTCAAAAAGCCAACCAACCTCTTGAATTGAGCCTCTTGAACCTCTTATCAATTTATGAGAGAGTATATTTCACTTAAACTGTCCATTGTCTTTAGCCAGATCTTCCTTGATCATCTTTCTTTTTAGTCTTTATCCTTGGCCTCTTCATATACTTTCAAATCCAAACTTGAACTATTACATTCCTTTCTGGCTGGAAAAGTGAATTCATGTATAGTAATTACCTGTGAAGATAAATAACGCTACCTAATGCCCATATCTTCATTAATATTCAATGATTTTTTGCAAGTTTGTAAACGATCCCTCCTCTGAGCTTCAGTAGTTATATGTGGAATCAACGTCAAGTTAGACTTTTTAAAAAGTAAAAACACTATCTATGAAATTCCTACACATCTTGCTATTTCTCTGACGGTAAGTAGTGATGACTGCTCTTGGCAGTTTTACTGAGAGTTTAATTAGTCGTGGGAATCATCCGGTATACCACTCTTAAACTTAATAAGCAATGTGTAAATTGTCTTTTTTTAAAATAACAGTCCCACTTTTTATCCTAACAATTTCCTCATATACTTCATTTCGACCTTCTTATTTATACTAATTACAGTAAAAAAGAGCAAGATATCTTTTAGTAAAATTTTTCGGTTATAGACTGATATAACGAATTTACGGATATAGCGAACTGATTTCAAGAAATTTATATCTTTTATAACGAACTTTCAAAGATCTCAAAATTTCATAGATTTAACCAATTTTTTTTTTTAGCTTTTGTATATAAAATTCAATTCATAGCAAACCTTAGTTATCTAAGGTCTATTTTTTACGTAACTATAACTTTGATGTCCAGTGTATATAACGAATTACGGATAAGAATTAAATCAATATTGCAAGTGTAAGTGTGTGCGATTCAGAGTACACAGAATTGTTCCAAATTTTGGAATAATGTCAACTAAAGATATATTCATTCATGAATAACAAATTTCGAATCACTGATCTAATTTATATTGAAAAGCATTTGTGACAAAAAATATTATACGCCCCTCCTATTTTTCTATAATTATCAGATTACTATCATCTTTACCAAAATGAATTAAGCCAAATCTGGCACATCTAATTTAAAAGAATAATGTGGCACACGATAACATCATCTTAATCATACATATATCATCATTATTTCTGTTTAAACAGCATATTACTTTAATTTGCTTTTCAAAAAAAAAAAAAAAAAGGAAGAAGAAGAATGGAAAGGATCATCGTAAAATTGTACGACTGATTACTTTATTTAAAAAACGCTTCAATTTAACTACATATTTTGTATTCACAATAACATGTTACGTGTAAAAGTAGTCAGGCATTAATGAGAAAAACTCCTACCTGATAAATGCACTGAGATACATCCCCCCTTGTAATCAGCATTGTTCGGTATGTTTTGGACGCAATGGTTTCAAAGAAATCTCAAGAGCTTGATCGAGTTATTTACCTGTTTCCAATTTTCTTTTTTTAAACAGCCATAGAAACTTTAGATTTCATGTTATATGGCGACCTTCTTCCTAAAACAGTTTTCTTATTGATATTCAAAAAAGGCAGAAATATGGACATAAATGTTGTCGAATTTCAAATTAAAATTAATTGAATAAATTCTGATTCCGAATTCCAATTAATTATACTTTCACCGTTATTTAACTTATAGTAACTGAGCAATTATTTTAAGCATCATGGCAAATTCTGATAAGTTGGATATAAGAAATTAAAATGATTCTTTCACAATCAGGATATTATAAATGCTAAACATAAAGCCCGTATGTTCTTAAAAAGTAGCAGAAGACATAAATTTTCAGTGGAATTTTTTTTCAGTACACGGAAATATTTTGAGATATAATTTTTATAGCAGTCCAAAAATTAATGTGGGCGACATGGCAGACACTATTTTCTAAAGGAAAATTAGCACAGAAATGAGCCATTTTTAAGCTTTTTGCATTAAATTTGGAAATGTACCAAATAAATGACGTCATATTTCAAGAAAGGTCTGCCTTCATGCCACATTCTTTAATGATTTATCATATTCATATACTCGATTATTGTTTAAGCTAATTTAATAACTTTTTAAGAACATTAAATTTTTAGGGCACAATAAAGCTCAAACTGTACCTTCTTCTTCTGATAGTTGATGATGATTTCACAATCAGGATATTATACAAACATAGCCCTTTCATGAGGTCAGTACACAATTATGTCAACGCATGAGATAAAAAACATTTTATACTTAATGCAAGTATTTTATGACTTACATATAGCTTTAGGAAAATATATGATATTAGCTTTTAATTATTGAACAGAAAGGAAATCATTCCAGAACAGTTATATTTTTTTTTAATTTTAAACCGAATGGTTTTAATTCAAAATTGTCTCATTTGAAGAATGTAAGATAAACATTCAATGATAAATGAAATCAGCCGATGATTGTGCTTGGATCTCCATCATTCCTTAGGCTGAAAAAAATTCAAATACGGACTTGGATTGATTGATATTATACATTGTAATATTCTAGATATTATTCGAAAATTTTCACTCATATATAGAGCCGCGTCACCAAATACTGTCAAAGAGTTTCTAATTTAGACCTTTTCATGGCACTAAAATACTTGATCAGTGAAGAACCTTTATCGTGTAAGCGTCTGTCGTGGCAAGAGACCTCGGTGTTGAAGGTCTCATTTTTTTCGTTTTAAACTATTGAGTGCCTTGCAAAGGAACAGTTGTTACATGTATCTTTGATAAACGACTTTGGTCAGTCGCGACTCTATCTTCAAAGTTTCCGAACACGCCTCGAGCGATCTAACGAACAATAATGACTTTTATACAGTTGTGTACCTTGCAATAACGTTATCATTTGGATTCCATAAAATGCATGGATGTCAGTTAAAAGCAGCAAGAAGTGGACGTTAAACTGAACTGTGGCAAATGCACATATTTATATTGCTAATTGGTTTGAATATAATATGCGATGGCTGTTCGGAAAGATTATGGGCCATATTACATTGTAATCTTCGTAATTTTATTTTAAAGAAGTTTCAAGTAAATATAGTATCAAAAGTAAATATATTTTTTTTGATGATGTGTTCAGGTAAGGTCAAATGCAATGTAGTTTAAACTTTTTGGGTTCTTCCCTGGAGTTGATTGTTTCCACTAAATGAAGGACCCGTGTGAAATACTTTTAATGTCTATATATGGATTTGTGCACCTCTTCTAAAACAATTTTTGATTAAAAAAATATCTGGAATTTATGTTTTGTAATTTTTGTGCATTTTTCTTTGAATGATGCAAATTTTTTTTTACAATTTGATATCTTTTTAAAACCCCTAGTAACGCATGCTGATTTTTTTTATCTAAGAACATGTAATGGTATTGTAAGTTTAAATTTACAATATCTTCAAAATTATCAGTAGGTGAGATACGTTGCGTTTGTCCTTAAATTTCATATCATTTTGAAAGAAATCATGTTACTTAAAATTTATAACAACATGTTTTGTAACCATGGAACACTGTTTACAGCACCGTAATGTCAAAAACAGTGTCAAGAACATCTAAAAAAAAAAATATTCCGAAAGTCCACAAAATTTGCAAACACTCCTTGTTTATATATTTGTATGCAAAATACTACTCTTCAAAGCATTGATTTTTATGTTTTGATCAGATAGAATATGTTTAAAGTCATATTTATTGTATTTTTTTTTTTATCACCTCAACTAATATTTACAGTATGTATATACTACATATCACATATATGTATACTTTTTGACCTCAAGATTATTTATAATTCATAAACGAAAAAGTTTTGCAGGTTTGAAATCAATTGTTAAAAGTTAAACAATATATTTTTTTAATTATAGTAAGTATCCCCAAACTTGGAATTTGCTTTACGTTATGAGTATCACAAATGACCAAAAATTGCAATCTTACTTTTTCGCATATGAAGAAAAGCTTCGAATCGCAGGGTTGATCGTTCCAATGGAACTTGGATGCTCCATTGTGTAACATTAAGCAGCTCTCATGCAGACCACCGTTGGGTTCACCAGGGTTCCAATCTGCGAAGCTTATTTTCTTTTGTGTAGTTATCCAGATCCATTCACCGTCAATTAAAACATCTGTACGTCCCTATCCAAAAGCTCCCTATAAAAATTACAATTAACCATCTTCTGAAGCAAAAAATATGATATCGGTTGTTTTTAATTTGTATAATTCCTCTGCTTTAGTATCTGTTGGCAACATCATTCAGAGAAGAAAATAAGTACAGGTTCTACCAACACTATTTTGAAATTACAGGAAATCTAAGATTATTTTATACAAAATTATTTGGTACACTGTAACATAAAACCTAGATTTAACAAGAAAAATTCCCTTCGAAAAGATCTTTAAATTTTGAATTTTTAGGAATTGAAATATCAAATGAATTTTGATTATATTGCATGAAGAGGTTACCGTCTACATTTATAGAAATATTTTTATGAATAGAAAATACCTTTTAAAACTTAAACTCATATTTATTCATGCAAAGTTAAAAAAAGAGAATGCTCAAGGTTGACTTTCACCCAAAGTCTGTTGTATTATACATGTAATTGTCTCTTTTGTATTATTACCTCCAGTTTGCTGGTAATTGTCAATGGCATGCAATCGAAGAAAGCTGTCTTCTTCTGCAGTTTCAATTTCTGCTAGCTTTGCACCCATTCGATTACAAAAAGACTGAAAATTCAATTATATTCTTATTCATAGTACTCTTATTTCTACTTATGTAAATTTGAAACTTATTTCTAGTGAAAATTAAGTTATAAATTCCTTTATCTTAAAATATTTCCAGTTGGTATTTGATTGATTGTCCGAATAAAGCTACCCCAGCTTCCGTCCAGTCTACAGGATAACCGGTGGCAAATACATAACAGGACGTGTGGAAGTGGATCCATGGGGCAGGACATGGAGTTTCCCCACGAGTGAGACGTGCAACACAAAATAACAACACTGAAAAGGTACACAGAACATTTATTTGCAGGATCTCTACAACATTTAGACGTATTACTTTTTTATTTATTGTTAGAAGGTTAATTGAAAAGACAAGACTCTATATAAAATCTTGATCCTTTAGGGGGAAATAAAATAAGGTGTCCACAGTCAACCTAAATCACGGATAAGATAAAGCATGTCCCAGTTCTCTACCTAGTATGCATATATTTCGATCAGGTTTAGCATTAAAATCATTTTTGGAATTAGTTAAGGAGGTTCACTTACCGAATTCGAAAAGGTAAACCAAACCGTTCATGTCAGTATCAGGAGAAATCCTCTACAGAGTTGAACAACAGAGATAACCTTGTTACAGTTATCTTTCACTGAAATATAAATATGATCGGTCCTTTCTCCTTTCAACAGTCTACAATATGGTATTCATATATTTCATACTAAGGGTATATGTACATTTTCAGTAAAGAAAATATTTGATTATGTGATGGTATAATACGTATATGTAATATTTGCACGGCTCCGAGAATAGCTCAACTATAAGGATTAAAAGCAATGTTTTATTATGCACTGTCAAGTAAAGTATTTTTTTTTATCCTGTAATCCAATACCGTGTAATTTTAACAGGTATTAAAAAAATAAAATGGACCATCAGACATCAAATATAACTTTTTTTTATTTTTTAATGAAAGGAATTCAAACTATTAAACAAATAACACGAAGAAAATTGAACCTATTTTGCTATGACTATTTTTAAAGGTGTCATGGATTATCCGTGAAACTTTATTCATGAACAGTACCTTATGGAAATATGGACCGTCATGGATTTGCAACAAAGAGACATGGCCATGTTGAAGCCCACGACCGACCTCTTTACATTCGCTAGTGGAAACAGAAGAGGAATGCACGACAAAGTCAAACAACATTGCTACTAAACTAAAAAATATTTTGAACATCGTTGACGTATCAAGATTCAGCGATTACAAAAAACTACTACATGTAGTTGCATAACTGCGATTTGTGAAAAATTGCCGAGTTTACACATCCGACAGAGAATTCAACAGTTTAACATCTGAAGAGCTGAACAGAGCCGAAAAGAACTTGATAAAAAGGATGTGAAAAGAACGCTTTTTCCACTGAAATTATGGAAATGAATTCCAATGGAGCCAAGCCATCTCTTATTAGACAGTTTCGTCTGTTTCTTGATACGGATGGATGCATACGCTGTAGAGGTAGGATTTGCTATGCCGAAATAGACAACGAGACGAAGAACCTTTATTTACTACCAAAGAAGGACACGTTTACACACAGATCATCAGAGATGCTCATCAGCGGAGTGGCCATTCTAGCACGAATGCAACAGTGTCATATCCGACAAAAGTTTTGGATACCAGCCATCAGACAATTGTAAAATTGTACATGGAAAACACTATTCCTCACCAGAGCTGCCGCCTTTACCCTATTTTCGTACGGAGGAATCAGCGCCATTTACTAGTACAGGAGTAGACTTCACAGGAGCTTTATTCGTCAAGTAACGGAACTGAAGAGAATCTAAAGCTTATATTTGCCTATTTACGTGAGCTAATACAAGAGCAGTTCATCTAGAGACAGTCAGTGATTTATCCAAACAATCATTCTTACCGGGTTCCGTAGATTTGCAAGACGAAGATCCGTGGCTAAGATAATCATCTGAGATAATGCGCCAACTTTCAAATCTGCAGCGAATTACCTGAAGCAACTGTTTGAATCTAAAACTCTTAAAGAGGAACTCGCAGATATGGGAGTTAACTGGAAATTCATTCCGAGGGCAGCTCCATGGTATGGAGGCTTTTGGAAGCGACTCATAGAAATTACCAAATGAACACTGAAGAAAATAATCGGTCATTCATACATCGATTTAGAAACTCTACAAACTGTAGTAACAGAGGTTGAAGCGATAGTTAATGACCGTTCGTTAACAAACGTTTCATCGAACCTGGAGGATCCAGAGCCACTAACACCATCACATCTACTGTATGGAAGAAGACTAACTTCCTTACCATACCCGGCAGAGGAACAAGAGAATTCAAGCGATTGTCACCCATTGACTTGCCGTCGTCTAAACCAACGTCTGGATAATCAGAATACTATTTTGAATAACTTTTGGAGCCGCTGGGAAAGAGAATATTGACATCATTCAGAGAGTACCGTACAGCAAATGGTAGCAGGTCGCAGACAATTAAAGTCGCTGATATTGTCTAAACCCAGGAGAAACCTCGGATCATGTGAAAACTAGCTGTCGTAGAGAAACTCATACAGGGGAGAGACGGATTCATTAGAGCTGCCACTTTACGGACCAAAAATGGACTATCCAACAGACCAATTGTGAAATTATATCCAATCGAAGTGAATGAGAACGAACTTAGAATACTATATTCTGATCGAGTGTCAAAAAGCCAAAGAAAGAATCCGTGAATGAACTTGTTTTTATTTTAAATTTCAATGAACTATTAATTTGATTTGAACTTTTTAATATTCAAGTATAATTCATTTCGGTGCCCGGAGTGTCATGGATTATCCGCGGGTTAATGTAACGTACGTTAACGTTATTGTTACGTCACAATACTTTACGTTTAGTTTCTATAATTAATAACTTAGTATAAAATAAACCACTATACGATCAAGACGCATTTCTATTCTTTCCACAACAAAAGGCATAACATCCTCCTTTTCTTCAACTACTTCAGACATGGAAATAAGATTGAAAACTTTTTTGTTAAGTACACCTGAAGTGAAACATAAAAAATTAGTTTAAGGATTCAAATTGAAACTTAAACTCATCAAAGGAATCCGCCTGGCACCTGTCATGAGAGGGGTACGGATCTTCAATACTCATCGAAAAGACCCAATTTAGACGGGACAGACTTTCAAATTAATGATAGCTCTCACATAAACTTGATATAGGCGAAGATGCCATTCTGCTCGTTGCATGTGCCCAGGTAAAAATTTAAGAGCTTTATTCCTTCTTTCTGACAACTGTACATACAATAATTTAGATTGAAAAATAATTTGTTGTTAGATATTTAGATATTAGATTAATTTTATACCCTTCACCCTTTGTATACTCCTTAACGCCTTTTAAGAATCTTGGATCTGTCACTGAAAAAGTATTTAGTGAGTAATTAATTTCTTTGTATCAAAGTTCTCTCTGAACTATAAATTTAATTCTTTTCTTTATACAAAGATCAAAATAAGTAATATACCCCAAAACACATTTTATTTTAAATTTGAAAATCGCTTTCTAAAGATAAGAATTAATTTTTGGGAGAAGAAAATCATAATCGTCTAACTGATTATCTAAAACATGACTCTTTACAGCAAAATTTATTGTCAAAATGATTCTTTTGCTGAGTGTTCATGTTTATCTAGTTAAGTCTCCATCCAGAAAATGTTGATCGTGCATCCGATGAGCTTTCTATATTTCCAACGCCAGACACGGTCTCGTGCGTTTTAACAAAAACAACATCATCTTTATTCAGATGGGCAACGACTATACCAGTAGATGCATGGCGATCACCATTGTCATACGAGTTTGCCAGGGCACTGTTCCATATGTTTTGATTGATGATAAGGTTTGAAAAGGCATAACTGTGGGCGTCTGAGTAGATATTCCACGTTATCACATACAAGCCATTTGCAGGAACAGTGAAAACGCCAGTATACTTATTATAAGAATCTCCTATATTTGTCTTCACAACATCAAAAATAAGTGTATGGTGAGGGGCCAATGTGTGTTCGTCTGTGCTCATATAGGAGTAGAATGCGCATTGGTTGTGTAGATCATTGTCTGGAAAACTCTGCGAAAGAAGGCGAAGTTCTCTTGCTACAAAAGATTGAACACCAAATCAAAATGGTACACAATTATAATATGATATTGGTTACCAAAACCGTATGATAACTGCAATACTATTGTATATACTTCGTGTATTTCAAATAAAATACAATAGAAAAAGATATTGACAAGACTTGTCATATTCTACCAATTACACCTTTTTAAAATAGTTACGTTCTTCTCATTGTAAAGTCAAACTTACAAGAAGGTCCCTTGCTATTTTCGTTTTGGTGGTACTGCGTTTTCTGCCATTCTGAACTTATCAAAACATTTGCTATACTCCAGCCATTTCGTTTATTATCCACTTCTATGGCAGGACTGTTCATGGAATTGAAAATGGGATATTCCTTCATATTATTTATGATATTGTGTAAGACTTGTATTTCCGAGTTTTGAGATTCAATTTTAATCGAAAGTTCTTTAATTGTTTTTTCCTGTCCTTTGGCTTTTATTCGAAACTCATTCACAGTTCGGGTCAGTTCGTCCACCTTTTCTTTTAAACTGGTCAATAACTCTCCCTGTTGCTTGATTGTTCCCAGCAGCCCATCAGAGTTTTGCATCTGGCCATGAGCTTTGCGAGAATAAAGAATAATTATTAAGACTACGACATATTTGCACATATGAGAAAACGTCATTGTTTGAATGTCCGTTGCCACGAAGGTAGTACGCTTGTTTATTCCAGTACAATCCAACTTATACTATGATAAGAAATAAGAAAGGTTAAGAAGCAAACTGAAGATAATCAACAGATACACGTTCATGTAATTGTTGATTATTTAATTTTCGACAATTTTTTAAAAACCAAAAATAAATTTAGAAAACGATCGAGAAAAAGGGTGGCGTTCTAGAGTTGTAATAATTGTACAATTCTCAGTTACATGTAAGGTTGGACTTTCAGTGAGGCGTGGCTTTTTCGATGTTACATATGTAACTAGCTTCACAACTTTCAACACTGTTGAAATATACATTGGATACAATTCGACTGAATCTAAACGAGCGTAAGAAATAACCAATAACAAGGTCTCGTGCGGCAAAGAGATGGGGTTTAAGTCGTCTCATCGTTGTCAACAACATATTAAAGTCCACATATTTTTAATTTTTCAACTAATGAGAATCTATTCGCCATTTAACAGACGCTAATTACGTAGCACCGAAAATGCCACACCTCACTGAAAGTCCAAGATTACTTGAGAATTGTACTATTTATTGTTATCAAAACTAAATTGCAAAACTCATTAATTTTGAAAAATAAACCTAATATATTTATTCATAATTTGTAATTTATAGCTTGACAATTTGTAGTTAATAAATTACATGCGTTATTAGATTCAAGATATTTTAAATGTTCTGTAGTAGGCTTAGATTTTACTGACTTAGTAGATAACGATAACCCTTATTGGTTACGATCGGTTATTGCACATTCGGAATTTTTTTCTAGCTTTATATAGTGATTTGGGAAAAGTCCTTGTATGGGTTATACATAGAATGCAGATTTTCATTGGATAAGAGAGAGACACCTTCAGGCCGCGGTGTATTTAAAGTCCAGCATTTCACGTTTAGATCAGTTGGTCTGGAACCTTCTCAAAGGTTCGTACCAGCTCACTTTTTGATTAGAGGGGTAGATCCCGGTCCCAGTCTCTGTCTCGTTCAATATTCACTCGTTCATTTGTTCACTCCTTTTGTTTTTCCTTATTTATACGTCCATTTTATTGTTAATTTCCAGTTCCTTATTTTTATTTTTGGTAAACCGGTTAGGTTAGGCGTAGTAGATTTTACGTGCAGGGGTGGATCACTTTCCTTTGGACTTAGCATTGGGTAGGACGGGCTCTGGACTTCGTACATTTGTTAGGTAGGCACTTATTTTTATCGAGGCCCATAAGTATATAAAAAGGTCGTTAGTACATCAGTTTTCATTGTAAATATATAAATGTAAATATTTCTGTGCTGTTAATAAAATACAATTGTGGCCATAATAAATACTTTTAATTTGCAAGCTCTTGTTAATAAAATTATTGGGTTAGTAAGTCACTTTTGTGACTATTTGAGATACAAATGGTTTATTGGTTAGTTAGAAGTTGGTATAAAACGCGAAGTACTATTATTGATAAAGAAAGTGTGTGATATTTAAGAGGTATTTTTATACGGTCATTTTCGTTACATTGGTATCGTCGAATTTTCTAAATTGCATTGATACCATGTAGCGAATTTCCGGTTTCATAGGTGCCGTGAATGGTAGCTAAGCTTAAGTTTAAAACCAAATCCTGTCACATTTCCATCAAAGACAATTAAGGTTTGCCTTTCCTTAGTAGCAAGACCATGACAACAACAGAAATGGAACATTAATTTACATTTACATGTACCTAACAAACAAGTACATAAACTTAGGATTTAGATTGTAGATGAAGATATGTGTTTGTTTCTCCAAAGTTAGGGTATAACAAACCTATTTATACCAGAATGTTGTTTTTTCTTTGTTTAACCCAGTAGTTTAACGAGTAAAGATTAACGAAAGGCTCGGAGAATTTTGCAATAAAATGGGGGAGGGGTAGAATTTCTAAAAACATATTCAACAGCTTTATAGGCTGATGTATGAAAGAACAAAAGGCACGATAAAGAAATATGTACACATTTTACTTTAAAAAGTAAGCATCTGGATAGAACATTTATCCAACCAAGTCCCCATGCATCGCAAGTTCAATCCTGTGAAATAGAAAAAGATTGGGGAAAGAATCATTCACCATTAACGTTTTACTATATTGTTTCACTTAATTGTTAAACAAAAGCTGTCTATAAAAGATTTTAACAGAAAAAAAACTTTTTCAAAGATCTACGTCTCTGTTGTTTTTAATACTCAAATATGTATTATGAATCAAGAAAGGAAAAATAGCATTGTATATATAAATGCTCTGGGATTAATAAAACAAAAACAAATGGTTGTAGGAAGCATTACACGAAATTGAAAAAGAAAATCATACTCCATTTCACAAATGAAGCTGAATTTTCTATCGCAGTAATCATCGTTCCAGTGATGATTTAAATTTCCCGCCAAAGTCATGCACGCTGCACTAACACCATTAACTGGTTCCCCTGGTGACCAGCCGACATATGTGAATGGACGCTGCCTCGTTACCCATACCCAATGGCCTTCTTCAAACGCATCTGTTGCACCAACCCAGTATGTATCTACAAAATAAGGAGACTTGTGTTGAATTTTGATGAACCATCTTATAGTTATACTTTCTCTTTTTTCAACAGCACTCTCTTTTGATTCTCTGTCTATTTCTCTCAAATCTTACCATGATTTGAAGATATATGGTGTCGTAGGAAATTATCTTCATCCTGCGTCTCAATTTCCGCTAGATGAGAAGCAAACCTCTCACAAAAAGCCTGCATTAAAAAAGAGAAGACACACAGAGTCATCACAAATCCTGTCCATTGATAAAAACAATACAAGTAGGAATTTCAGGTACACGAGTTCCAATTTTTATCGAAGTTGTGTAGCTTGAAATACATCTGCTCTTCATTTATGTTTTAAATAAAGCTTTATGAGCATAGATGACATATCTATAAAGTAAAAGATCTTAGATTGCTTGAATAAAAACATGAAAAAGATATATAGATAAAGAGCTGAAATTGCGCACAATCCTAATACATGTAAGTCAACTTGAAGTCACAGGTTTGTTCGGTTGCATTTTGTCCAGTGCAAAATTTCGCCATTTTTTGACATTGCAAAGCGTTGAATTACTGACAAATGTAGTAATTAAAATCCTTAGATCCTCAATTCACTAATACATGTATATAGCTAGGTTACAAACTTCTGAATCATCATTACTGATGTACTTACAATTTTTTGTTAACAAAAATATTAGTAGTAAAATCTATTTAGCTACCCAGAACATTCAGGTTTCATGCAGCACTCGCAATACTATTTTACTAATGTATGTGTTTAATAATACAACTTATTATTCAAGAAAACAGTTTTCAATCAAACACTGTTCAATTTAGAATTTCTCAGAATTCTGGACTAATTTATTCCAAAAGCATCTCACTAATCACTTATACCGAGAATAAAGCAAATTAGTAGTACTCAAAACAGGAAGTATGCTTCTCAAATTGTTTAAACTCATTCAAAACTTTTCAAGGTAGAACTTCCGATCACTTGGGAATTTATATCCTCTATATTTAGATCCACTGAATATTTTCCTTTTTATTTCTTATGAATACCATTGCCATTTATCAGTGCATGAGCACCACTAAGCAAGCTACGTATGTGGATTTCTTAAACAATGGCTGTTCCATCAGTTCTACATACAATGACATATTCATCTTAGATACAATAGTCAATAAATTTAATTTTACTTTGAATGAATGAATAATACAAATGTTAATATAAACAATAAAATGCTTTCTTTGTTAGTTAGTACGGGAATTAACGTCGCAGCTATTGAAGAAAAAAATACGTAACCTGCTTACCCGGGTAATGTATTTTTTCTTCAACAGCTGCGACATTAATTCCCGTAATAACAACCAAAGAAAGCATTTTATTATTTTAAAAACATCAACTTTAAAACAACTCATCCGAAAAGTATATGTCGCTGAAAATCTAAAGGATGTGAGTGATAATTCATGGCCAGGGTAACAATATGCGTTCACTTGCAATTATGGTTTGAGTTCTATTTACTAGCATTTGAATTCTTCTTTAATTAGTAATATTCTAAAAAGTGTACAATCCACTTGTTTAGAAATCAATATTCTATATCTTTTTATATCAAATAATAAGCTTTAAAAAATACGACATGCTCAATACAAAGCATTTTCTCTGATTCTGGATTCTGAAGATTAATGCAGACTAGCATAATTCTGGACATTTTGTCTGTTAGATAAACTTCTGAACCACAGGTACGAATTCAAAACCTTATTGCGCATCTGAAAGTCAAATGAAATGCAAAGAAAATTTTATGCAATGTATTAAGAGAAATAAGGAAAAAAAGTTCGACCGATAGACAGACTTTAGAGGATTGTAACAATATGCCTGAGCTTTCCTTAGAGTCTTTGTATCATGAAATTCAGAGAACATATTTCAGAGCATCTTTTTAATTAAAAGCACTTTCCTCATTTTATCGATATCAGTTCACGGAGAGTTTAATACATTATTTTTCTAATATCTGTATTTTTGTTTTCTCTCCTCCTTTGCACATGATCATATTTCTGGAGTTTTAGAGATCCATTTTACTCCTTTCCTATTTTGTAATTTAAAATCAACTTTTGCCCTTGAATAATGTTCATTATATCCAAATATTTTATTTCAAGTGTAAAATGAAATGTTATGAAAAATACATATACCCCAGCTTCAATCCAGTCGGTTTTTAGATCTGTGACAAAAGCGTAACAAGAACGACCATGTAAGTACCAAGACTCGGGACAAGGATTGAATGCTACTGCGTTAGTTGTCAGGAAGGCTGTGGATACTGCAAAAATATATTGCATTATATTACGAAATTTTTTTAGTTTTAAAGATTATTATATTAAGACCCTTGAATGTGTTTGTAGAGGGAATATACATATATCTTTTTTGCGATTATTTAAAGTAAGAATTTTGAATCCAATTCATTTCTCCTTTAGGGGCACAAAATATATAACGTACCAGTTATGACCTCATGATGTTCATGATAAATGAGTATTAAATTAACGTGATGCAAATTTATTTTGATTGTACGTCTCATTATAATATTTGTATTACTTGACAATTATAAATGTTGAGAACCTACGAGGTCAATCTGATTTTCGAAGCAGAAAGAAATGTAATGAACGAAATGACTTCTACTTTTCAATCGTCAACTTCCCTTACTTATGCAGCAATATACCTTCGTCACCTGCTGCATACGTGATTAATACATGTATCTCTCAGCTTTTCGACACGCACTAGTATGCTCTACGTTTAATATAATTTCTAAACAGATGTAAATTATTGGCAAACAAATTGATGAAACAAGAATATCAGCGGTCTTGTTCAAAGTTATCATTTCGTACGTTCTATGGTCGATAAAATTATCTTGTAAGCAATTACAATTAATCAATGCGTCGAATGGTGACTGAAGTTTTTCATTCATTCTTATCGTTAATCCATTATAAGAACACTGAATTCTCAACATATTTTCCTTTATTTCCCGACCATGACAAGGAGCACACGGCAGGTGTGACCGGTCAGCAGGGGATGCTCACTCCTCTGTGGCACTTAATCCAACCTCTGTTGTTTCGGAGGTCGTTATTTCTTTGATCCAATTTTGAATATTTTAAGCTTGAATATTGTTCGATACCTCCATATGTTTCAAGAAATGCGTACAGCAGTTGTGTGCAATTATTTTAATTTTCATGTTAAGCTTACATCATAAAAATCAAAATATTTGCAAAATGTGTTATTATAAAAATATTTTAAGTATTCCTACCTAAAAGGAAAGTTGAAAATACCCACATCGTGTTATATATGTCTATATCCTCTGGCATATGATTATAACAATATCCTTATCTTTTACATTTGACCTAATTTTTATGTGTTAGTGGCTTGAATAATTTTGGTGCGTGTGTAGTTCTGATAATATATGAAGTTTATGGGGAGTTAGAGATGCTTAGGCAATATAAAAGATGCAGTGGATAAGTATAATAATACCAAAAGGGCATAGTAAAATTTATCCATTGAACCTCATAAAGAGCCATTTTTCAAGGATTCTCATTCTTGTCCTTCAGGTAATTTGAAATTGTCAAGATTTCTGATGGTGAGTGCAGAAAGGAAAATAATTTTAAAACATAATAGAAAGCCTTACTAAATATTTCAAAAGCTTTATATGTGTGCATCGTTACTGTGCGTGATAAATAGTAAAAATATATAATTGATCCTAACATTCACTTTCCTTTTAGCTTGTTACTAAAAGATGCAAAGAAAATCACATTTGTGTCGTAAAAAAAAATATATGCACAGAAAATTTGCACTTGGGGTTTTACTTGTGACTCGCTCGTCAAAATGTTAATTTTTGCAATTTACAGGCAATATCATTCAGGAAGTAATAGAATTATAATTTTTGGAAAAGTTTTATTCAACTTTCTACATCTCAAGATGTTTTCTCTTTAAAAACAATTCTAGAAACCATTGAATCAACATGTGTTTCGTCAACATTGACTATAGTAAATCCACATTGTTCTATGAATTTTCTGCGGTCTTCAACTCCCCATCCGGCCCCGTGACCAATCGCTGGACTTTCTGACATACTATTCGGTAAGCAAAAAAATACACTGTATGGCAGATGAGTCTTTGCAGCCTCGTTATCAACATTTTTTGAAACGTCCGACGATACGTCAGGGTCAAAGGTCACAATATATCCATTAGGTTTCAGGATCGTTTTCAACTCTGATAAAACTCGTTCTGGATCGGGTAAGTCATGCAGAACTTCATGTAATATAATAATATCAAACTTGTTCTTCTGTAGTGGAGTCCCATGTTTCGTGTGTGTGAAGAATAGGTTAGGATAACTATATGTGTTCCTACAGTGTTGTATAGACCCCTCGTCGATATCTGTTCCTGTGATATTGATATCTGGATAGATTTGTGCTAGCTGTTGACAAAGTTTTCCGTAACCGCAACCAAAGTCAAGAATATCAGTGATATTATCTGTAAATAGAAATAAATCTTATAAGTGAATTCACACGAATTTCTTGAAAGTAAGGCAAAAGATTTTTTTTATATATTTATTATCTACGGAGTTACTACTGAGGTATAGAAAATTTCTTAACGTGGTCCACCTGTCATTGTGTTTGGTCTTTGATACTTTTTTTTTTTTATTTTTTTACATAAATACTTAAGTCTAATGCAATTTACACGAAAAATAGGTGAGGACAGCAAACAGTGATTGACCTTTAAAAAATCTATAAACAATACAAATCGGTAAAGAGGGCATAAAACAAAGACTCGTGACTTTTTGGATGTGGGATAATATGCCAAGGAGGAAAAAGCAATCCCCTGTTAACTGATCACATGAAATAAAATTAGATGAAACATTGGATGGATGCATTTAAAATGTCATGCATCAAAGCTTGCCTTTTTCTTACCTTGAGTATCTTTAAAGTGTTTTTCGAAAACTGGCTCTAAATTATTATGAATCCAGTCATGGTCAAAGGCATTTATTTCGTTAAATTTTCCTAACCATTCCAAATCTTTCTGTGGAAAAGAATACCCTGGTTGAATGAAAATTAAAATAAATGTGTATTTGTTTATGAAAACCATAAGCAGTGGATCATAACAACCAAGACAAAAATGTTTTTAAATATACAAAAGGCATTACAAAACAAGGAAGAGGTTCGTCATTATCCCATTCATTAACTCATATGAACCGCATAATTATACAAAAAAAAATTGTAACTGGAAAATAGTGTAAGTTTCTGGTAAATTGTCATTGAAAACATATTTGGACTAACCTGTATTTGTGTCCTTGACTCGCATTACCGTCTCCAGTTTTGGTAAACAGTCACAGAACAATGGTAGCATGGCGGATGTAAGAACAGCCTTTTGAACTCTCTCAGAGCAAGGTAGACTAAATTTCTCCTTTTCCAGTTTTATTATGCCTTTTGCCGTCATACAAGTTAGCCATTCCTGTACATATCTAAAACCAATAATAACAAGAAGTGTTTGTGAAACACTGATGCCCCGATTTGGCAGCATAATTATGGCAAGTGTTGAAATTTCTCAAATGCGCGTTGTACTCCAAGGCTAAGGTCTAAAGGCTGTAGGTACCCAAAGGGTCACAAGGAATCAATCTTTGAAATATGAAAGCCCTAGCACTAACGGTTTAAAAGATATGGTTTACCTTTTTTTAAAGTAAGTCAAACTCTAAATACAAGGTCAGAAGGTCAAAATTTATACCCAATAACAGATCTTAGTAAATACTCTTGTGAGGTATGAAAACCCTAGCACCAACTATACAGTTATGATTATGGTTAAATTTCGAAAATTTTTGGTAAAAGTGGGTCAAGGTCCCATGGTCAAGTTTGGTAAAAAAAAAGAAAGGTCTTGTCAATGAATACATCTGTGAAATGGAAAAGCCATAGCCCTACGTATACACATTAAAAGTATTGGACAATGTTAAAGTTTTTGCTGTCAAACATACAATTTAAACAGACAGCTAAACAGACAGACGAACGGATGGATAGGGCAAAATCTTTGATTACGGGACAAAAATACACACCTGATAATTTATAAATGAAGTTGTGACATTGAAAATTTAAAGCAATTTGTTTACTGACATGCATCTAATGCATATTTTTTTCTCATATTAATAAAGTCATAATCGATATAGTACATAAATATGGCAACAGATGTTAACAATCCGATTTTTTAATAATCCTGCAAGTTATGTTAAAGTAAAATGATACTGAGGCATGTTGTAATATATACATGTATTAAATAAAATGTTGATTTGCAATAAGATTTTAACCAATTGATTGAAAATTGTCAATGTCTTTTTTTCAAGTTATAAAAGTGCATGGTCGTTGTCTTCGCCTTTTTCAAAAGCTGAGGAGGAGATAATTAAATAAATGTACAGTAAAAATTATTTGAAAAGAAAGAAATACCTAAGATTTAATCCTGCTTCTTCACTGATCTCTTTTGCTGTTGATGGTTTGTTTAATCGTCCAAAGGCATCAATAATGCCCACTTTGTATCCTAAAGCCAGCACCATTGCATGTAGCCCGCTTGTCACCGTTTCTTCAATGACTTTTTCTACGGAATTCATTTCGTTTAGCTTTTGTTCCATATTGCATTCCTTACTTTTAACTTTCTCCTCTTCCATATTTAATTTTTATTATTTCCTCTTGTCGGTTGTTTGAAGGATATTAAATTTCCGACTTCTGTTTCGCTTCCCGTGTCGTGTAGATCAAATGTTGTTTTTCCCCATACAACGTCAATCAATGGCTACTACAATTCTATATATGGGTTAGTAGACGTCCATTCTTTTAAACTTAAGGATCCAAGTTAGGACACATTAACAAATTAGAAAATTATGTATGTTCATTATGTATTCTTACGTCAACTTGTGTAATTTGTTTTAATGCACCACATACAAACACATCATTTTAGACACGTATATATTCATATTTGAAAATTAAAACATTAATTTAATATTATATATGCATAAAATGACAAACCTGTTTACAACCTTATTGTTAGCTTCCCAACTTTATATTTACTCGACATAATAAAATCCACCAGTCGATCGAATTCAGCTATTCAAGTTTTATTTATGCATGTCAGTGCATTTTCTCAATTATTTAAGCACTGTGCAATATGAGGTTATTCAAATGTGGGTCAAGGCATTAGCTTACACATTTAAATACAACCTTTACATTTTGTGATTGTTGTTATGCACTTCAATATGTCTGTCAATATCACATCACATATGTCATTTACATCATCATCATCATGATCATTGTAAATGAAAAATAATGTTCTATCAACATGATCAAAACGAGGTGTTCAGTACAAACTGTTCACTCACTGATGCACGGTGCTGATAAAAGCTTCTTTCCCAAAACTTTCTGAACTGCTTATATTATTTTTAGAACAGAGTACCATTTGAAGGATTATCTATATGTTTGTTGAAATTAAAGTCTCTCACTAAGTACTCCTAAGACAGCCAGAAGAATATACTAGATCAAAAAACTATATGCACAGTTTTCCATGGTTGTAAAAAATATAACGTTGATAGTGTTGGTAATCATTTTGTCCACAGTGTAGCAGTGTAAATGTTATATAGGCCTATTCCGCATTATACAGAGACGTAAGATGCGTCACACATATCAGTCTTACAATATATTTATTACTTTAAACCAACTTTTGTTCGAGCGTGAGAAATATCAGAGAATTTCGTGATCTTCTTTAACTCGCGAATATTAATCGTTGCAAACTATTTCATATTTCCATTTGCAAAGAAGAATGTCTTAAGCCCCGTTCACATGCCGAAAAATACCCTAGGAGTAAATTTTCCGTCAAGGATTAATTTTATTCAAACTGAAGAATTGCGAATTCAAGATAATGCGAATTATAGAATAATACATGATGTCTCCTTTTTTCACTTCTATACTTAACTCCGTAAAATTATTTTGTAAATATTCTGATTTTACACACAAGTACTCTAAAGTTGATATTAAAAAGCTTTCAAGATTTTGAAAAGCTTTTAAGATGCTTGATTTTGAGAAGGACACTCCTCCACGGCACCTGATCCTCTGACTTGTTTTGGAGGTCTCTTATTTTTTTTCTTCCAACGAATTGAGTGTTTTAAGCTTGGGATGAAACGTACAAACAAGTTATATAAAAATGATATATCTAAACACAAACCATATAGGAGCTTCTTTCCCTCTACTTTGTACACATAGAAGTACAGAAAACTCAACGTTATTCTTATATAACACCATATATGAAAGGATATCCTCGATGCATTTATAGGAAGTCTTCGGAGACCAAGTCTTGCTACAAACCGTAGGAATACGATACTCCTTTCTTATCGACTGGTTTTTATATTTGTATGAAACAGAATTTTTTCAGAAATTTCTACACTGGAAATCACTTGCAGTGGCTTTCAACTCGAACATTCAGGTATATCGACGATGACTATATTTTATTAATCATCAATAATCATTTCAATTCAGGCCAAAATATAAAATACCTTTGTTTCCCCTAACGCGACTGACCCAACTAAATCGCGCCCACTGAAAAGATTTTTTTAAAAAAGATGATTCAATTTTTTTTTTTAATGTTAACCAAGTTTTATAAAATACAATTTCATCAAAATCAGTTTTTATCAGAACGGCCGACATTGTTCTACTGTGATTTTCAAGCATTTGTTGGAAATGAAATGGCGCCCAGATATGATTACATCTAGAATTAGTTCTTCATAAAACAATAGCGGCGTCTCAATCTTATGCCTTTAGCTAATTAGAATTCTTCACTCTTGAAACAATTCGATAATAAAATTACTTCTTAACTCCAAAATGCTCTAGAACCACTGCAGATCTCATGGCCCTCAAAAAAGTACATTGATTGTCTATAAGCAATGGAGGGTGATGGAAGGTTTGAAAAATATACTCGGATGTCCGGTGTTTGCGTATTTGAGAATCTTGTCTTTTTTATTTCGATTTATACAAATTTTGTAAACAAAATAAATGCATGCATTAAAAAACATATCCCAACAAAAACCATAACAATCCGTCCCAGAGATAAGGCATTTATGAATAATTCTATTAGAAAACTAATGAGGAAAAGAAATCGTATACACAAGAAAGCAGTGAAAACTCAAAACCCTCAACACTGGGAACACTACCGCATTTTAAGAAACAAAGTAATTGATGAAATTAGAGCTTCACGAGATAGACTCAACCAAAAACTTACAGACCAAATAGATAAATCTATACCTCCTGGAAAATGGTGGAGAATAGTAAAGTCTTTATCCAAACAAAATAATAAAAGCAAACCACCACCACCTTTAAAGTATCCTTTATAAACTAAAATATTATGGTATATCAGAACAAATTGTTAATTGGATTGAGAATTACTTGTCTGATAGAACTCAAAAAGTAGTTCTTGATGGCTTTTCATCAACTACTAGAGCTACTAATTCAGGTGTCCCTCAAGGGTCAGTCCTTGGTCCCTTTTTATTCTTATTGTATATTAATGACATATCTGAAAAATTATCATGTCCTGTAAGGCTTTTTGCAGATGACACCTCTCTTTATGTCATAGTTGATGATGATATTATTAATTCTGCAAACATATTAACTAAGGATCTTGGACAAATAAGACAGTGGTCTAATATATGGGCAGTAGAATTCAATCCTTGTAAAACAGTCAATCTAGATTTTAGTAGGAAAAATATTTGCCATCCAAAAATTAAGTTTGGTGAAGATGGGCCCACTATTAAAAATGTTGAAACACATACTCATTTAGGAATAAGATTTCAACAAGATGGACTTTGGAATAATTTACCATTTAATATCCGAAACCTTTCTTCACTTACATCATTCAAGACTGCCATAAAGAATATATACTGCATAAAACCTAAGAAATATTATAATTATGGAAGTCGTAAAATGAATATATTGCATTGTCAGTTGCGAAATAATGCTAGTAATTTAAATGCTGACTTATTTATATAAATGTGCTCTGGATTGAGATATTTCACAAGTTCAACTGCATAACAGTTGTGAATTAATTAAGCATGAATTTTGCTTTTAAATGGCATATGTACGTTTCTTATTTATAAAGGTACTTTTCCATTAAATTTTAGAATGTATTTTAAAAGCTGTTGTCAGAAAAAATAGTTTACCTACCTACCGACCCAACTTGTCAATTTAAGGTCCGGTTAGAGGAAACAAAGATATTTTTAATTCTGGCTACATATGTCCCTTTGATATATTCCAGAGAACTTGATATGAAATATACCACTGATTATGCCAAATATGGCTCATACTTATTATGTTTTACTCACTGTAGAAGACAAAGACAACTTTAAACTAAATTTTTTAACAAACGAGTGGGCTTCAACTTTTCTATCATCACCTTTCCTTATTTATGTATTAAAATTCCGCTGTCACATGCATTTGATGTTGATGTCTCCCAATCTATACGCTACAGGAGAGCATGGTCTGAGCTCAGTTCCTGTTATTAGCAGACCTTTTTTGGAATCATATGACGCAGAATTTGTCCAAAATCTTATATGTGAAAAAAAGAAACATTTTGTTTTGGCGTTTAACTTGACATTTAGATATATCGACGACGTATTGTCAATTGAATTGAAATGGTTATTTTCATTTTTATGTCGATACGATATATCCCGGTGAGCTCGAAATAAAAGATACCACAGAGTCGGACAAATCTGTTTCGAGTTTAGATATTTTACTTGAAAAGGACGTTTATGGTAATCTAACAAGCAAGATTTATGACGAACAAGCTGATGTTAACTTTTCAATCGTCAACTTTACTTAGTTATGCAGCATATATTTATTTATACCTTCATCACCTGCATACGGTGTTTATATCTCTCAGTTGATTCGATTCGATACCCAAGAGCATGGTCTACAAATGAGAAATCGTTAAAACGAAGTAAGTTATTAATATACAAATTGCTGGAACAGGATATCAGCAGTCTCGTTTAAAGTCATCATTTCTTTAATGTTATAACGGTAGATACAATGCAAATACAATTTATCCTAGGACATTTTCCATTGTACATGAAATTGTTAGGCCAAAATATAATTATATATTACACATGGAATTGTCGATGTATTTTTCTGATCATGACAAGGGCACAAGTCGGTTGTGGCCAGTGCCTTTCACCTGATCCCAACTCAGATTTTTGGAGGTCCACGTTTACTTTTATATAATTTTGAATTGTTTAATGGACTTTTGGGCTTGAATGCTGTTCGCTATCTCCATATATTACTATCAACCATTGCGTAGAGTAAGGATGTTATCCTACGTCGCAGGGTCGAATCCATTGTGCTACGTGGAGATCGATCCTTTGTTTAACCCAAGGTTTGGTTTTGCAGTAGGTGTTCGCACAAAAAAGATCCTTCACTGTTCAATGGCCCTACGTGAACAGTATAGGGGTGAATTTTCAATCATGCATCGGCAATTTTTGATGTCTTTTAGGAAGGAACGTTTCCAACATACATACGTAAATTCTGTGGTTCGTTCTAATGACCTCTTTAATATAACCTAACATTGGGTCGTACATGGACAGATTTGTTTCATATACCAATACTTAGTCCCTTGGTTTTTGTTCTAAATTTGACTGCGGAATGTTCCGTTTACTTGATCAATGCATAGGGTCCACGACGGATGTGACTGGTCAGCAGGGGATGCTTACCCTTCCTAATCACCTGAGCAAACATTTAGAATTTTCTGGGCCTGTGTTTATGCCATGCTCACAGGCATTTTTTTTTTTTTTAGATCAATCGATTTTCTTAATCCTCACTTTTTTTCAATCCAGATTATTTTATTTTAAAAATGCATTTTTACTGAAAATTGAAGTTTCATAAATTAATGAACGACAACAGACACATACATATGATTAAAAATATTTAGGTATCATCGGAACTTTATTGAACAAACGTCTTATAAAATCTGTAAAAGGGATTTTAAAGAAACGGAAAATCAATTTCAAGAGAAGTATTAAATATTTCGAGATAATTTTTCATTTATCAATACATGAAGAACATAGATATATATTTACGATTAACATTTCATTAAATTTAATCAACGTTTTCATTTTCTTCTTGTAAATAAAAAAGCTTCCAAATCTAGTAAATTAATATCACAGGGAAAATGAACTGTACTGTAATGATCAAACAAGCACTGATTTCACTGCTTTGGTTATAAATAACAAGTGATCATTTAGTTTCAACTTTTATTCAAACAGATATTGTAAATGTCTTCATGGTCATATGTATACAAATAATCTCATAATTGCAATTCATTATGCAGTTGATAACAATATCTTTTTTTTTTAAAAATCCGTGTAAATATTAATACAAATAATTATCTAAACTGTAAATGAAGTCTAATTTTATTAAGTATATGGTACTTTAAGGCAGCACAATTTTTTGTATGAAAGAATAAAATAGGGTGTTTAAGAAAATATCTGGAAAAGCAGAGATATTTCATATCAATAATCATTGTAAAAGGTTAAAGAAAAAATATATCACATTGAGCAAAAAACTTCTTTTAGAAGTGTGCCTCACATTTCTCACATAAAATATAAAAATGTTTGACATAAATAAATACAATACCATACAATACATTAAATACAATACAGGTATAAAATTCTAATCGTCGACGTTTTATTTTGATTTCTAGTACTTACACTGTATTTCAGGAACATACATTGATCGTATCATCTCGGATCTTATCGTCATAGGCCGGAAAAACAACATCGAATGTATAACATCACCGGATGTAAAAAGTGTATGCTTCTTCTTTATCTAAATTAAGATAGACGGAGTTTAAAGTGTCTTCTACAGTATATTTTAGGTAACATCTTTACACTCAATAAAGTCAAACTCCATAGTCCACAGATAAGAGGTCTTTATTTATTTTAAAGTCTGTGAAAAGGGGAGTTGTCATGTAGTCTACGTAATACAGGTACATTCGAGGTTGTTTTTTCCAAAAATCGGAAAGGCCCGAGAAGTTGCGATTGGAATATACATATTTTTCGATTGATGCTTTTTATATTCATTTCATGAAAATAAAAAGAGAAATACGATACAAGCAGAATGTTTAGCGAGAACTTAACTGTGGTATTTCTAGCGTGAGCTCAATGATCAATTATACTGGATATCACTAACATTTTTCTGCATCGGTAGTAATAGCCATCTTCTTAATATTTAAAAAATATTACTTCTCATTACAAATAAATATATATATTTTTTTAAAGTCTGAATTTGATTAATAACGTCTCACTAAAATTTCCACTTATACAGTATTATGTATATGAAAACAAAAAAGAAAAAATGATGAGATGTTTTGATAGCAAATAATAAAATGGCATACATTACGTATGACAGTGGTTAGTTTTATATGATTATATGTCAAGTATATTATGCATAAGTAGTTGAGGAATCTAAAAGGTAGGTAAAATATCTTTTTAAAAACAATCATATACATGTATAGGAAATATAATTTTTCCCCGAGTCTTTTATACATAAAGCAATTCATTTGTATCACAAAATATAAATTTAACAATTAATCATGATATGTAGTTTTTTAGAAGACCTCAAAAAGATCTAGTGCTTCTCGATAAAAACATCCATAAGACACATACATGTCACATTCACATCTGCTATAAATATTTTATGGAGGCATAAAAAACATTAATTTGAATATAATAAAATAGGGCCACATCGCTAATCTGAGCATTATGGCGAGGAAAAAAGCAAAAATCAGCCTATTATTGAAAAGCTGAACTGCACAAGTGGAACTGGCCTTTCCCTGAAAAGGAGAGAAGGAATGGTTTTAACATAATTGAATCTACACCAACTAAGGATTTTATACCGTGACTTTTCCCATTAAATTTTGAACTTTCATTGTCGCCCCAATCTACCAACAGGGGTCATAATTTGAAAAAAAAAAAAACTTGAATCGACACCTGAAGATGTTTCCATATCAATATGACCAACCATGACTTTGCTCTTCTTGAGAAGACTTTTGAAGATTTTTCTTACATATACTTCTATGTAAAGCTTTGATCGCTCATTGCAGATCTACCCTTTTATTATGATTTGGTTACGATATGAAAAAACTTGAAATTACACACTTGAAGATACTTTCAGATAAATATGACCAATCATTGTTTTGCTGTTCTTGAAAAAAACTTGATCATCCATTGAAGCACCAAAATACTTTCATTTTTCACACCTGAAATATGGATAAATATGACAAATAATAGATTTGCTGTTTTTGAATAGAAAAATTTTGAAGATTTTTCCTATGTATTCCTATGTAAAACTTTGATCATATTTGTATATAAAAGTTTATATGAAATTGGTCGAGTAGTTCTACAGAGGAAGATGAAAATGTGAAAAGTTTATATGACAATGATGACAAGAACAATGATGACGACAGACAACGGACAAATTTTGGATCAGGTTAGCATAAAATATAAGAGAATTTTTAAAAAAAACTTTTTTTTTACCAAATATTCTACATCCCTGATAATCTTGAAAAATTGCAATATAAAATAGCCAAACTTTGGTTTTTATCTCAAACATAAACCAGTTACAGATGCAGGTAAGACAAGGGATACAGACAACAGCAGTTAACAAAAAGGAAAGCATTGTTAACTTGGCACTTTGTGCCAGTGTAGATCAACTTGGTTAAAAAGTTTCTTTGGTTGTCGCAGATATATTGTTTTCATCATTTTCTTTACATCAGAATCTTTTCCATCCGTGCAAATTCCTTTGAAAAGAAATAAAGTAAGAAAATAAATGAGACAAATAAACATTAAGTGAACCTTCTCATACTCAGAGTCAAGGTCGGAATACTTACATTTGCATTTTTACTAGTTTCTTAATGAATTTCTTGAAAATCTTATCATGATCCAAAAGTTTGTGGAATTTCTCTCTAAAATTTTATCGTGATTTGATGAAAGCAAACAATAGGAATATTTATAATACAGAGTCATAATGCAACAATATTGGAAAATGTCACCACGTTCCAATTTACAATAAGGTCAAAAGAGCTTTGTGAAAATGGACAGTTGTGAAACCTGGGGAAGACTTCGACATAACGTCAAGTTTAGTATGTCACGTCACGTGATATATGTCACATCACGTTATAGGAGCACCTCATCTTCTCGTCCAGTTCGACTAAGTTATTCTAAAGAATGATGCCATTTTCTCCATTTTTTTCTCAAGAAAGCCTGGGTTTACGATAAAGCAATTGTAATAATGCCATAAAATTCGTTTTCTATACATGTAACACATAGCGGTTTTATTCTTAAGTATTAAGAATTAAAATATTAATGAACGCGTTGATGCCCCCCCCCCCCGCATTTCCAATCATCCGTTTCTATGGCAACTGCCATAGAGTTACTATCACAAATATTTAAATATTTTTTATTTTCAATATTCAACAAGTGTTTTTGTAATACCTTTGAAAATTTGTTCCTATACAAATCTATACGTAAGAGAGTCTAACATTTCTAATGTTTTGCTGAGCGGGCATAAAAAAATCGATGTTTTACCGCTGAGTGAGATGTTGAACCGGTCGATGAGATGTTGGACCGCTTACGTCACAGAATGGGTGGAGCTTAATCTCGTTTTCATTCGTTGTTGTTCAAAATTGATGATTTTTACATCACGGAAGACAGTACAAAATATATGTATGTCAAAAAAAAAAGGAAGGGTAAAACAAAACATTTATTAACTTTTATTAAAAATGAAAACAATGACCTTGTGTGCCTAATGGCTTCAGGCAGACAATTCAAATGCTCCGACAAAATTTTTTTCAAATTTTCAATAAATGTTTAATATTCTCATTTGTAATTTTCAACCAATTTCACTTAGAAATAAATAAAATATGAAGAAATTCCACGAACTTTAAAGTGGATCAACCCTCGTATATTAACTTGCATGTTAAATGATCTTTATCATATAAACATTATAAAGCATTTAGATAGAAAGAATGACATATTTTTAAATCTTCCCTCTTCTTCACTACCAAAAATATGACAAATTCATGTTCATATCCTAAAGATCCTGAATCATCAAAGAGTTTTATGACTTGTTTCTGCAGACTTGCATTTTAGCAGTCAAAATTTGTAACTAAATAACCAATGGCACCTAAATATTTTTTGAGCTTTCAATTTTAAATTGAATTAAAAACATTATGTCAATATGAAAGTTGTGCAATATTATATTACTTGAAAATTCTTAAAAAAGTGATTTGGGCCTGTTAAACTTTATTTTTTTGAATAAAAGCTTTTTGGATGATAATTTTGCTGGATCTGATAATTAAATGCTACTGGAAATATGGAAAATACAAATAACAATATGCTTGAGAATGTTTATTAAAAAGAAAACAATGACCTTGTGTGCAATTTATCAACAATTCAAATGCTGACATTTTTTTCAAATTTTCAGGTTTATAGTTTGTGTGTGTGTTAGTTTGTCCTTGTGCAAAACAGATAGGACATAATTTTCACCCTGATCCACCTACTGATGTTATCAATGGATCATGTCTGCACTAGTACTGCCCCCAATATGTAGTTTAATAAGAAGTTTGAGCTTATTTCCACATTTTCAAATATATAAAATTTCATCATTACAAATCAAGATTGCCTAGTATGCAAAATTTTCACATTAATAAAACTAATTTTTTATTACGTTGCCTTAATTAATTTTTTCAGTGAATGAACAATATCCGTGATTTGTCATTAAGATTAAACAAAGAGAAATCAAACAAGTATTCAAAAAACTTTGAGTTTGATAAGTACATGTGTATAATGCGGTAATATGTAAGTTAGTTATGTTTGTTTCATGCACTTTGTGCTGTTTGCTTTCTAAGCATAGTTAACACTGGCAGATTTTTAATGACGATTTATCACATGTAGTATGCAGGAGGAGAAAATTTTTTAGTATATTCTAGCAAAGACTAAGCAAATCAGCACAATATCCCTACATACATCAGGTTTTTATAGCCCTATACAGTGTAATAATCCTTGCTATATTCAGACTAGATTTTTTTTTCATATATTTTCTAGCATTAAAACATATAACATTCTCCAAAATATCTGAACGATCTCAAATAATTATTGGTTTACTTGTTCAAATAACCACAATTCCAATAAATAAAATTTAAATTATGTTACATCATTAAATGACATCATTCATAATTTATACACTTTTTGATCAATTACAAGATTTGCCTATCAATAAATTTTGTTGACATTTTCAGTTTACAATTTTTTAGTTTACCAGTTAAACATGATATACGGAAATTTTAGAAAGGATTCAATTTAAGCCACTATCACTATAATTGAATACCACTCAAAATTCCTTCCATAAGCATTTGATTTCTAGGTATTATAAAATTGATTAAATTACTTTTCTTAAAAAATATGTACCGAATTTTTAGGATAAATCACTTAATTCGTGATTCCCTCCAATTATTAATGTATGTAACAGATTAAAATGTACTTGAAAATAATACTGAGGTTTAACTAATGATATACCATATAATTAATACAATCAAAATCTTGATAAGATTGATGCATGTACATTGATGTCATAAAAAGAGTGCAAAGAGAGATACAAACTTTTTCACCAGTCTGACACCAGAGTAAGCCACACAATGAGTATTGTTCCATTTTTCTGTATCCCTGTCTCTCATACAGGTGCTGGGCTCGATTGCTGGTCGCCACCCAAAGATATATAGCCTGTTAAATAAAGTGATATTCAATATACAAATATAGCCCTTTTTATGAGGTTGATCCATAGATATACCAACTTCACAGAATAGCATAACGACACCTGCTAAAAACCTGTTAAATAAAAGTGATATCCAATATAATTTTTTCTAAAAATATAAAATGACTAGAAAATTAAAGGCTTATGGTTGACAATGCTCACATAAATCTCTTGGTCCTAATATCAGAAGATTACTGAAATACATGTATTTTCCCAACAGCAATAAATCTCCCTCATGGGGTGCTTTGTTTTTTAACAAAGCAAACCTACACTTTATCAGAAAGCTTTCATATACAAGTAAATTGTATTTTTCTGTCCAAATTCTTCTTGAGAAGAAGAATTAAATTTTGAAACATTGTATTCTATATAATTTAAATGGTGATTATTGCCTCACTCCCACATGATTTTTTTGATCTACACTTTTAATGAAAGATATCATATAAATCAATTGTGTGGCCTAATGGTTTTCACATGTTGGAGAAATCTAAACATTTTTTTCTCTATATACAGTTGTATTTTTGTGTAAAATGTTGTCCACGTGGTACCCTCCTGATCCATGATAAAGACACGATGCATCAGAGAAATTTATTTAATCATCTTTTCTGACAAGCCAAATAAGAACAACTTTAAAATGTGACCACATTTTTAAGATTTTTAATTCTTCATTTCAAAAAGTAAAAGACTTCATTAAAGATTGATTTCCCTCAATCCAATGGGGCAATTTTTTAAAGACATTGTTGTGGCTCCTGGAGAAAAGGTCCAAAATGCTAAAAGTTTAAGATTACAAGAAAGACAGACAGAAATCAGACTCTCTTGGTTAACAAAAGCTCACTAATCAGCATGTTTCAGGTAAACAGTAGCGTTTTGAGAGAGAAACTATATTTTGTCATTGAAAAATATCTTAAAATACAGAATCGCATTTGGTTACTTTCCAAAATCAGAAATTATAAATTACTCTATTGCACAATCAACTGTAAATGATCTGAAAAACCACCTGAGAGATAAAAATGTTTACCCTACATCCTCTTCTTTTGGCATCTATTTCCGCCATTTCTAACAGGACCTTTCCTATTCCTCTACCTCTAAATCTGGCATCCACTGCTATGTGGTCTACATAACATTTTCCTTGTGGAGTACCCTCATCTGAGAGGCCACAGTTAAGCCATAAAAACCTACAATATCAAGATTCAAGAAAGTGAACTGTATTGTATAAGTATATTGTATGACATTTGGCACTTGTATTAGGAAGAGGTATAACTCCTTAATCATACTTTTTTTCACATGCATTACAATAATTTACTTTTTGTTGTTTGAAAAAAATTACTTTGTTGTTTCAATTTGGCACACTTGATATAAAGTAATAAACAATAGGATTTGGAGTTGGGGGGGGGGTGAAAAGGCATAATAACTCTTTTCCAGGGCAAAGCCATTTAATAACCGAATGTTCGAATACTAGAGATTTTGAAGGGTGAAATAACAGTCAGGCAATATTTACGCTTTGACAATTTATGGTATTCGTTTCAGCTCTATCCACCACTGAGAATACATTAAAAACATTTAATGACTAATATTTAATGACAATTATAAACAAACATATATTTGATTAATCAAATTATAAAATATCATTGGACACCAAGGATTAAATATCATTAACTTCAAAAAGTGAATTAATATACAGAAGTCATTTGTACATTCTTACCCAATAGAATCTCTGCATCCTAACTGAGGCATGTCCTGGTCCCTATCTCTATAAGAGAAAAAATAATGTAAGTAATATTTCTAATTTACAATATTATTGTGGTCCAGGATCACTAAAAAGAGAGAAGTTTGCATCTTTTTAATATACATTATACCAGCAAATACTATTTAATATCTCACCTATAATTTTCCTTAATCAAATTTTGATATCTAAAAGGTGATTAAGATTTCACGTCCTCCATAAATGGATTACCAATTATATATGCATGATCATGAATTTGGATTATCAACTTTCTGAATCATTTTCTTCAGGTTCATGACCATTTGCCAAACATTTTGATAGACCTCTTTTTATTATAAAACAATATTTTTCATTTTTTACAGGAAAATTAAAATAATTTACTTTTTGTTGTTTGAAAAAAATTACTTTGTTGTTTCAATTTGGCACACTTGTTAAGAGAACAGAATACATTAAAAACATTTAATGACTAATATTTAATGACAGTTATAAAACAAACCTATATTTGATTAATCAAATTATAAATATTATCAGTGGATAATTTTTTGTTGTTAAGAATGTCAAAGAAATCAATCACTTCAAAAATTTCTAATTATACACTGAATAGAGTCACTTTGTAAATTCAAATGTGCTCCAAAACAAATTCAGATGATCCTAAATGAAACAAGTGCTGTCCTTTAAAAAAGGAAAAAATAATGTACCATAATGTATTTCTAATTTACAATATTATTCAAGACAATTTCCAGGTTTAGTGAATAAAGAGAGAAGTTTGATCTTTTTAATATACATTATGACTGCCAAATAGCAAAATGTTAAATATCTCACCTATATATTTTGTCATTTTTAAAAATTTATGATATCTAAAAGGTGATTAAATTTTTGTAAGTAAACGTCCATTATCCTAAATGGCAAAAAAATTACCATTTGTATATAGACCCATGATCATGAATTTGGATTATGCCCCCCCCCCCCCCAACTTTCTGAATCATTTTCTTCAGCACTGTTAAATGACCATTTGCCATACATTTGGGATAGACACTCTCTTTTTGTTATAAAACAAATTTTAATATAAAATATTAGGTCATTTTTTACAGTAAGACTATAAAAAAATATTTTTCAGCCCCCTTTATCACCATATGGAAAACACAAGCTACAGGCCTCTCTCTCGCTATACTATATTGCTGTATATGAAGTCTTTTTCATAATATAATGCACAAAACAAATGCCGATAAAGACAATTTTTACTTTTAAAATGCATCTGCCATAGAATTAAATAAATAAATACGATAAAAAAAATGCGAAATACTTCAAAAGCACAAATATTCATGGAGGGGGGATAATTTTTTTTAAATTTTGTTGTTAAGAATTGTCAAAGAAATCAAATCCCACAAGAAATTTCTATATGACTATATACTGAATAGAGTTACTTTCAAAAAAAAAAAAAATAAATCAAATGTGCTCACGAAACTAATTCAGATGAGAAATAAATGAAATGATATCCCCACAAAAATTTTCCTCTCATAATATGTTATCAATTTTGAATTTATTTTCAAAATTTCAATTTTGCATTGTAAAGTTTTTCTGTACACTCAGATGTTTCAAACATGTTTTAAAATGCTTTATCATGTTTATGGGCTCTACTATAATATTGAAACAGACATACAAAAAGCAATTTATCCATACCTGTTTTTGCTAGTAGCATGAAGAAATTTTCCTTTAAATGCTTCAACCATTAATCTACCACTAAATTCACAATCTGCGTCTGTGTCTTGTAAATTTCTTACGGTAACTGGGTCCCGCTGTAAAAGTACAGTTCCAGTGTTAATCTGCCCCAGTCATACCGGCTGTTGTGTAGTTACAAAATCCATTTTACAATGGTCCAGTGCAGCATAAATAATTTATGTTAATTTGTTCCTTCCTTCATATAAAATCCTGGAAAAGAAATGAATGTTATAAAAGTTAAAAATGAGAATTTTATTGAAATAAATATTCTTGCGCAATAACCACACGTCCACAGTTTTAGTGTTTATAAGCATTGTATATAATTATATAGAAAAAAAGTCTTGAGAGATTACTAAAATATACCTAATTTGACTTGTTTACTTTTTCCGTGCTATATAATATTTCGGGAAGTCTTGCCTACCTGTGCTTAGAGTTAGTAGATTGAAATACACGAACCGCTCGTCGAAATGTTTAACTCCAAAAACAAACAGGATATTGGATATTTACAAACTCACCAAAATTACAGCTTGTACTTTCAATGGAAAAAATGTTTCCGGAATAATTGACAAAAAAAAATATTTAAAATGAAAAAGGATTTTTTTGTTATGATTTTACCAAAATAAATGAAGGACTTTATCGGTTTAACAGAAAAACGCGCTAGAGTATGGTTTCGTTCATACGTAAAAATGCACTGAAAAATTGCGTCAACTGCATGTTTACCAAAAGATAGAAGACTGATCATGAGTTACACCCTTCATGCTCATGTGATCATCATTTGCCAACTGAAAAAAAAGAGATGGAATGATATCATTGGAAGAAAAATCTATGAATATATACCATTTGAGATTATAAATTAAAACTCTTGGTGATGAATTTCATTAATGATATATGCCATAGACTGCAATCTTGATTCTGGACTTATACCTGCCTGGTTTTATTGAATATAAATTTAAATAAACGTGAAATGGGGAAAACTTCATGGGAGAAATAGGTTATAATTCTAATTTTTAAAATATTATACATAAAAAACATAACTACAAGATTGGTAAGAAGGATAGTTTTAATGCAGTTCTCTCTCTCTCTCTCTCTCTCTCTCTCTCTCTCTCTCTCTCTCTCGTGAAAATGCCGATGACATCACTGTTTAATTGACGTAACAAAGCTACTTGCGTCATAATCAGCTGATTTCGGTTGACATTGTGCACAACCAAAACTTCAGGCTTAAGATTTGTTTGTGATCATGGAAGTAAAAGGAGAAGAGGTAGGAAGTATCTTCATCTTTATCAAATACATGTAATTTTTATAAATGGTTATTACTTAGACGTACTTACTGAGATACACTCGCATCTCATTGTAATGAACGATCGAGTTAACTGTTTTAATCCATATAAAGAATTAAAGGTAACTAGTCTTGATTGGAAAACATGATATGCAATTAACAACTGTCATATTCTGAGAGTCATAATCCTTAGTTTTATTATAGGGGTAGACATGGATTATCTTTCTTTCCGGTAATTTTTATCATATAATGGTAGCTTATAAATATTTCCATTTTTTTATTTATTTTGCTAAAACAACTAGTGTTCAATTGAATGACGTCATAATACCAAATGACATCACAATACCAATGTCGTCATAATGCCTTTTGCATTATTCTTGGTTACCGTTTAGTTGCATGTTTTCTTACGTTGTTCTTTGAACATTACAATGGCAAGTTCATCGACGGTAAGTTGTGAGGAAAATTCTACTCATTACACTCTAGACTGTTACAAGTAACCGACTTAATTACATGTGATATCATTTAATTTATATAACGCTATATTCTATAGTATAATACTCCTTGATAATTAACATTTAATTAAATTGGTTTCAGATAGTACGTAACATCCTCGACGAGGTCCTTTACAAGGTGTACAGATATTGTACTACTGAGTACAGGTATGTAAAACAAATACTAAAATTATATACATGTATTTGATTCACTAGCGTCTTTTACAAATATTTTACCAATTCTTTTAAACCTGTTATAGTTCTGGAGATTAAAGTTGGTTTAATTTGTTTCTTCCTCTCAGCGTTCCCAAAGAACAGAAAAATATGCCCCCTGCTTTACTCGGAGGTTCTGATGACAAAATAGATGTAATTGCAAAACGGGATTTCTACGCGGAGCAACAAATAACGATGAAAAAGGTAAAATAAAAGACTAGTACTCTATTAAATAAATAATGTTGCAAAGATGACGAATCGAATGCTTTCCTAGAAAAATAAAATCGTTATACCGTAGATAGTACTATTTCATCTATAAGGAAAAGCACAATTTACTCCTTGAAATCTTTGAGTGCAGAGGAGCACAATTAAATTAATTGTTGTTTAATATTCATGATATTAATCAACAGATATATCGCAGAGTTGCCCGGGAGACTGTGCGAGATTTAATTATTCTTGCAACAAAACAGGCTAATGCAAGGTAAATATGATTTAAAATTGAAAATGTTATATTAATACTAGTAATTCTTTAGATTAAATTGTCTCTTGTCCCTCTAAGCCGTACGACAACAAATATTGTACGTTTCAAGAGAAAAATATGTTAAATATCATGCATACACTGTATTTATGTTGAACTTTTTTTTTGTTTTTGCTTTTAGCCCAGACAAGGGACAATTGGCAACAACTTCACAATTCCGATTCGCAAATTACGAAGCACAAAAGTATGCATATCAACAGCAGATGGAAAATAAGAGAGTGAAAATACACAAGGTACATGTCTATTGATCAGAAAAATATTTATTTCAAATACCTATAAATTCATAATATATATTTCTTATATTAGAGGTACACACTGAATATGATTTTCTGATTTTTCTCCTATAATGATTATAAGTGATTTGTTTTAACTTTCAGAAACTGCAGGTTAAAGTCACAGTTGGATCAGAAATTGTCCAATACACACTCAGACCCCCGACCAATCGTACAAAAGTTGCAGAAGGAAACATGGAGATACAGAAATCTTATGAAGCCCAGAGGGAAATAACCCCAAAGGTATAAAAGTCATTTGTATGCTGAGTTCACTGGAAATTTAATGCATTCTTCTAAATGTAATTTATCTCCTCATACATTCTTCATGGCCGTTGGTCAATAAGACTAGGAAAATATAATTTTTCCGATATATATAGTATTCTGTAAAAAACACACAATAGAAAAAATACAGTACTGAAATACATGTATATGCAACCCCCGCCATCCCACCATAAACAATTTCTTCCTACGTACGGGCTTACTCTTTGTAAATTATAAGAATGCATCTTTATATACAGTTGAAATCCGTTTTCACGAATTGCGTTAACTCCCATATCTCGAATACCAGAGATATGTTAAAGTGGGTTGACAGTTCCAAACCACGTGCACTTGTTTCGGTAATAAATTTTTAACCCATAGTATAATAATATTTTCTTTATATGTAAACCCCCATGATCCAAATAATTGCTCGGATATTCTGAAGATTTATACAATGGCGTAAGCGATAGCGAAGTTTGACATTATTCGTTGAATTTTTGAAATAAGAAAGGAGAAAATAAAATAAACTGATTTTCATCACCACAGTAGAGATTACACCTATCTTTTTTTCTTAAATAAAGTAATCCTTGACCTAAAATTTTAAAGATTTAGGGCTAGTGTTTTCATACTTTACATATTTGATCCCTATGACAAGATCTTTCATTTGATAACAATAACTTTGACCCTTTGACCTTGACCTTGGAGTTTGACCCACTTTTACATGAAAATTTTAAAATTTTACTTTGGCCATATCTTTAGAACAGTAGACACCAGGACAATTATACTTCACATTTGTATTGTTTGTTAAAAGATCTTCACTCGACACCAACAACCTTGACCCTTTGACCTTGACCTTGTAGATTTCCGTACTTGTGAAAAAACTTTAACCTTGGCCATAACTTTTGAACGGTAATTAAGGGATAGGGCTTTCATACTTCATATATGTAATCCTTGTGAAAAGATCCTTCATTGGATACCAAAAACTTTGACCCTTTGACCTTAACCTTTGAGATTGACCTACTTTAAAAAAGCAAACCTTTACCATACATTTAAAGAGTTAGGGCTAGCGCTTTCATACTTTACACATTTGATCCTTATGACAAGATCTTTCATTTGATAACAATAACTTTGACCCTCTGACCTTGACCTTGGAGTTTGACCTACTTTTTAAAAAATTGAACGCTGACCATAACTTCTGAACGGTTAGGGATAGGGCTTTCATGCTCTACATAAGTATTTTTAACATTAGCTTACCTTCAAATTTCACAATTGTTTTCTAGTGCGAATACCCTAAGTTTGGTACCAATTAATTAAATTAGAATTTAAGAAATGCCTAATCTTTGCTATGTTGCCATACGGGGGCATCAGTGTTTTACAAACACATCTTGTTTTATACTTATAGGAGGACGATCCCGAGCCAAAAGGCTGGAGAAAATTATTGTGCTGTGGAAAACCACAGAAAAAACAGGTAAACAGTCCTCTTCCTATCATTTTCCTGTTCATTGTTCTGAAGGCCTCACTCACATATATGATCGTGTGATATATTGTATATAAAACATGATAACTGCAATTAAACGTTTAAATAACGTAAATATAATTCTTCTCTCAACAGGCTAAAGAGAAGAGAAAGAAGTTGGGGTTGCTGAACAGATTGTGCCAATTTTTTGCCCGTCGTTGAATCGTCTGAAATTTGGCCTTAATTATTGATTCTTAGTTTATCATTTTTGTGTCAGAAGATATTTGAAGATAATATTTAATTAATTCAAAGCATATGTATATGATTTCATTTGGACGACCCACTTTCTATAACGGTTACCATCATTTTGAGATTTTAAGTTAAAAATGTGAACATTTTGTTAAATAAATCAAAATTTATGTTCTTGTGTATTTGCTTGGATCTTGAGTTAAAATGCTTTCCTCAAGTGGTCCTTTCCAGGCATAAGTTCTCATATAACTATATAAAAAAATACTCATTAAAAGTCCAGCCCCCTCATTTTGGTTGTGGTATTGTCAAATATGGTTGATTTAAAAGTTATTTGAAAAAAGAGGTCTACGGGCCTTATAAGTCACCTGGGTATCATGTAACAACTTTACAACAATTGAATTTGATTCGTTTTTTAAACCAAAGGCTTTGAAATTCTTAATTTTGATAAAGGCACTATTGCTTATCATTACTATTCACTTGCTAACTTTGGTTTCTTAATACCCAGAGGTAGATGAAGGTATCCAAGAGAAAATTAAAAGCATTTCCACTTTAAAACAAACAGCTCCCCTTCCCACAGGAACCACTGATCCTGGGACCATGCATTTCAAAATTTTATCATAAATTTTATTATAAAATAAATGGTTGATACCAAAAACCAGATTTCAAAGCATTAATTTATTATCAGACCCTGTGACCCCCCCCCCCACCCACCCCGTACCCCTGACCCAGAGGTCCTGTCCTGAAATTAACCATTTTGGAAAAAGCATCTTTCTTCAACATAAATATGTTCTTAAATCATTGGCATATTATACCCAGGACCAAAGTAAAAGATTTTCAAAGATTTAATAAAATTTCACCATAATAAAAAAGAGTCCCCCTCAAACACCAGAACCCTGACCCTTAACTTATAGACCTTGACTTTGTCAGAAAGTATATTTTATATAAAGTCGAATGCCCGAACCTTACGATGACGGGTGTTTCCGGTCGGGGTTGGTGGGGCCAAAATAGAGAATCCATATGTTATACATCGAAGTATCGTTCAAGTCCAGTTCACTTTATCAATTCGATATTGTCGACATTGTATGTTGACATCGTCGACATCGCAAAGTAAAGAATGTTGAATCGATATTGAGTTTACATCGTCTTCATTGTTATTGTTTCTACATGTCGACATCGTGATGTAAACAAAACAAATAAGAAGGCAACGTTGACACGATGTCGACTCGATATTGACCAACATTACGATGTCGACGATGTGAACAATGTAAACAAGAAAAGTGAAAAGATAATGTTGACAAGATGTCGATTTGATATCAACCTACATTGCGATGTCGAAGAAGTGAACAATGTAATCAACAGAAAAAGAGGAAGGCAATGTTAACATGAAGTGAACTCGATCAATATCGTTTTAATGTTATATATGGAGAGATAAACTAAGATGTTATCCAACATTGTCAGGTTCAATACTAGTATGTTATGATATAAGAAGTACTGGAACTTTAATACTGCGATGTCAACAATATCGAAAAACATCGTGCAGTTGCACTAACCTCCTTAAAATAATGTTCAGTTTTACTTTGTTTTGCAAACAAGAAACAAATCAAAATATTGTATCAATGCTGTTTCCGCTTGTGGTGACGGATCGTTGTTAGGAATCTCTCTCTCTCTCTCTAACACTGTTCTAACCATTATAAAAAATATCTTAAATCTAACTGGAGAATGCAAATTTAAAAATCTCGTATTATTCGTCAGCGTAGTCAGAAGTGCGTGAAAACAATGAACATGCACATCTGATTAAGATCTAGTATATAAATGAGTTCAAATTGTATTTTAAACGTCATAGTTGATTTGACTAATTTTTCCCGTTAGGTGCACTTTACGACATTATTAATATGAAAGATATGTATTTAAAAATTAATAATTTTAAAGAATATTGACTATATAATGTCTTTGCAAAATTTGGTAAGTATTGGTGGCATGGTTAAAAAATCATAAACATTGTCTACGACTTTTTGGGACAACCCTCGTATATTATGATTTTAAAGTCGTACATTACATGTTAAGGGGCCACAAGGGGCCAGAAGGCTAAATCTTTGATGCTTTATATCTTGAAAGTGAGAAATATTTTGACAAGTAATGTTGAACAAAAGATGTTCAAAATAATGTTTTGAACAATATGCAACCTTTCATTTTTCGCTATACGTCCCTTTTAAGGAGTTGAAGGGTTGGTCCCTAAATATTTCTTTTTTAAATAACTCGAAAACGAAAGAGAATCTCTGAATAGTTGTTGAACAAAAAGTGTTCAAAAATCTAAGAGCTTTAAGATGAAACCCAGAAAAAGGGGCTGGACACTCAACTTAGGGGCCAAGAGGGGCTTAAAGTCTTTTTTCGATAACTCTTTAACAGTCAATACTTTGTTATACATTACTAAAGCAAAAATGTTTATCTCAACAATCTACAACTGCATAATAGGATTTTAAAGTCGTATATTACATAATTAGGGGCCACAAGGGGCCAGAATGCTAAATCTTTGATGCTTTATATCTTGAAAGTGAGAAATATCCTGACAAGTAATATTGAACAAAAGATGTTCAAAATCATGTTCTGAACAATGTGCAACCTTTCATTTTTTGCTAAACGTCCCCATTAGGGAGTTGAAGGGTTGGCCCCTTAATATTTCTGTTGCAAATAACTCGAAAACAAAAAAGAATCTCTGAATAGTTGTTGAACAAAAAGTGTTCAAAATCTTAAGAGCTTCAAAATGAAATCCAGGAAAAGGGGCTGGGTACTCAAATTAGGGACCAAAAGGGGCTAAAAGTCTTTTTTCGATAACTCTTTAACAGTCAAGAATTTGTTATACATTATTGAAGCAAAAATGTTTATTTTAACAATATACAACTGTATATTGTGATTTTAAAGTCGTACATTACATAATAAGGGGCCACAAGGGGCCAGAATGCTAAATCTTTGATGCTTTGTATCTCAAAAGTGAGAAATATTTTGTAAGTAATATTGAACAAAAGTTGTTCAAAATCATTTTTTAAACAATATGAAACTCTCCATTTTTCGCTAAACATCCCCATTATTGAGTTGAAGGGCTGGTCCCTTAATATTTCTTTTGCTAATAACTCGAAAACGAAAAAGAATATCTGAATAGTTGTTGAACAAAAGGTGTTCCTAATCCTAAGAGCTTTAAAATGTTTTGAAGAAAAAAAAAGGCTGATCCCTGATATTAGGGGCCGTGAGGGGTCAAAAGTCGATTTTAGAAGTCTTTATTGTTCAATGTCTTTTTTGCAGATTATGGAAAATCATTACTTTAGAGTGAAAAATCTCATTCAAAATCTTATTTCATCTCATCAAGAATCGAACGGAAGACCCACTCGTTGTTCACAACGAGATCGTATCTAGTTCTTTTTATTATTTTTTTGACTTTCTAATTTTGTGCATGCGATTTCTCGAAGACTACTAAATGGAATGACGTGAAATTTTCAGAAAAGATCTGTCGTAACATGAATTTTGTATATCCGAGAGAAAATTTGGAAACTCACTTCCTGTGCCAAGTTACGGACAATTTCCTGATATTAAAATGACATTTTGTCCGCGATTAAACTCAAAATCGGTAAAAGATATCAACATGAAACTTTCAGGGATTATAGATCGTGATATATACCATCCAGGACGCGACACTTTGTTCGTTGTCGGTACTTCCTGTCGTAAAGAGAAGCGAATTGAAAAAATCGTATTTTCTAACTTTTTTGTTTTTCAACATTTTTTATTTATTTTTGGAATGATAATAGAGACCCTTTGATCGATGCTTACTATACAAGTTGTTTGGATATTGGTTAATCAGAACTCTAGATATTAATATTTGAAAATCTGAAGCGGACCCAAGATGGCGGCTGTCTCTGTCAACTCCGCCATTTCGCGAGTAGGGGTTTATGGAGGCAGCTGAGCGTTTGACTAAATGATAGATGAAAAGTAAAAAAACTACGTGGACTTTCACCTAGTAGTACCCTGCAATTCAGTGACAATCTTAAAACTTAATTTCCGTTTTACTGCTTTAGTGTAATTGGGCTAGATACGTGTGTGCAATGTGTTAAATTTACTTTCTTAACGTCGAAATAAAATAAAAGCGATAGGAAGTTGTTTTATTGAATATTTAATTTCATTGAGGCTATCACACCTATTTGATAGATCAGTCCAAAGGATAGGCAGGAATATTTACTCGTGGTGTTTGTTGCCAGATTATGAATAGTGGCCCGCCTTTTACGATTCTTAGACAGGTGTACTGTTGCAGGTGTACTGTATACATAACTATATTTAGAGCAGTATTCAAAATTTATTAGTTTTTCACAAACGTAACCACTGTGTTTCCCATGCACACTTGAGTCATATTAAACTAATACAAAAGACAGAAATAAGAATTCAAAACCTTTTTTAAGTAAGATCGTCTAATGGAGTTTTTTTTAACATTCTTTTCTCAAAGATATTTAAAGTTGAACATTGAACATTGAACATAAATGAAATCTGATTCCTTGACCGTCGAAGGGCGAGACATGTCTTTCATCGAACCATTTCTACCTTTTCATGAAGGTGTAAAGAATCGGGTTACCGGGTAGTTCACTTTGGGGATAAACGGGTAATTAAAAAAAAGTTAAAAATGATTACCATTTTACTTCTTTTGTGTTACTTACCTATATAAGATATAGAATATGTACAATCTGTTAAATATACTTTCTAAACCTCAAAATTTAGGCTTAAAGAACGTTCCTTTTTTTCATTCTATTGAAGCTATCACACCTATTTAATGAAACACTCCAAAGAAAAGGCGCGTAGATTAACTTGTGGCGTTTGGCGCGAAATTATAAATAGTGGCGCGCCTTTCGCGATTCTTAGACAGATGTATTGTTGAAGAAGTATATTCAAGTACATTTAGAGCAGTGGACTCAAACGCGTAATTTAAGCGTGCTGGGAAAAAAGAGGAAAACATCGCGTTGGATTTTCACGCTGGCGACCTGGGTTCAATCCTCTTTGTGACCAAATTTTTTTTATCACTTTTAATTTTTCAGCTCGATTTTAGTTTCTTTTCCTGAATCGGACGGAAGACCTCTAGTTTCTAGTTTTATTAATTATTCAATTTTTAAAAACGTTGACAAGGGCAGTAACTCCCTCTAAGGTCTCTTCATCCGGGCATTTGCTTTATTGTACTTCTAATGAAAAATAGTTTCCCTGATATTCACAAATCAAAAGTAGGAAGTAATTAGGAACATTCAGCATCAGAATTATGCATTTTAACCAATTTTTACATATTTTTCATAATACTGTTTACAAAAAAAATGTGCGATTCTTTTTATGTTGACATACACTTATGTTCATTTACTTTTCGCATCTTAAATAATATGATGACCTATACATTTTTTTTTTGTAATAATTAGAAAATTTAAAGTATATTGAATGAAAATAAATGCAGTTTTTGAACTTTGAACCCTTAAATTTGTGAGGATGGAAACACCATATAATCAATATAAACTATAGTATATTTACCAGTTTAGTTATAACTGCTCGTTGCAAGTCAGTAGACGTGCATGTCTATGATCTTTGGATTATAAGATCTCATTTTCCTTCATTCAAATAAATTCTTTGTTTATTAAAAATTAAATTTCATTTCTATTATCTATCCTTACTTTTTATTTTTTAATTTAATAAAATTTTGATTCTAACATTTTTACTGAAAAATATGTTGAAACTTCATAACATTATATAGGGACAGTAACCAAACAACACCAACTAAAATCATTTTAATATACTCCCAGTAGCTGTTTTTATTCTATCTATTCTATGTCGCAGTGATGTCTGGTATTTAAACTCATGGGCATTTGTGAGATCATTCTTAGACATTGCCGCTAAATGTTGCTATGTTGCTCCATGCATGGCAGCAGCTTGACTTGCTGGGCGTTAGCCATTGTGGGCATTAGCTCGTCAGTGTGGATGATGTCAAACCACTTTAAGTTATTACCATACCAGAGAAAAGATAATGTTGCATCAGAATATAAAAACTGTGGGTCTGTAGTTTTAGTGCTTTATTAGTTTTTAATACAAACATTTTGTTTTATATCAATTTTATATTTCACATGAATTGACAAAAGTTTCTCCATAAGTTTGATTTTGTTTACAAGAAAGCATCTACTTTTACTGTAAATAATTTTTCTAATTTTCTTTGAAAAATACAAAAGAATACATATAAAACAATTAAGAGCTAATGTCGGCCTTTCAACGCTGAAACCATTGCTTAAAAAGGTTGACTCAGAAATAAATAAAATAAAAAGTTGGTGAGGAATCCCTCTTTAAAACTCTAACTTGTTAGGACATTATTAACACACTGTGTGATTTGTCGACTTATTTTTTTGTTTACTGTCGAGGATCACAGTCAGCACACGGCAGGTATGATCCTCCATGGCACCTGATCCAACTCCTGATGTTTTCAGACGCCCTTGTTTGTTCTGCTCATAAAAACTGCAACTCTTGATTCCGGCCTACATTTTGCACCCATTTAATTCAATATTAATGACATTTGGCCATAAATCTTTGTTTCATACAAAGAACACATTAATGATAATTGATTTATCGTTTTAGTTCCAGTGCGAGATAGTAAATTATAATTAATTACAGCTCTATAAAAATATAAAAAAAATCATTCAAATATGTAAACATTTGAAACTTGACTTTGATATAGGCGGCAGAACAGTACTATTGCCTTCTTTGATTGTTCTGGAAGACATGTTATCAATCTCCAAGTCAATAGAAATGCTCATAAACAATTCTCCTGTCCCTCACTAGCATTTTTTAAAAATGCATATGGATACCAGGACTTTCCGTTATCAGGAATAAACACACTATATACCATAATTAGTTTTGCGGAGTGTGTAGTTACTTGTAGAGTTTTTTTTCCAATTGGAAATTTCACGTACGTTGTTTGTTCAGAATGAAATAAGTCAACGTATACAACAAGTATAAAATACATTGCATCGAAGTCGGTGTTCCAACAACTGGTAAATCCAACATTGTTTCTTTTTATGAAGAAAATTTCATTTTTGTCACTGTCTTTCAACGAAGAGACGAAAGTAATAATCATTATAGGTAAATAATGCGGCACATGGCAGGTTGGAATGAAAAAAATTAATATCACGGCAAATCTCTATATTCAAAAACTTTCACAATCCTGAAACCAGTTCCAACCCACAATGCAAACTTGTACAGAGATAATGAAAATGGTTTTTTTATTTCTTTTTCTGTGATCAAGTATTTCAAAAACTCCCCTTTCGGACTCAACACATGGATAAGACTATTGTACAGATCGGTAACAAGAATCTTACAGGCGGAGTCACACAACAAGTCTGTTGGATAGAAATTCTTCCTCAGATTCTGTCCACGATAGACATATTGCAAATTACCACATACAGAAATAATAAGAACCTCGCCTGCAGTGCTACTTGTCATATTGATAACACAGATATCAGAGTTATTGTTTTGACAGAGTCCTTCTGGTAATGTAAACAATCTCGTTTGACCGTCCTCCTGGTACTCATACTCGTGAATGACATCACCGGTTAATGTCAAGTGTTTCACTAATCGCCTGCTGTCTGCGTCCAATACAAAATTATCTGTTTTACAATCTACCAAAGAAACAATAAACCCGCTGTCTACTGAAGTACTGATTCCTAATGGTTGAAGACCTATTACTGAATCTGCCCTCCAAAACGTTGATATTGATCCTGATGGCAGAAGGCGATGGATAAAAAGGTTTCCATTTGTTGTGAAATACATACCATTATTAGTTACACACATATCTGTCACCTCTAATCCAATGTTGAATGTTTGTTTCTTTTCGCCTTGTTTGTTTAACAAATCAACATTAACAGAATTCAGACCGTACACGTAACATTCGTTTTCATTTAATGCCTTTACATACACAAGTGTACCTAGACTACATGCAACATAATGAAATGAATATATTTCACTAGCACTAATATTATCTAAATCAAAACAATCACCAAACAGTGATTCTAGCCTATCATCATTAATTACTTTTTCTTCATATCTCTGTGAAAAGTCACTGTTCCTTATGTCAATATTCAAATCACCTAGCAGATGTTTCAGGTCTCTGTGGTTCTCTACTAAGTTCTTATCAGACATGGTTCTGTTGTTCTCCTCCATGTATTTTACTATTTTAATTATTTGATTCTTTATCTTGTCTTTTCGGGATTTCTCAAGAGTTAATTGCTCGTTTTTTCTACACAAATTGCTTTTCAATGCATCATCCTTGCGTTCCGTGATATCTGTAAGCTTGGCAATAATTTCATCAAAATGCTTCTTTAAAATTTTCCTCTGTGATTCACATGTTATTTCATTTTCAGCCTTCTTTATTGCTATTTTTTTATCTACATCTGGCAATTGTTCTTGCGTTATATTCCTTAGAAACTCCAAGAGTCCTTTCCTTCTCTGACTAGCAGCCACACCCTGTGTGACCCAGTTGTGATCATAATGGTCCGTTTTTGCACAAGTAGAACAAATGAATTCATCATAATCCTCACACACCAAATCGACCGGTAAATCATGATTTTCACACATTTGTATATGTTCTTGAAGAGAATCTACCGAAATTCGTGGTTTACTTGCTGCCATTTTACAAACCTCCTTTAAGTTGCCGTCATTCAGTATAGATTGGAATAGAATAAACTCATAGGTGCATACATGCATTAAAATAAAAATTATATCTCTTTAAACTACATTAAGAAACAAAAGAAACGGCAGCGGTTTTGTTTAGAGTCTACTGTAATTTTGTTCATATTTAAATGATTAAATTGTCTGAAGAACTTTTATAGACAATGGCTCTTTTTAAATGTTACAGAACTGTCAAAGAGACAGATAGAGATCATTCCATAAAAATTTACGGTAAGAATGATACAAAGAAATCTGGTGTCTTTCTACATACGTCATATAATGTATTGTCTTGTGCGATGAATTGCAAAAAAATGGCAAGGATTAATGAAGTGGTTTGTTATCTTTTGGTCTGTGCAGATAATTTTAAGTACTTAGTTAAATCCAATTAATACATATCAGTTCAAAACAACGTCACGCTCAATATGAGTATTCTTTTTTACTCGCTCTTAAATAAAATAAAAGACTGAGTTCCAAATAAAGGTAACATAAAAATAATCAAAATTTTCACTTGGCACGATCATGACCATATGTACCGTAAATACAATTTTTGTTAATATATATTGAACTACAGACTTCTTTGAAATACAAGTACCAAAACAAGGACTGTAAGCTTAAGGGTGCATATACAAGGCAAATATTAAAGTACATGTATGCTGCGTCTGTCCTGATAAGCTTGAGTGCTGTATGACTGGAAAATTATAAGAGTAATTGTTTATTCACCATTTTTCACTTTCACAAACCTTTAAAAATTGCCACCCAAAGTGCAGACTTTTACAGCGATAATGCCGAGAGTATTGTTACTTCTTTTTCTGTCAATAAATATTTCGACAATTCTCCATCAGGACTCAAGTGGATCAGGCTATTGGGTGTATCAAGAACAAGAATGTTATGAGTTGATTCACACACAATATCTGCAGGATATAGCTTCTCTTTCAGGTTCTGTCCACGGTAGACACGACGCAGACGACCCGAAAGAGAGACAATCACAACTTCAACTGTAGTCTCACTTGACAAGCTTGTTACACAAATGTCTGTGTTCCTATTCTGACAAAATTTGTATGGCATTGTAAATAGTCTGGTTTGACCGTCCTCCCGGAATTCATATTCATGAATGAATACCGGAGAGTGTGAAGTGGCGCGACAAATGTCGTAATACAGTAACACCAACAGTGTTTGCCTCTCAAAGAATTTTTCTTCATTATTAGGTAAAAAAAGATAAAAGATAAAATAATTGTACAGTTCTAAAAGATCAAAGGGTGTAAATTTTTGGTTTACTGGTTCTCAAGGGAAGGTCTTGTCACAAGGAAGACCCATGCGTAAGATACGCGGGTATGTTAAGGAAGCATATAAGTCATTTCTCGGAAAATTTAGACTTTTTAAAGAAAATTAAGTTTGATAATTTACCAAAACCTCTGATAAATGTAAACTGTTATTAACTATTGCGTACAGATAAAAGAGTGTCTAACGGAACGACGTGCACCACCGCCACGGGATCACGTGACTTCTATTAATAGCGAAATCTTCCTTAATAAAAAAGCTAACAGAACAACAATACCCCGAAGTTTAATAATTTCTTTGAGTAAATAATATAGTCGAAAAACATCTATTTTTCCTAAAAAGTGCTGCTAGAATCCCACAGTCCTGTCAGTAAAAGAATTATTCCACACATTCGTATGAAACCTTACCCAATGTTTTGAATTTTTTACATATGAACCGAGATTTTTCGTAAAACCATGCTGAACTCGGGATTCTAGCAGCACTTTCCAAGTTTTTCATAAGACAAACTTTCTATCTATACAAATTTTATGTTTTGAAATATCCAGCTTATTGTTGTTCTGTGCATTATTTTTGTCACGAACGACAGAGGAAAAGCCGACTGGTATACGTATATAGCTGACTTTCTTCGAAAGAGAATATAATCGATGAAAATAAATTAGCATACCTGTTTATTTAACTGAACTCCATATGAATTTCACATAATGTTCACGATATTTCCTTTTAAACTCCATTTTACGTATCTTTGTACATGTCGTCTTAGCCAAATTCTCTTTACACGACATGATCTATTCCCAAGTTTATTGATGTACACATATGACGTCATCGGTGGTAGATTTTAATTGAAATGACAGATACATCATAACGAAATAAAAACATTTTATTTTTGTTAATGTTTAAACGTTTCTATTTATTTTCTAGAGTTCAATTACATCTCTTAATACCAATATATACGAAAAGTTTTGTTATACAATTGACGTCATTTAGCCTACTATGACGTCATAATGTAGCACTGATTTAGTCAAGGTAGAATATTTTGTATGCTTCCTTATCACCCCTGCGTAACAACGGTAGCTGTATCCATTCAAAATTTAAGGCCAATGTTACAGTTTTGTAAACAAGGTTTTAAGCAGAAACGCGTGATTTTTCTACCCCATTTGAACTCTTGGATTAAAATGAAAATTAATTCGTATTGCGTATATCTACTGACATCAGTAACCATATTTAAAAAGATATGTTGGTACTGGCATGGTAAATGTAACAGAATATTTGGAACCTGTTTTTTTTTTTTTTGGTAAAAAAAGTAATAATAATAAAACAATCAAGCAAACAAACAAACAACCCCCTCCCCCCCAAAAAGAGTTGAGAATGAAAATTCCATTATAGCACAACGTCGGAAAGCAGATGAATCAGATCTCTCCAGTTCTCTATTAAGCCCTTATCTGACATAGTGCTGCTTTTCTCTTCCATGTAATTTTCAATTTGTATTATTTGCTCTTTTTTCTCGACAAAATGAGATTTTTCCTTGTCTAGATTTTCATTTTTCTCGTTACCTTTCAGTTCTTCTTCCTTGTTATTCTTGATTTCTGTTAACCTGGATATAATTTCATCAAAATTCTTTTTTAACTATTTTATATGTATCTCACAAGAATTCTCGTTTTCAGACTTCTTTTTGGTCATCTTTTCATCAACTCTCGGCAGTTTCTGTTCTTTTATATCCCGCAGGTATTCCATGAGTCCTCTTCAATTTGAGTGGCCGCCGCAGCCTGTGTCACCCAATTATGTCCATTGTGGTCTGATTTGGCACATGTGAAACAAATGAAAACTTCACAGTCCTCACACACCATATCGACAGGAAAATCTTTGTGTTTTTCACACATCTGAGTATGTTCTTCAGGAAAACCACCGGCATATTTTGGTTTACTAGCCGCCATTCTATAAACAGATGCTTCTCGTTCACCAAGGTGGGAAAGATAAGGTAACGCCGATAATGGAAAAGTGCATGTTGGAGAATCAAATATGCAGGTGCACTACAAATGAGAGGATTTCCTAACCTTATACAATCATCTCTATAGATCAATAAACTAGCTTGTTCTAAATTTTTGTCGAATGACAGAAATGTCAAAACAAGCGAGTTTATTGCCTGACGTCACGGCGTCAGGTTGTATAAGGATTGATATTTCCGAGGTGCGAAGAGAAGAGGTCACAGTTAGCCAGGAAAATTTTGTGCATGCTGATTATCACTGGAATTTGTTACCTCCGTTTCAACAAAACATTTAGCAGAAAGAAATAACCGTCTTACTGATACAATATATATTGATGTGTTTATTTCCTTTAGTTTTTTTTTTGCATGCAGCTGTTTATTTCATGCGATTTCATATACGGACATGATAGTAAGTATCAAATATTAAACAGTCGCATAATTGCCAATTTTACGATACCTTCACATAATCGTTACCGTATTGCTGCGCCATTGCATTATTGTCATTGATACATGCTTACTGCATAATTGGTCATTGCACTATTTTGAACCCAAATCTTCATGGCGCAAAGACGCAAGATTGGACTTCCTGGTCCTATCTGGAATCCAGAACAAACCCTTGATGTGAGAAATTTTACATCGGGGACCTAATTTTAAGCAACCAATTTAGAGTTCTAAAACGAATCCTGTTGGAATCCAGATTAGGGCTTTGCAAATTACTATCGACCATCGATATGTTTGGGCGATAAGTTTGATATCAACGATCCAATTTTCATGCAAAGTCAAATGTGCCATACTTAATTTTTTGAAGGTATTGATATTTTTGAAAATAATTGTTTTTTATTGAATAATTTAAATTAAATCAGACTAATAATTTAAAGCCACATTATATTATGATGTATGCAGATTTACCATCTATTATGTCTGAAATTTAGTTTATTCTATTATAGAGCGTTTGTATAAGTTTTAAGAATATGTTAGCAATAACTCCTATATAAAAATTTGATCAAGTCATTACAGATTATGGATCTTGAGTAAGTAAAAAATGGAACGTGTGTCCGATCAAAAGTTAAGTTGCTATTGGCTTTTGTCGATTGCTATGTAGATAATACTAGATACCATTTGATTTAGAAATATTCCTTGTCAGTTTTTTTTTTTCAATTTCAGGCATCGATTTATTTGCATCTAATATATATTTATAGATATAACTTTTTAATATGACACCTGTACAATTGTAATGTAGAGAAACATGATATCAATAATGTTAAATAGCGTGTCTCCGATCAAAAGATAATTTGGATTTTGTCAAATGGTATGCATTAGTTACAATTGTATTATGAAACTATACTACTTCTTGTCAGCTTTATTCGATTTCCAATGCTATACGTATGTATATAACTAAAATCTGAACACTGCCCAATGACTTGTCAGCTTTATTCGATTTCCAATGCTATACGTATGTATATAACTAAAATCTGAACACCGCCCAATGACTGGTAGATCCTGGCTGACAAAAGGTAAAGAAATATATTTTTTTATTTCCAAGTAAATTTAAGTGTGTGCACGTGATCTAGTCTCTAACAACTCAATAGATGAATTTTTCACTAATTCATACTTGCTAATGCCTAGGTCAAATTTCCCGGCCGGTAGCCGCAGACCGGTGGTAATCGGTGGTAATCCGTGGTGTTAACGATTCCCAAAGATC